GCTTGGGATAGATATGATAGATTAGAATGTAATGGAGAGGACAAACGGGGTGAAAGCTGAAAGAAGGAAAAACGACAAAGAGCAAGTAAAGCCCTGGTAGAACGCACACCCACATCCCAATGTCGCTTCGAAGCTCAGCAAGTTCAAGAACCCAGGCTCGGGCCAAGGCTACAATTTTGACATTTGCCACCTCACTTAATTTCAATAGATATATTTATTTCAATATTTCGTAACTTTCAGCCGCATACTCGCCAAGTTGCCCCTGGAATTGGCCTTTGGGGCACGGCAAGCACACGCGGGTCTGGCCTTGCTCCACCGAGCGGTACCCCACGGGACAGACGGCGCAGCCAACCTGGGCGAAGGAGAGATGGTGACCACCTGGTACCACCAAAACAGAGGGAACGCAAGGATTCACAGTGATTCACATGTGGATTTTATAAAAAGATTTAAATGGTGATGTTTCGTGCCGAATACAAAATACGGATCCTTTGGAACCAAATTGGCTTTACTTCGAAAACATCGCGGACTGCTTCACCAAAAAAAACAGGTACAGTATTAAGTTGACCTCTACAAAGCAACAAATGAACCCCAAACAATTTGACAAATTGATCCCAAAATTAGGGTCTCAACTCCTTTCTAAGCCCCTAAATGCGTTTGGAAACCCAAGGCTGATCTACTACAGTATTGTAATTTGAAGCGATCACAGTTTGATGCTCTCGACATGGACAGGGTGTCCTGGGATTGATGCCTGTCAAGGCACCCGCCCTTGCTGTCGCTAAAAATCCCTCTCAACAGAGTAGGTTTTAACGAATCAGACTGGAGGAGATGCTGCCCAACAAAAGGAATTCGTAAACCATGATGACAAATAATGAACGTGTCTTGTTTACTGCTTGGCTGATCGGGATTCTCGATGTTGAGACCATAACTCTGATATAGGTAGTACAGTACACCCCTATCTGCATCAAGAGGAATTTCCGGAGCCTGCTACCCCCATGCGGCCAGACAACTGCTGCCGCGCGATCATTGATGAAGTGCTCATTCCTCGGTGCTAAAACGGAACAAGCATCTCATCGTTTTGTATGTTGGTTTTCAAGTGTACAAATATATATAATATACATATATATATACATGAATCTATAAACATATTACAATTTTTGTAGTCCACACATTTAAAGCATTACAATCAGGCTCTGTGGGTCAAAGCTTTTGGCCCTGGAACTGCTCCAGGTCTGACCAGGTTCAGTCATCAGTTTCAATTCCTTCAAGTGCTGGTCCCTTTTCATCCAGATCTGCAATACATCATGAGGGTTGTTTCATTGAGTTTTTTTTTTCCATATTACCCTCTGGTAATTTAACGTAGCTATTGAAAATGGCCATTTATAGTGGATTTTCCCATTGAAAATGGTGATTTTCCATAGTTATGTTAGTTTACCAGAGGGTAGTTGGACTGTTGTGAATCCCCAACAATTGCGAAGACAAAACTCTTACCAACCATCACTAACCATCATTAACCTATTATTAAATATCAGTTGGGTTATATCATGCTATACCAACCATCACTAACCATCACTAACCATCACTAACCATCATTTCGCCAGATCCCCAGCATCACTAACCGCCGAGGCTCCCATTCACCAAACCCTTGCCCGAGGTACACGCGGTCTCGTTGGGGAGCCAGGATTCCCAGCGCTCGGGATTCTCCTTGAGCCATTCGCCTTGGCCACTTTGTCGGGATGAATCTGGGTACCATATTTCACTAACCTGAATTAAAACCATTTGGGGATGAGTTCCCTGATTAACCATGATTCCAGTGAGGTAGCAGTGAGGTCGTTATAATTTACCCAGATGAATGGATAAACATCCCACTTTCAACTTCGATGAAACCGAGGGAATACCAAAGTGGACTACCAGAGTGGACTATACGAGTGGACATCCACTTCTATACCTTCAATTTTTACAGCCGAGTGCTGAAGTCACAACAATCTTCTTGAATGTGGACAAATCGTTTGTGGAAAAGTCGCCATGACAGGGTAACAGCAGGGTCCCCGGCAATCCATCAAAACACATGGGGATTGCCTTCATTTGAAGGATATAAAATAGCAGCAAAAGGAACACTTTGATTCATACCCAGTTTTTATAATCAGATTCCATTGATTCCATTCATAACTAGTTTCGATTGCATATGTATTTTCCGATTCCTTCCCTATGGTTTCTCTATTCGTTCTTTTATTTTTCCAATATGTCTCTGTTATTTGATGTATTGTCTGCTCTATATTGCCTTTCTATCTGCTTAATATTTCAATATAATTATGTCCCTTCTAATTTCTTATTATGTCCCTATTATGTCTCTATTAAAATGTCCCTATTATTTCCTTTTATTGGAATTAAATGAAATGAAAATATCAGCGAAAAGGAAAATCATAGGAAATCATAGGAAAAAATAATAGGGAAGTCATGGGGAAATAAGAGATGGGTTCATAGATAGGGAAGTAAATAGGGAAACAATAGGGAATTATCTTTGAAATCCTATCTAAGTAAATAGGGAAATGCAAGGGAAATTAATAGGGTAATAATAGTGACAATACTAGAAAAAAAGGAACATAATAGAACTACTACGCTTTTCCCCTAAAATGTTCCCTATTATTTCCTCATTGTTTCCGACTTTTGTCCTTGTTACTTTCCTATATTATTTCCTTGCTTTTTCCTTATTGTGTCCTTAGTATATTTCCACATGTCGCATCATGTCGCTATTATTCCTCCACGATCATCCCCTTTCCCAACTGAAATACAGGACATTTCGCAAAAAAACATTTCAGATCCCCTAGGCACAGCAACCATTGCTACGACTCCCATGGCGAGCTTCGGCAAAACCAAAAAAAAAATATCAAACAAATACTACGACTTTGGTCCTTGACTGTATGAAACATCCACACCTACATTGACTTTGGTGGACGATACGCATTGTCCCTTTCTAGGTGGACTAGGTAGAAGAAGTTGATGCCCTATCTTAATGGTCAGTTGCCATATTTGGGGTTGTCCCATCTCCGGCTGGGGAAGCAAAGGATGATTTTCAGCACTGACTGAGTGACTTAAAGATCCAAAGACCCTGTCATGGAAGGTTCCCAGAAAAACATCAGCACAAATGATGGCTTGAAGGACCATCAAATATCTTGATCCTTCAATTCTTTTCCTTGGATGGATATATGATATGTATATATATATATATACATTATATATACAGACATAGACATCGATGTAATAAAAATAATCCTGCATCATTCTGCGAGAGTTCATAGTGCATGTTAGGACGCACCATCCAGAAGAGTCACAACAACACTGGTAGAGGGTGAATGGGTGTCAACAAAGCAACTGGCTGAGGTCTTTTGATTTCTTCAGGATACTGAAAACATACTTCAAATTCTCTGCTGTGTTCCACCACCCACCCATACCATCTCCCGAACATTCCCGAACCATGAAATTGGTGGGTGTTTAGACTCGTTAGACCCTCCATCTTCCTGAAAGATCTGTGTATATAAAACGGCTCCTTTCCTTCAAGACCCTGAATCACTCAACCTAAATTGAATATTGTCTTGTCAACTAAGTGGTATACGATGTATACCATACATGATCAAGCATCCATGATCCAATGCATGGGCCGGCATGGCTATCCAAAGCCTACCACCAAGTCACAGGCTGTCTCCCAAGGATCATTGCCCAGCTGCACATACCTGGGGTGATCATCACACATAAATGGGGCTGGCTGGTGGTTTTTGTCACATAAAAAAAACCATCCTCCTCCTGGTTTTGGGTGGTGAGGTAACGAACATTGAATCCACTAACCAGGAGGATGAAAGAGATCTATATAAAAAGGATACACATTGATTTGAACCAGCAATTCTCCGGGTTGTGATCAACAACAGCTGCTGTTTTGAAAATGATTGGCTCAAAAACAGTTCGAAAACAGGATCAAAACCCAGCTATTGAAGAGGTCATACCGCACCAATCGTCGACTTGGTGACCACTGCTGCCAATCACTTGCACAAAATCTTTACATGCGCAAAAAGGCTACGCCACACACCTTCCTGAATCTTCCTGGCAAAATGGCAAATATTCCATCATCCTCTACTCCTTCTCCATCAGCGATCAGTGACCCGCCTGAGCAGCAGTTTTTTCATGTCATCTGTGAACAAGTTCACCTGTGTGGCGACAAACACCTCAGTCAGGATTATTATGAAGCTGGCTTACCGCTGCCCACCTTTCAATCAAGTCCTTGGCCCGGAAAGTAGCATTTGGGGTTTGGAAATCGGAACATCATTTTTTCCGACAGTGATGCACTTTGTATGTCAAAAGAAGTGCCAAGACTGCACACCTCACCATGTCAGATCCCACAGCCATGACATAGGTCTTAAACTAAGACATCGTCTCGTGTTTTTTTAAAATACAATTACACATATACCCAAATTCGGCGCTTATGTCTTTGGCTTTTGCGCCACCCAAAAAGTGGACGGGTACTCAATGCCAGTGAAGGTCCCCCAACATTGCAGTAAACTGTCATTCCCGCATGGAACTACGCCCCCCAACTGCTAGGAAAAGTCGCCCCAATTTCTTCGCCCATTGTAAACGCACCACGAAACTGAAAAAATACCAAAAAAACTATCATCCCAAATGTGCAAAACACCATGAGAACGCAAGTCACCCAATGGTTTCAAATTATGGAAAATTATTAACATGTTATCAATTTCAATATCAAAACACCATGTAAGCGCATGATTCATGTATGTTTGGGTAAAATATATTTTCTGTTACAATTCGCATCTAATTCTAATGTTCAAAGTATAACAAGTACATCTAAGAAATGTCATCTTTTGGTTCAAAACACAATGAGAACGAATGATTCATGTATGTTTTGGTAACTAAACTATGGGGTTCTGACTTACATCTCAACTCAATATTTCTGCAACCAATTTCTGTGGCCAAATTGCGCTCTTCTTAAAACAAAGCATCAAATTCCCGAGCAGGTGCATTTGAACTGAGCCCCCAGGGTCTTAAATCACGGGTTTCGAACGATGCCAAAACGAGGCCCGAACGAGGCCACAAAATAGCTTTGGAAACCCCTCAGCTTTAGCAGCAGTTTACCACCAGCCCAGCAGCAACTCTCTAGCAGCAGCTCAGCAGCAGTTTGCACGCTTGCCCATGGTGATATCCGGCAGCCATTTAGCAGCAGCCCAACATCAGCCCGACAACAGCCTAGCAGCAGACCAGCATCTAGTGTAGTTAGATGAATCGATGCAACTACTCGAAAGGCACCCCCCGGCAGAGCGACATATAAACACCTGACTGGATTTGCTCGACGGTCACATGAATGAGTCAGGCATGACAAAAAAAGTTCTCAAGTGTAAACACAATCTAAATGAAGCAATATTTACTTCTAAAGCATCGTTTTCTATCTTACGCAACTGCTCCACAGCAACTAAACGCATGTTGGGGCGACTTTCCCGGGAAGTCCCCCCAACTAAACGCAAGATTTTGGATCGGGCGGGGCGAGTTTGCTATAAGCGAGTATGGGTAAAAATTGTTAAACATCGATGCACCAAGATCCAGAAACAAATTCAGCCCAGCAACTGGCTTCTCTGCCGCAGTTTCAATTCCTCCTGGCAGTTGGAATGATTGGAATGGTCAGGAACGACTTCGAATGGATCAGGGATTCAAACTGGGCCCCGACATGAAGCTACAAGTTTGCAAACGTGCAAATAGGATCAAATATGTGCAACAATTTATAAAATATGTGGCTTTGATCTTGAATCAGTCAACAACTCGTCATGTTGAGTAAAAGGTCATGTTGGGCCAAAAAAAATGACTCTCTGCCCATCAGAAATCTAGATTCCTCGAATAGATTTTCACATCGTTGAATGTGGGGTCCAAAAACCTGGCTCAAACCATTCAAGTTTGATTTAAAAACACATGAGGGGATCTATCAATCAAAATGAGAGGAGCTCATTAGTGATCTAACAATCAAATGACCCCTGATAGATAAGTCATGCAATCGCATTTTGTTTGTTTCTTTCACCTTCGGTTTGGAATAGCTACCTCAGAAAACGGCTCCTGCAGCTAAACCACAAGTTTAGGCAGCAAAGATAAAACGTTCCTTGTTATGTTTATGATCAAACTGCCTGAGGTACTTCCAACTCCGCATGTTGGGTATTCTATTCATACCTTCTTTCCATCCCACTTGATTAGTTTTCTGGACCACAGACTCAGCTTTGTTCAACCAAAATCCAGACATCAAAGCGTTCCCGCCGTTGCTTTGATGCAAAATTGTCCATCCCCAAAATCCATCTGGATTGGTCTACTTTTGATACTTCGGTATAAGCATGGAAAGGACGGCTTCCACCGACAGGTTCGCTCCTGCTATCCACTTGGTCAGCAGCGTGTTCTCTCTCCTGAGCTGTGCCTAAAGGTGAGGGTCCTCAACCAAGAGGCCCCGAGTCTGAGGGTATATAGAAGGCAAATAAAGCAATATATAATATATACTTTGAAAATTCTCGTGACGGGCTGCCAAAACGAATAATACAAACCTGAGTTTTGTTTGGGGGAGATTTTACACCGTGGGCAACGGACTATTCATGCTTGTCTACCTGCTGGATGATCCTCCACCATTAACATTAACATTGCCCTTTGTGAGTTTCACACTCTGAGTTAGTTACCGCTGTCCAGTCTAGAAAAAAATAGGGATGGATGCAAAATTGTGTAACAATGGACAATTGGGCATTCAAACATCAGTCCTGCCCCGAAGGCAGACCTGAACCCCAGCCCTGCATCCCCGCATCGCCGAAGGCTCATGGTGCGGTAGATATTCTGATTCTGCTCTGATGGGCTGTAGGCTGGGAAAATCACCGCGGACGGGTTGTCCAAGGTGAACATGGTATCTGGGAACCACCAGTAAATCAAACCTTCAGTGGAACAGCGGAGACCAAAAACGCGGCTGGGGAGAAATAGCATATATACAATCGAGCGATTCCGGAAGGGCAATGCAATGGAGCCCGCAGGATTTTTGTGTTTGTCTTGAAGAGTTGAAATGAAACCAATTTGTTGATCTGGATAAATCAAAACCTCTGGTTTTGCGTGTCTTGGCCGGGCCTGGCCACTTGAGGCTGTCAGGTGATGTTTTTTCCATGAGCTGGGACCGGGACTCCCGCAGCCTTGAGCCCATCATCTGGGGTTCAGACTCGCTTCTTTGACGTGGTAAACCCAACAATATAAGCCATAACCCATTTACTCAATTCCACTACTTAAGGGGCTACTGAATACAGATCTAAAGCAGCGGGTCATTATTGCTCAAGAATATTACCTAAATCCTTTTCCCATTCTATAACGTTTATTTGTAAAATCACAAAGTACTATTAGTGACTCTTAGCTTAACCAGATTAATCTTCGCCCGTCAGGGCACTCTGCAACTCACGCCCCAGTTGGGCGTAGCTGGCATCGCTCTCTTTGGCGGATGCGAAGGCGATGGGCATGTTGTGGAACGAGGCTTGCTGCATCATGAAACTCAGGCCCCAACCTTCCTGCCAGAACGACAAGTGGAAACCAGTGGGACTTTGGCGAAGGGATGCGAACGGGTGGAGAATGGACAGCCAATTTATGTGGATGGCATGTATGCATGTATGCATGCATGCATGTATGCATGTATGCATGTATGCATGTGTGCATGGATGCATGAATGCATGAATGCATGTATGCATGTATGCATGTATGCATGTATGTATATGTATGTATGTGGGTATGTATGTAGGTATATATGTATGTATGCATGTATGTAATGTAGTGTAATGTAATGCAATGTAATGTAATGTAATTTAGTGTAGTGTATGTATGTATGTAAGTATGTATGTGAATATGTATGTGTGTATGTATGTAATGTATGCATGCATGCATGCACGTATGTATGTGTATGTATGTATGTATAAATGTAATGTTTGTAATGTATCTAATGTATCTAATGTATGTAATGTATGTAATGTATGTAATGTATGTAATGTATGTATGCATGCATGAATGCATGTATGTATGCATGTATGCATGTATGTATGCATGTATGGATGTATGTGGATGTATGTGGATGTATGTGGATGTATGTGGATGTATGTGGATGTATGTGGATGTATGTGTATGTATGTCAATGTATGTGTATGTATGTGTATGTATGTGTATGTATGTGTATGTATGTGTATGTATGTGTATGTATGTGTATGTATGTGTATATGTATGTATGCATGTATGCATGTATGTATGTATGTATGTGTGTGTGTATGTATGTGTGTTGTATGTATGTATGTATGTATGTATGTGTGTATGTGTGTATGTATGTATGTATGTATGCATGCATGCATGTATGCATGTATGTATGTATGTATGTCTGTGTGTATGTATGTATGTATGAATGAATGAATGAATGAATGTATGTAATGTATGTAATGTATGTAATGTATGTATGCATGCATGAATGCATGTATGCATGTGTGTATGCATGTATGCATGTATGTATGCATGTATGCATGTATGTGGATGTTGTGGATGTATGTGGATGTATGTGGATGTATGTGGATGTATGTGAATGTATGTGTATGTATGTGTATGTATGTGTATGTATGTGTATGTATGTGTATGTATATGTATATGTATGTATGCATGTATGTATGCATGTATGTATGTATGTATGTGTGTATGTATGTATGTATATATGTATGTATGTATGTATGTCTGTATGTATGTATGTATGCATGCATGCATGCATGTATGCATGTATGCATGTATGCATGTGTGCATGGATGCATGAATGCATGAATGCATCTATGCATGTATGCATGTATGCATGTATGTATATGTATGTATGTGGGTATGTATGTAGGTATATATGTATGTATGCATGTATGTAATGTAGTGTAATGTAATGCAATGTAATGTAATGTAATTTAGTGTAGTGTATGTATGTATGTAAGTATGTATGTGAATATGTATGTGTGTATGTATGTATGTATGCATGCATGCACGTATGTATGTGTATGTATGTATGTATGAATGTAATGTTTGTAATGTTTGTAATGTATCTAATGTATCTAATGTATCTAATGTATCTAATGTATGTAATGTATGTAATGTATGTAATGTATGTAATGTATGTATGCATGCATGAATGCATGTATGCATGTATGTATGCATGTATGGATGTATGTGGATGTATGTGGATGTATGTGGATGTATGTGGATGTCTGTGGATGTATGTGGATGTATGTGAATGTATGTGTATGTATGTGAATGTATGTGTATGTATGTGTATATGTATGCATGCATGTATGTATGCATGTATGTATGTATGTGTGTTGTATGTATGTATGTATGTATGTATGTATGCACGCATGCACGTATGTATGTGTATGTATGTATGTATGTATGTATATATGAATGTAATGTTTGTAATGCATCTAATGTATCTAATGTATCTAATGTATCTCTGTATCTAATGTATGTAATGTATGTAATGTATGTAATGTATGTATGCATGCATGAATGCATGTATGCATGTATGTATGCATGTATGCATGTATGTATGCATGTATGGATGTATGTGGATGTATGTGGATGTATGTGGATGTATGTGGATGTATGTGGATGTATGTGTATGTATGTGAATGTATGTGTATGTATGTGTATGTATGTGTATGTATGTGTATATGTATGTATGCATGTATGCATGTATGTATGTAAGTATGTATGTGAATATGTATGTGTGTATGTATGTATGTATGCATGCATGCATGCACGTATGTATGTGTATGTATTTATGTATGAATGTAATGTTTGTAATGTATCTAATGTATCTAATGTATCTAATGTATCTAATGTATGTAATGTATGTAATGTATGTAATGTATGCAATGTATGTAATGTATGTATGCATGCATGAATGCATGTATGCATGTATGTATGCATGTATGCATGTATGTATGCATGTATGGATGTATGTCGATGTATGTGGATGTCTGTGGATGTATGTGGATGTATGTGGATGTATGTGTATGTATGTGAATGTATGTGTATGTATGTGTATGTATGTGTATATGTATGCATGCATGTATGTATGCATGCATGTATGTATGTATGTGTGTGTATGTATGTGTGTTGTATGTATGTATGTATGTATGTATGCATGTATGTATGCATGTATGTATGTATGTGTGTATGTATGTATGTATGTATGTATATATGTATGCATGCATGTATGTATGTATGTATGTATGTGTGTATGTATGTATGTATGTATGTATCTATGTAATGTATGTAATGTATGTAATGTATGTAATGTATGTATGCATGCATGAATGCATGTATGCATGTATGCATGCATGTATGCATGTATGCATGCATGTATGCATGTATGTATGCATGTATGCATGTATGTGGATGTTGTGGATGTATGTGGATGTATGTGGATGTATGTGGATGTATGTGGATGTATGTGGATGTATGTGTATGTATGTGTATGTATGTGTATGTATGTGTATGTATATGTAAATGTATGTATGCATGCATGCATGCATGTATGCATGTATGCATGTATGTATGTGTGTATGTATGTATGTATGTATGTATGTCTGTGTGTATGTATGTATGTATGTATGTATGTATGTATGTATGTATGCACGCATGCACGTATGTATGTATGTATGTATATATGTATGTATGTATGTATGTATGTGTGTATGTATGTATGTATGTGTGTATGTATGTATGTCTGTATGTCTGTGTGTATGTATGTATGTATGTATGTATGTATGTATCCAATGTATCTATGTATCTATGTATCTATGTATCCAATGTATCTATGTATCTATGTATCTATATGTTAATCCATTTGGGTCATATTCGATTGTTGGCATATGTTAGTATTCAGCTCAAAAGGTCTCAAATTTTGGCCCATCCTCACATCTACCGCTGTCCAGCCTTTGACGTGATGCAAGGAATGCAGCCGCTGGGATTCGCACGACACGCCGGAGCCACCCACCACTTGTCCTGCTGGCGAGCCAAGCAACTGAAGGTCCCAGGCCTCTTGTCACACCGTGGTTGATTGCCAGATGTAGTGACTGACAGATTTCATGATTGTATATAAACTACTGGAGTGGCATCTTCTTCCAGCTACCGGATTTTTTTGGTTATCCAATGTTTCCATCCCTTTAAATCATTTGAACATTTTTAAACAAACATAAACCCGAAGCAAGCCGAGAAGGTGGTCCTGCCAGCAATCCAAGACAGTGTTGCCAGACTCAGTCTTCACCCCGTTGTTATCACCGGTGGCCGCCAAGTAGAGGGAGGCAGTTTCGGGCGCGCGGGTCATGACGGACTCGGCCTGGGATAGAAGGGGGGTATGACCATGGCATTGTGATATATCTACTATATGAATTGTGCGAGGTATGCACCTTTTGAACATGTTGGAACAGGACTTTTCTAGGGATCCAAAATGACACAATATATTGCCTTACTGTGAGTAATGCTACAAGCCTGGCTGAGTGAGCACCTGCTGGATCCCATTTCAGGGTACTGATTCTGAGCGGCAGCCACCTATCATCTACCAAATCAAATTAACGCATTGCTGTCCTGTGTACGCATGTGCCTGTGATAGATATTTACATACATACATACATACATACATACATGCATACATGCATACATGCATACATGCATACATGCATACATGCATACATGCATACATGCATACATGCATACATGCATACGTGCATACATGCATACATGCATACATGCATACATGCATACATGCATACATGCATACACGCATACATACACCCATACATGCATGCATGATTACATACTTTACATACATTACATACATTACATACATTACATACATTACATAAACTACATACTTTGCATACATTACATACATTACATACATTACATACATTACATACATGACATACATTACATACATTACATACATTACATACATTACATACATTACATACAAACATACATACATTACATTACATCACATCACATCACATCACATTACATTACATACATTCATACATAACATGCATAACATACACTACCAATATTACAAACATCACAAGCTTTACACGCATTACAAACTATACATACATTAAATACATTACATCCATTACATCCGTTACATACATTACATACATACAAACATACAAACACACACTACATACATACATACATACATACATTACATTACATTACATTACATTACATTACATTACATACATTCATACATAACATGCATAACATACACTACCAATATTACAAACATCACAAGCTTTACACGCATTACAAACTATACATACATTAAATACATTACATCCATTACATCCGTTACATACATTACATACATACAAACATACAAACACACACTACATACATACATACATACATACATACATTACATTACATTACATTACATTACATTACATTACATTACATTACATACATGACATACATTACATACATACATACATTACATACATTACATACATTACATACATACATTACATACATACATACATACATGCATTACATACATACATTACATACATACATTACATACATACATTACATTACATTACATTACATTACATTACATTACATTACATTACATTACATTACATTACATCCACATACATTACATACATTACATACATACATACATACATACATTACATACATTACATACATTACATACATACATTACATACATACATACATACATGCATGCATGCATACATGCATGCATGCATGCATGCATACATACATACATACACACATGCATCCATGCATGCATGCATACATACATACATCCATCCATCCATACATACATACATTACATACATACATACATACATACTTACATTACATTACATTACATTACATTACATTACATTACATTACATTACATTACATACATACATTACATACATACATACATACATGCATGCATGCATGCATGCATACATTCATTACATACATACATGCATACATACATACATACATGTACATACATACATGCATATACATACATACATACATACATACATACATACATACATACATACATACATACATACATACATACACTATATACATTACATACATTACATACATTACATACATTACATACATACATACAAACATACAGATATACATGCATGCATACATACATTACATTACATTACATTGCATTGCATTGCATTGCATTGCATTACATTACATTGCATTACATTACATTACTCATTACATTACATTACATTACATTACATTACATTACATTACATTACATTACATACATACATACATACATTAATTACATTACATTACATTGCATTACCTTACATTACATTGGATTACATTAAATGACATTACATTAAATTACAAAACATTACATACAATACATACATACATACATACATACATACATACATACATGCATACATACATACAAACATACATACATACATATGCGTACATATACATTACATTACAGTACATTACATTACGTTACACTACATTACATTACATTACATAACATTACATACATACATGCATGCATACATACATACATACATTATTTACATTACGTTACATGACATTACATTACATTACATTACTTAACATTACTCTAATTCTACCTTCCGCATTCCCAATTGCCGTCCCTTATTGCCCGTTTTAGATGTAAAATCTTCAGAAAATGATGCGGGGGACCACCAACGCCTGAGAATAGCAAAGTGGACATCACTCAAGGAAATGCATGTTTTCTTCCCGTTGCAGATGATAATTAGGTTAAATAGCAACGACAAGGAATCGAAAGATGGAAAAAGCTTCCACTAACATTGAATGGGCAAAATTCTCCAAGTTCCCTTTACATCTTTACAGAAACAACGCCTCTATTCCGAAAATGCGTAAAGTTCCAGGCAGGCATTTTTCATTGCAAAAGTTCTTGAACCTATCGTGGCCCTGTAGACAGGTCTGAAAACCGTTTCAAAACGTTTCAGCAAATTCAGAAGGATTCCACTTTCTAATATGGTGAGACTGATGCCTGCGGTGAGATCGAATCTTGGCATGAGAACGATTTCTGAGACCAGTGCGTTAGTTTTTGGACATCTTCCCGTCATTCTCAGCATGCGTGTCTATCTGCACATCCAGCCTACCTTTCCCTGCCCTGTGTGGAACCCTACCGGCCCACTACGTCCAGGTTCTGTGTCGCGCGTTTTTTTTTTCTCAAAAATTTGAAGGGTAGGGTTTCAGAGAGAACGTTGCGAAACACTGAAAAGTATGCTTTAAGTCGCTACCTTCCCCATTCGCATGTTTTTCCCAACCCTTCAGATTTTCGCGAAAAAAAGTTCGCCGCAGTTGTTTCACACAAACCGACTGACATGCTGAGTACGACTCCAACAGCCAATGTGGTGAGAACGATCCCGTACACCAATGCGCTTCAGAACGATGAATGTCATGAGAACAATTCCTAACCCCAATGCGATGAGAACGATTCCAGAAACCAATGCGATGAGAACGATTCCAGAACCTCATGAGGTGAGAAACATGGCTGCTGTGAGAACGATTCCTTCGTCCAACGATACTGAGACAGATTTCGAAACGGGCAACGAAGGCACAACCCGAGGAATTTCCATGGCCAGCAAAGCCCAAACTACAGGCAATGATAGGTTAAAGAGCCCTTTTTCATCCTTTTTATAGGTTTCAAATTGAATGAATTGAGTCCATCGAAAGTTTACTAAAATTTACTTTACACCATACACCCCACTTGTGCAACAAAATGCCTGCGGAGCATCACAACTCGTACACTGGATCAGCAAGGGCGTGCCAGTCAAACCATCTTTTTTTTTGTTTTGCATCGATTTCAGGACCTAGAGTAGGATCATTTTGAAGCATGCGAATGTCAGAAAAGAATGGGAGAGCCAATGTTAGAATTACATAACATAACATACACACATTATCTTACTTACTTACTTACTTACTTACTTACTTACTTTCTTACTTACTTACTTACATACATACATACATACATTACCTACATTACCTACACTACATACACTACATACATTACATACATTACAAACAGTACAAGCATTACAACTATTACATACATTGCATACATTGCATACATTGCATACATTGCATACATTGCATTCACTGGATACATTGCATACATTACATATTATTACATATTATTGCATTACATACATTACATACGTTACATACATTACATACATTACATAAATTACATACATTACATACATTAGATACATCAGATACATTAGATACATTACATACATTACATACATTACACACATTAGATACATTACATACATTACATACATTACACTACATCACATCACATCACATCACACCACATCACATCACATCACATTACATACATACATACATATTTATATGTAAATAACTAGCTTATACGAGCATATATACTAAGAACTGGTGAGTTAGGACTGGTGGCCTCTGATGAGATAAAACTTGCTTGGGGACCAGTCCTATCTCATGTGGTCCACTGTTTGAAGCACTTGTGGGGCATTGGCTAGAATAGCCACATGAGTTAGGAGTTAAGGTACATGGGGTTTGCCCAACTCATGTGCGCTGGACCCTCTCTGAGACCTGAATGCAAGTTTGAAAAAACATCTTGAATCACCTTGATAAATGATCAAGACTTAATGTTTTGCGACAGCAGCAAAGGCTGATGAGACAGGAAATTACAAAGGTTCTAAAATGCAACAGTCCTATCTCACCTGCTTTTAGTGGTCAATGTTTTTCCCTTGCTACGCAAACACCCACAAGTCCTATCTCGCCTGGTTTTAGTGGTCAGTGTTTTTCCCTTGCTGCACCCATGTGCAATTAGATTTCCCGGGTCAAAAACCCACAAGTCCTATCTCACATAAGTTCAGTGGCGCACCTTTTTGCCTAGTTGCACCCATGTGCAATTAGATTTCCCGGGTCAAAAACCCACAAGTCCTATCTCACCTGCTTTTAGTGGTCAATGTTTTTCCCTTAGTGCCATCACTGAGCCAAATGGCTCGGCATGAAACCCATGAGATGGGACTCCTTCATGGGATATACATGCTACAGTCCCAACACATGTGTTATGCGAACATACCCCAAATCAGCTCTAACTCCTTTCTCATGTGTCCAAAGTGTAGCCTATAGCGTTAAAAACCATAAACTATGGGAATGTAAAAACTTGATGCAGGTATCAGTCAAATGGCCAATAGAACCACATGAGATAGGAGTTTGGCACCTTCACAGGGCAAACACAATACTTTACGGATGAGATAGGAAATCAAAAAACTCGACTCTCCGACAACTCCTCTCACTAGTACTGAGTATATATGATACAAGTAGATACACGTTATTTTCAATTGGATATCGCGAACTTCCCGTGAACGATGGATATCGCGAACTTCCCGTGAACGATTGCTGCGAGGCTGGGGGAAGTCATCTTTTCATACTTTGCCAAAGCACGCAGGTGAGCACGCGATCGAGACTCACATCCGACACCTTTGCAGTGTAGAGCCTGGGGCGTGCAGCTCCCTGGGTCCATGGGTGGTGTTTGGGGAAAGGTTCCATCCGGCCACAGGTGCAGGTACCTTTCCCAGGTTTATCCTCTACTTGCGGGTCATGCCACTGCTGTAACTGGCAAAGATGATTAGCTATGAAAACACAAACTTGGTGATTTTGTTCACCAAGAATCTCCACCAGTTAAATCAGTTAACAACTGGAGTGATCCTCCAAGATCATTTGGAGTGGACCAACATGTCATTATCTTCTCGTACCTTCGACCCAGCAAGTCCATGGGCCACGGTCTGAAATGGGCACAAAGCCCCTATCTGGTGCTGCTTGGCAGTACTTCAAGCAGCTGTTTCCAGACCATGCCGTTTCGATATCCAAGAGATGGATAACTGACCCTCCACAGAGAAATCCTGCCTTGTGAGCCAAGTTGCGCAGGGTTGAAGAAGTCAGCATTGTAGAAGCGATAGAAATCCAGTCCAACTCCGCTTTGGTTCAAGGCATTCTGTCAGGGTTGGCGGCTGGTATATACATTTTTCCACTGAGATATTGCTAGCTATATAAATCCAGCTGCTAACCATCTACAAACTTAAGAGGTTGTGTGTTGTCCCTCTGCAATGCATGAAATCCAAGGGTCGGTTTCTATGCCAAGATTACCATAGAATGTGTACAAAAATCATCAAGATGTTTCAAACTTTCCAATCGAAAGTAGTCAGCGAACATTATGGCAGGAAACAACGAATTTCGATCCACAGTTCATCATGACACATGAAGAGTTTTCCAAGCCTCAAGGGATCCGCCCAAAATGAACATGCCGTCAGTGCCCACATAGCCTAAGTTTGTCTTCAAGGCTGGGGCTTACCAATTCCAATAACCCAAAAAACGCCAATGTTTACTGTTTTTGTTGGCTGCGGGAAAGAAAGTTCGCCAATCAACAAACGTGGTAAGACTCGTATAGCGAGCAAAAACGATGTGCACTTTGAACGCAAACTCCCTGGAAAAAAAATCAAAAGGTCATCGCGTCAAATCATGCTATCTTGACCGCATCGGCGAAAGAGCATAGACATGCAACCTACATTGGACTGAAATCAAGGCAAGAGGCACAAGCTTTCTGCGAGTCAATCCTGACGTTAACATCCTGAAATCTGTTTGACAAGCAACCAAGATTGCCCAAATTCCGGGGAACCTTATCTCCAAAGGTCTTGAAGGACTCTTCAATGTAGTCCTGATAGCCTTCCCAGCTCTCGAAACCTTGCTGCGGCTCAATGAGAATCTGTTGGGAGGCTCCAACTGGTTCCAACTGATCCCAACAAACATATCAGTTCCTTGGTGTTCCAACTGGTCACTCAAACTGAACAAACCAAGTGAAACCTACCAGTGCATGGTATCCTTGGAGAATAAGTTTGAATCACACATCAGTGACTTGTCAACCCTGCCAAAAAATCGTCCTATGGAACTTGGTGGTTGCTGTCTCTCCCACCAACGCCAAGAAACTAAAATGATAGCGCCGCACAGGTTCACAATTTCCTGCAGCCAATTGCACGGAAAAAAACTAGACATAACTGGACCCCCTGCATCTGCTGCAGCCTTCCCAAATTCTCTCCGTAGCAGAACGTCCTGTGGTCTGCTCGGTTCCAGGGACTGGACAGCCAGACAGCGCGTAGATGATGGTCCGTGAGGCTGGACCGCTGTCAATGGAAACCTGGGCTCATAAGAGCTCTGCTAGCATGATCTCTGTGAGAGACCTCTGGGAAGATTCTTGCAAGAGATCTCTATTCAAGGTCTCTGTGCAAATCTCTCTGAGAGGCCTCTTCGCAAGATCTCCGTAACAGGTCTCTAAAACGGATCCCCCCACAAGGTCTCTATGAGATATGAGAGATCTCTTGGCAAGATCGCTGTGGGAGATCTCTGCGCAAGCTCTCTGAAAGAAATCTCTAACAGATCTCCATACAAGATCTGCGCAAGAAATCTCCGAATAAGATCTCTGTTCAAACTCTCTGAAACAGATCTCTTAGCAAGATCTCTGAAGGAGACCTTTTGGCACGATTTTTGCAAGAGCTCTCTCTATGCAAGGTGTCTGTGCAAGGTCTCTGTGCAAACTCTTTATCAAAAGTCTCTCGGCAAGATCTCTGTACAAACTCTCTTTTGGAGGCCTCTTGGCAAGATCTCGGAAAGAGACCTCTTGGCAAGATCTTTGCAAGAGCTCTCTACGCAAGGTCTCTGTGCAAACTCTTTATCAAAAGTCTCTCGGCAAGATCTCTGTACAAACTCTCTTTTGGAGGTCTCTTGGCAAGGTCTCTATCAGAGATATCCACGCAAGATCTGTGTAAGAGATCTCTATGCAAGATCTCTGCGCAATGTCTCTGAAAGAGATCTTTTCGCAAGATCTCTGTGAGAGATCTCTTGGACTTGGACTCTTGGCAAGATCTCTTTGCATTCTCCTTGTCAAAATCTCTGCGCAGGATCTCCTGGACGGAATCAGCGCTGTGCCACAGCAAGAGCGATCCGACACGCACATCACAAAGGTTGGGCAAACCCTGGAAAACCCACGGACGACACGGCGCCAAAGGTGCTGCAAATTTCCTGCGACTTTTGTTAAAACCGCATTTTTCATGCGACTTTCACGACTATATGACTATATGCGACTTTTGGGTTGCGGGTCTCATGCGTTCCGTATATTTATCCGCAAGAAGTGCGCAACATGTTCAGAAGGAAAAACACCATTTTTTTTTCACGTTTTCTTTTTCATGTCTTTTTCACACTTTTTTCTGGCCTTTTTCACTGTTGTCGCAAAAAAACAAAACACGTTAAAACTGTGACGTGGACTTGCAACATTTTTCCTAGACTTGCGACCTTCGGACACGGCATGCGACTTTTGTCACAGTCACAATTTTTCCCTACGACTTGGTTTCCTAGGTATGCAAAACATTGCAAAACAACGAACATCGTGCATTTGCCATTAAAAGCGAGACTTCCGTCAAAAATGGAAGATCAAGGAACTTTTGTGCCGTAAGGGTCAGCAAATTTGCCGGACCTGCCCATCCGAATCCTGAATCGAAACCAAACCCTATCCATTGCCGCAAGAACCACAAGTGTGACCACACTGCTTGGGGAAGAAATAATGTGTTCCCAGTCTTACTGGTCAAATGAATCCATGGACAAACTTCGCAAGACAAACTTCGCAAGCAGGCCAATGCTTGAGTTCACCTCCAACATCTTCAAAAATTGCCGAAACAAGGTGGGTTCTTGAGAGTTGGGGATGACTTATACCATGGAAATTGAGAATTACCAGTAGTGCCGCACAAGGCGGTGGCGGAAGTTTCAAAAATAGGAAGCCTATAGGAGAGCCTGGTTGTTGTGAATCACGGATGGCAGAGCGAATCCACTGATGGACCGAAAGGTGGTTGGTTGTGTTTCTTGGAATGGTTACAATTTACAACGGTTGCAGTGGTCACCTGGTCGGTCACCTCACCCACAACTGCTGGCTGGATGTAGTGCGGTGTAGTGTAGCTGTAGTTGTAATCGTAGTGTAGTGGAGTTGTAGTTGCGGTGTAATGTATTTAGTGTAGTGTAATGTAATGTAGGGTAGTGTAGTGTAGTCTACTGTAGTGTAGTGTAAAATAGCGTAGTTGTAGTTGTAGCTGTGGTTGTAGTTGTAGCTGTAGTTGTAGTCAGCGTAGCAAAGTGTAGTGTGGCGAGGTGTGGCGTAGTGTGGTGTAGTGTGGTGTACTGTAGTTGTAGTTGTAGTTGTAGCTGTAGTCGTAGTTGTAGCTGTAGTTGTAGGTTAGTGTAGGTTAGCGTAGGTTAGTGTAGTGTAATGTAGTGTAGTGTAGTGAAGTGTAGTGTAGTGGAGTGTAGGGTAGTGGAGTGGAGTGTAATGTAGTGGAGTGTAGCGTAGTGTATTGTAATTAGTGTTGTGTAGTACATTTGTAGTTGTAGTTGTAGTTCTAGTTGTAATTAGTGTAGTGTAGCGTAGTGTAATGTAATTAGTGTAGTGTCGTGAAATGAGTGTAGTGTAGTGTAGTGTCGTGTAGTGTAGTTGTAGTTGTAGCTGTAGCTGTAGTTGTAGTTGCAGCGTAGTGTACTGCAACTGAGTGTAGTGTAGTGTAGTGTAGTGTAGTGTAGTGTGGCGTAGCGAAGTGTAGTGTAGTAAAGTGTAGTGTAGTGTAATTAGTGTAGTGTAGTGTAGCTGTATTGTAGTTGTAGCTGTGGTTGTAGTTGTAGTGTAATTGGTTTAGTGTAGCGTAATTAGAGGTAATTAGTGTAGTGTAGTGTAATTAGTATGTGTAATGTAGCGTAGTATTTTTGTAGTTGTAGCAGTAGTAAAGTGTAGTGGTAGTTGTAGCTGTAGTTGTCTTATCTATCTATCTATCTATCTATCTGCCTGCCTGCCTGCCTGCCTGCCTGTCTGTCTGTCTATCTACCTGCAAGCTTGAAAGCGCAGCAATTCTGCGAGACTTCCTCAACTTTTGAACTTGATAACGTCAAAAACGAATCAATTCTGCGAGACTTCCTCAATTTTTCAAGTTGGCAACATCAAAAACGAAACAAGCGAGACTTCCTTCAATAATGGAAATTTGAGTGCAGAGCTGACGGCCTGGTAACAATGCGTTTTGAGATTTGTCCAATCCATGTCTCTCAAGTATTGCGCCTGCCACGAAAAAGTGAGGCCAGGTCATACGGAGTGCTGCACCTGTCATGCAAAATCATCTTCGTAAACCTGAAGATCTCATGCTCCAAATGCAGCCCCTCTCAGGAAATCTCCGCCCTGACCTCCTAACACATCTAGCTCATGTGTCTCTTGTACTGCGCCTGCCCCGCGAAATGCATCTTTCCAGATCCTCTTCAAATGTCCCACACCTGCCAGCGTTTTTGAAACTGCTACTTGTTACAAAACCCTCACATTTTGCTCACTTTTGACAAGGTGCAGTTATCCCTTGTGACTGCCATGCAAAACGACATCCGAACGTCCAAAAGTGCTCCGTTCCCCCTCATTTTTTTGCACTTTTGGCTTCGAAATGTGCTTCGCGCCACAACGGCGTGCACTTTTTCGACATGTCAACTTCCAAAAGTGCTCCAAGACCGTCAGTTTTTAACACTTTGACTTGGAAATGTGCTTCGCGCCACAACGGCGTGCACTTTTTCGACATGTCAACTTCCAAAACTGGTCCGAACATGGTGTGTTTTCTCCATTTTGGTGTGTTTTCTCCATTTTGACTTGGAGATGTGCTTCGCGCCACAACGGCGTGCACTTTTTCGACATCGCAACTTCCAAAAGTGGTCCGACGCTGGTGTGTTTTGTACATTTTGAGTTGGAAACGTGCTTCGCGCCACAACAGCGTGCAACTTTTCATCTCTCATCTGACCACATGGCTCCGCACCCGCCACTTTAGCGAGCCTACTTTTCGACCCTCCGGAGCCACAAATCACTGGAAAAACACAGTGTTTCGCGACTTTCCTACCTTTTCGCGCACCTGCATCTTCTTTCTGCTCGCTCTTTCTCTTCTCTGATCTTCTCTCTTCGGCTCTTCTCCTCTCTGACTCTTCCCACCTCTGTTTTTCCATCTGTCCATATTGTCGGAAGTTTGACTTCTAAACTTCCTTCGATGATACAATAACTCGTGTTTTCCCAAAACTTGTGGATTCCTCCAAAACAAACTCCTTGGAACCCCTTCTTTGTTGATGATTGCTTCGTGCTTCCCAATTGAAGGCCCTGAAGTCCAAGTTATCCTCTTGAAACATTGAAGCAAGAAACGTTGTATCCAAGCTTCTCCTGCCATGGCAACGGTTGAAAACCCAGTAATTGTGTGTCGCAGAGGCCATGAACAATATTAACAGATCAAAGCAGGATTTGTACGATGTTGGGTTGGGAGTCACACATGGATACCGGTGTGCCCGTGGATATAAAACTTCAAACCATACACATTGATATAGCAACTTTCCTTGGCAGGGTCAAGGCGGGAAATGCAACCAACATGGCAGTCTCGCCTCACTTTCACGTTTGGTTTGCCACAAGGGATTTTCCAGTCCAAAAGACCCAATTTAGGGGATTTCCTCACAGGCAGTACCTGGGGTTCTAGGTTGATATTACTTAACGGGCTCCAAATTGACTAGTCAGCACCACCCTTTCGTGTTCATGCTCCTGCCTTTCATGTTCATCCTCCTCAAACGGACATGTGAATCATTTCTGATAATTTTGCGCTCATGAATAGGAGCGCACCCCGACCCCAGGTTTCTTCTACTCCAAAAGACATCGGTAAATTAAACAGTGTATGCGCATAGATGCGGCCCATCGTGTCATATTCCCATCGATGGCTGGCTGCACTCCCAAGAGTTATGTCTGCATCTTTTTGTCTGCATGTACATGTTGTTACACCTCTGCTCTTGGCTCCACAGGCCTCGGTGAGGATCTCCCAAATACTGGAGGTAATCGATGCACTGGGCCAGCTAAGCCTGAATGCTGAACAGCTAAGGCTGAGATTTGGGCATGGCATTGAGAAGGAACTTGAACTTGGCAGATGACGTAATTGGAGGGTTTGGGGGTTAAATCGATTGAGCATCTTCAACCGACCAACATATTCCGAAGAGTGGAATTTTGGAACGCCTAAAAACTGTAAAAATCTGTGGGTGCCCATACCAATGTGCGCTGCAGTTCCTGCGTCCAAAACCTCCTGTTTGGGGCGTGGCATTTCTATCCTCAGAGAGTCAGTTTGGCGAAGCCACGGCCAATCTCCATGGTAAGCATGGAATACCTTCCAACAGACCGTGACATGGCTAGACACGGCCGCACCTACCGGTCACTTCACCTCCAAAGGCCGATTTTGGCAGATCTATCTATTTCTCCAAACACTCAATCGCACTCTCAAACCATTGGCTATGTATCAAACTTTCTTCTTGTGCGAAATTTAGTTCGCAAACTTCCGAGTCACGGACGGGTGTCCACAGCCAGTCTTGTCATCATGCCAGCCAACAGCAGTTCGCACGTGGGAACAGAGGAGGAGAGTAGCAGTTCGGGAGCGTGTATTTTTGCAGGTTGGTGGCCCCTGGTTGCCAAAGTATGGTCCGTGTTTCCGGGATTTCGGGCCTCGATCTGGGAAAGCTGGCGACAAAAGCGCACGAGAAGACTGTACAGCGCGGAAGCTTCGATTTGCACTTCAAAAAGAAAAACTGGAGGGACAGAGCACTTTCGGAGGATGAGGTCGGAAAAATGCATTGCTTCATTGATTCATTGCTCTATATATTGTGGTTCATCGGTTCATTGATTCATTGATCCGTGGATTCATGGAATCATGGATTCAGTGATTCATTGATGCGTTGATTCAGTGCTTTGTATGTTGCTTCATCGATTTATTGCTTCGTTGATTCATGGGTTCCTTGATTGGATGATCTTGTGATTGATTGAATCAGTGGTTCATCCACTCAGAATCTCATTGCTTCAGTGGTTCTTTGACTCACGGATTCATTGTTTCAGTGATAATATTGAATCAGTGATTCATCAAGCCATCCGTTCATTGATTCACTGTTGAGCCATGGATTCTTTGATTCAGCAATCACTAGAAAGAACAACGTCAGGTTCAGGCAGAAGCAACAGAAACAGAAGGACCGCCGCCGCGGCCACCACCACCAGCAGCAGCAGCAGCACCACCACCACCACCTGCATCAGCAGTAGGAACAGCAAAAGCCACCAAAACATCAAAAAACAGCAAAGGCAACAGCACAACAACCAGAAAAAATACAAGAAGAAACAACAAAAAGATAGAAGACTTCAATGAAGAAGAAGGAGAAGAAGAAGCAAGAAGGTAAAAAAATGAGAAGAAGAACGCGTAACTCAGAAGATTCTCACTGAAAAACTGTGTTGTCCCATGGCCCCCGCTGATGAAAAAATCAAGCATTTCATTGACTCACTGCATTCATTGGTTCATGGATTCAATGACTCATTGATTCATTGACTCAATGATTCATTGATTCATCATTTCCCTGATTCACTATTCATTGGTTGATTCAGTGATTCAGTGATCCAGTGTGCTTTGACTCCTTGATTTTACGGGTCATTGGCTCATCCAGTCAGCTGTGCGTGGATTCTTTCATGTCATCTCATTGGCATCTCAACAGCCACTTGCTCATTCGCTGATGCACCTCGCAACTTCAACACCACTTATCTCTTATACTTGTGTTTTTTTCGACACTTCCGCCCCGCGACAGCCGGGCACTACCTTGTAGTTTGTGTCACAGGATACAAGAGAACACACTTTATTGACAAATCATTTTGTTGAGTTTCGACTTCAACCCACTTATATTTGGCAGCTGTCCACCCTGGACTTGCTACCAGGCCACTTCCAAAGGCCCACGGGCATTTCTTGGCCATCAAAGAAGATGTTCTTCCGCTGCGCCACAGGGACGGCGTCGGAGAAACATGGCGCCGCGCACCTGGTGCGATGGGAGCTGAGCTACTGATGGCTGGTCAATGAGTGGTAGTTACATCTAATTACTGACGTCCAATTTCTTCACTGCGTATATCATCTGATATCTACTAAACAACTTGTTTTACTCAAAGTATTGAGAATATTCAAGAGTTGCGAAACTACTTGGGTCATATAAGTTTAAGCCCCCTGAATTTCTTGTGAGCATCTCAGGCATTGGCAAATGTTTCAGCTAGCAAGGTGAATTTCTTCGCCGACAGAACTGACAGTGCCAATTTGGGGTGAAAAGAAAGAAATATGGACAGTAAATATTGTTTGGCAAACTCAGCCAGTATTGGCTGATTGACATGGGGCAATAACCAACCACACCCAATGCTGAAAAAGTATGAAAAAGTGGGTTCAATATAAACCTTCCAAAAATCCGTATATTCTTTGTTCCACTTGCCAGGTAAGGGTTGTTTGATTTTATGCCAGCCGTATACTCCTCCTTCCTCCGCCTCGCCCGACGGACCTCAACTCAACTGCAAGCGCTAGATCGCAATGTTCCCCACCGGACATCAACTGCAAGCTCGTGATCGCAGTCGTCGCCGCCGAACTGTGATCCCAGGATCAGAATGGTCCCTGCCGGACCTCAACTGCAAGCGTGAGATCGCAGTGGTCCCCGCCGGACCCGAAAGCCTCGGATCAGAGCGGTCCCTGCCGGGCCCGAACAGCAAGCGCTAGATCAGAGTGGTCCCTGCCGGGCCCGAACAGCAAGCGCTATAGATCAGAGCCCTAGATCACAGTTGTCCCTGCCGGACCAGAGCAACAAGCGCTAGATCAGAGCACTAGATCGCAGTGGTCCCTGCCGGACCTTGACCACAAAGAACCTACGAATGTATATCAGATAGAATGATAGAATAGCAGAAAACGTGTCAGAAGATATGCCAGATAAATGTCAGAATATATGTCAGATAGACTGTCAGAATATATGTCAGATGGAATGCCAAACAGGATGTCAGAATTTGTGTCAGATAGACTGATTATAGAATGTCAGAATATAGGTCTCGATAGAATGTCAGAATATAAGCTAGATATTATGATTAGAATGTCAGAATATTTGTCAGATAGTATGTCAGAATATATGCTAGATAGAATGCCAAAAGAATGTCAAAATATATGCGAGATAGAATGTCAAAAAATGTCAGGTAGAATGCCAAAAAGAATGCGAGAATAGATGCCAGATAGAATGCCAGAAAGGAAGGCAAATAGAATGTCAGAACAGATGCCAGTTAGAATGTTAGGTATAAGTGTCAGAATATACGTCCAAAAATATGTATTGAAATGTCATGGTGGGGATCACCCGAAGGAAAAGCAATTAAACTTTATGTCAGCTCTACTCCTCCTTCCTCCGCCTCGCCCGCCGGACCCGAACAGCAAGCTCTAGATCGCAGTGGTCCCCGCCGGACCCGAACTGCAAGCCCCGGATCACACCAGTGCCTGCCAGAATTCAACTGCGAGTGCGAGATCGCAGTGGTCAGCAAGCCCCGGATCAGAGTGATCCCTGCCGGACCCGAACAGCAAGCCCCAGATCAGTGTAGTCCCTTCCGGACCCGAACGGCAAGCGCTAGATCAGAGTGGTCCCTGCCGGACCCGAACAGCAAGCGCTATAGATCAGAGCCCGATCACAGTTGTCCCTGCCGGACCAGAGCAACAAGCGCTAGATCAGAGCACTAGATCGCAGTGGTCCCTGCCGGACCTTGACCACAAAGAACCATACGAATGTATATCAGATAGAAAGGCAGAAAAAATGTCAGAAGATCTGCCAGATAAAATGTCAGAATATATGTCAGATAGACGGTCAGAATATATGTCAGATTAAGAATGCAAAATAGAATGTCAGAATATATGTCAGATAGAATGATTAGAATGTCAGAATGTATGTCAGCTAGAATGTCAGAATATATGTCAGTATCAAAAAAATCAAGTAGAATGCCAAAAAGAATGCGAGAATAGATGCCAGATAGAATGCCAGAAAGGAAGGCAAATAGAATGCAAGAATAGATGCGAGATAGAATGTTAGGTAAAATGTCAGAATATATGTTAAAACATATGTCTTGAAATGTCATGGTGGGGATCACTCGGAATAAAGTATTTTTAGCCTTTTACTCATCCCGCCAAAGGCACGCGAGGCGGGAAAGGCCAAGGCCCAGTAGCAGGAGCTGCAGCATGGCACCGACGTGTGGTGTCTCACGCGTGGCTGCAATCTGTATCACCAAGTTGGTCAGCATCTTCCCAAAAAGGGCTTCGGTTTCACAAATCTTTCAATCAGAACCATGATCTCAACCTACTAGGCGTTCCTTCTCTGAATTCCAAAAACATCTTCAATGTCTTCTGGGGTCTTGGGCCAAGTCTAGTTACTTTCTGCTACCGGCGCTGTTAACGGACCCGCAGGTTTTGCTGTTTTTTTGCTGTCGCATTGCACGTCAGTTAGAAGTATTGCACGTCAGTTGGAAGTATTGCCCGTCAGTTAGAAGTATTGCCCGTTAGTTAGAAGTATTGCACGTCAGTTAGAAGTATTGCCCATCAGTTAGAAGTATTGCGCGTACGTTAGAAGTATTGCCCGTTAGTTAGAAGTAATGCACGTCACTTAGAAGTATTGCCCGTTAGTTAGAAGTATTGCCCATTAGTTAGAAGTACTGCGCGTCAGTTAGAAGTATTGCACGTCAGTTAGAAGTATTGCCCGTTAGTTAGAAGTATTGCGCGTCAGTTAGAAGTATTGCACGTCAGTTAGAAGTATTGCACGAAGGATAGTGTGATTTTCTTGGGGGACCGGGTGCAAGGGGTACGCTGTAACATGTCTCTTGTCACTTGCCAGACGCTCTGGATGCTACGCTGTAACATGTTCTCAGGACGCAAGAAGAAACCATTACCCATCTACTTCCTCACACACTTGCGTTGGGCTGGTTGCGTGGAGCGTGGAGAAGGAGGACGCTTGCTTCTGTGCCAACTCGATCACATCTTGTTGCAGCCTGGATCATGTCCTGCCACAGAGTCTCTCCGAGATGCTCGAAAAACCGGATTTCTTAGGCAGTTGAAACGTCCTTGCACTGTATATGGGGATGGTGCAAAAAGTTATAAAAAGTTGGAAATCTGAGTGCAAACGGCATCGCCTTTGCTTCCGCGATGTACACACTACAAGATGGAGTTCACTCGCAAAACCAAAGTCAAACAAAAGGTACGCATCAATGGAACACAGTTGCTGGACCAGGTCTGGCGCCACCTGAAGCGCTTCGTACCCTTCTCGGTCCATAGCAAAGACAAAGTTACCAGGAAGGATTCTCAAAGAATCCAACAATATGCGTGGTCCTTCGCCTATCATTGGAACCACAAGGAGGACTTGAAAGGAAGCCTCGCCAACTTGTGTACAAACGCAAACGCTGAATCCATGAAGGAAAAAAGTCGAGCTTCAAAAGCTGTGGAGGTTTCGTTTTCCAAAATCCACATTTGTCAATTATTTAGCCCAAAAGAATTCAATGATCAATGAATAAATTCCTAGCGTAACGTGGGACGAAAACAACATTTCTAATTCTGGGTAAAATAACAAAATCGTCACGGCGCCACAGCTTTAAACAAATCCATACATAATGCTTGAAATAAAAATCATTAAAAACACCGGGTCCGCTATCAGCGCCGGTACCTTTCTGGCTTCCTTCGACAGGGCTGAACCAAAATGGCAGACTCGTCTAGATGGTTCATCGCTTCGCCAATGTCCTCTTAGATGTTTTTTTGGGGCCACGGTTCGTCACCTCTCAAACAGAAAATCGATGCAAAAGAACGGAACCTCCCATAGTCATCGTCATCATCATCATCATGATCATCATCATCATCATCATCATCATCATCATCGTCATCCTCATCATCATCATCGTCATCCTCATCATCATCATCACCATCATCATCATCATCATAGTCATCATAGTCATCATCGTCATCATAGTCATCATGGTCATCACCATCATCATCATGGTCGCCATCACCACCACCATCGTCATCATCCTCGTCACCATCACCATCATCGTTGATTCCAATTTGTTGGGTGCTCCCCACGACCGGCGATCAGCCCGAAGGGGGAACAGTTTGATGAGGCGCTTGAAAAGATGCAGAAGTGACTTCGTGTATCTGATGCCCTGAAGCTTGGAGAGTCAACCAGGGTCATCACCAGCCAAAAAGTCCATCACTGGGAATTTCTTTGCTATAGACTATAGGCTTCGGCTTAGGAATTACATAACAGTATATGTTCTTATATGTTCACATCATACTTTCTGTTTTCAAATACGTTTAAGATCGATTTACCATGATGATGCTTAACTGGTCTTAGCTGCAGCAAATGGGGGAATTCATACCCCTACTCCAGTGGAATTCTCAATTGTTGAAGCCGTGATTCTGTATAGGTGGCGTCATTGTTGCAGTAGATTGGATGTTTAAGCGAAAGCATATCCAAAGTCTAAATGAAGAACCGCCACCGCTGCGCATGCTATCATCAAGCCAAAAAACATCACAGCAAGTTGACAGTATATCACCATAGAATAATTACTACACACTTCATCTTGATAGGTGCCACTTGCAGACCTGATACAAATCACGAATTTGGCTGGGCAAGAACTGAGTGTGTTTGAAGTGTGAGGATGGTCCAGGGTACCCAAACCAGCGGGGTCTCTCAGGGATCTAATTTTTGTCAGATGCTAAGATCTCCAACAAGGCGCTGCTTTGGCGCTGCATTGGCGCTGCTAAGGGCTCAGAACCATGCTCTCAACCCAGGTGTTCCAGGTCTGAATTTCAAGAACATCTTCAATATTTCAATATCTTCTGGGGTCTTGGGCCAAGTCTAGTAGTTTCTGGCTTCCTTGGACAGGGCTGAACCAACAAATGGCTGACTAGTCTCGATAATCCATGGACTGGGCAATAGTTATCACTGGTAAATGTTGATGGGGAAAATGGATGGAAAAGAACGGGCCTTCCCATCGTCATCATCATCAGCATCATCAATGCCTATGGATTTGATTCCAAATGTTTGGGGGCTCCACACTTTGATTTTGGGTTGGGTGGCCGCATCGGTTCGATCCTTTTCTGCATCGCAGTTGGTTTCAGGCGTCCAAACGTCTTCCCGTAAGAGTGAGTATGACTTGTTCCATCGTGAAACATATTGTGACATGATGTTGGGGACCAGCCATTCCGCCAGAAATTGGGTACTTCATGGCTAGGATAATGATGCATCAACCTTCATCAGAGAGCTGACCTACCCACTCAACGCCCACCGTTGGCTGGACCTGGCTGTGGCAAAGGCGTAATCACGGCCGTGGTAATTGGCACTCCCAAATGAAAATGGGAGAGATGGGAAACTATGGGAAACTGTTTGAACACCTGGAGTGGAAGGAAACAAACTGCCAATATTCTTGATTCTTGATGGCACTTGTCTTGTCCTTTCGACATTCGGATGCATTCGTGCCCGTCGCAACAAGTGTCAACTGAAAACACCAAAAATGATACAGTGCAGGCAGCACTTTGCAATTTTTAGTCTGGATCTGCTTGACACATGATACGACTTTCAGGACATTTGTGGTCGTCAACACATCCAGTAATATTGGGAACCGTGGTTCCAGCCGTCCTGGACAAACTTGAAAATGCATCCGCCAAGTTTGAGCCGCAGTTTAACAAGAGTATTTAACTGAGATGAGATTTGCGTATATCCATATCAACCATAAGTGTTGTTTTGACATGTATTGATTGATTAATAATGATAATAGTATTGTATTGACATGTATTAACCCAGAGAACCAGCAAATCCATGAAAATCCAAATGATTCCTTTCAACACTCAGGCTCTCAATCGGGCAAAATGATAGAATCTTTCACAGAAACTGTCAGGAAATGACTTGCACCACCAGTTCGACACAAGATGACACAAGTAACTACCCTCTGGTAATTTAACATAGCTATTGAAAATGGCCATTTATAGTGGATTTTCCCATTAAAAATGGTGATTTTCCATAGCTATGTTAAATTACCAGAAGGTAGGCTTTTACCACCAGTTACTTTCAAAAACATATCGTGCTATTCTTTGCCTCCTCCACGTATCACCTCCGACTCTGCCCTGCGACCCCAACTGCAATTTTTTCGTTGCGCAAGGTTTCGTTGGGCACTCGTTTGCTGATTGTGGCAAGATGGCCTGCAAGCACGTCCTGTGTCTATGCATCTCAAACTAACATAAACTAACCAAAAAGTATCAAAAAATCATAAGTCTTGTTTTAATTTGTTTTCGTGTCTTTTGGACCTGGATGGTCTTTGAATCCTCTTTGCTATTTGAGAGAAAAGGTTTTTTGTCGAAGCCTTCCGTGTTTTTTCATCACTAATGTTTCAAGCAGTATTGGACACCTTCGAAGGTCGAAACTTCTTTGTCAAACACGCTACAAGAACGAGGACCCCCAAAATGTCAAGAGGAAACTGGAAGCTGAAGGGCGCAATTTTGGATGTACAGTAGATTCTAGACATTGTAAAGTTAAAGAAAAACAACACCCTGCACACTGCACTCTATACTTTTTGAAATCGTGGTCACTTTAGCATTAACTTTAGCCATTAAATTCATGGGCTCAAAGCCGTATGCATGCGCTTAATTCTGCTGGCTCCACTCAATATCCACTGCCTATCAATTTCTTTTGGTACTTAAACTCTCCCAGGTTCAAATCCCCAGCGTTTGTAGCTGGCTCATCCCAAATCGCTCCTTTAGTCACTATGGTCACTATGGTTGGCGAATCTTGATCATATCCCGTAGCCAGTACGCACTGAGGACCATGGAAGGCACCGTTTTTCAGGGGCTCCTTCCTGATTTCTTTTAGACGTACTCAGATGAGTCATAATTTCATCCATAGCCGTCTTTGACGGCGCAAGATTTGCTGCACAAAAAATTGCCGTGGTATTTTTTGTCGAGTGGCCGCAGAAAGGTGACTGGATCTTTCCAGCACCAGAAAGGGGCAAACAGCGGCAAACATTGTTATAACGGATTATGTTATCTAAACAAAGTTGGGGTATGTTGGGGTAAAAAAGAATCAGACCCAAGAATCAGAAACGAAAACGATAGAACACGTATACAATGGGATGTTCTTTAACTCTTTGGGGAAGAGATACATTGCAAGATGCGACTCAGAACGATGGAGGGATGAAGAGTTTCATGGTGGAAGTCTTGCACTGCCAATCCTTGTCATAAGAGGATGCACGATCATTTCTGTCATCAAAATCATCAAAACAGGGTAACATAGGGTAACTGACTGCTAAGTGCAGAACTCATCTATTGATCAGCTGTGGCCCATAGGCTGTGGCCACCCTTTTTTTTTCGCAGTGCCTGTTCTCTAAGAGAAAGCAAAGGTGTCAAACATCCGGCCCTGGTGTCTCTGAGGACAGAAGTGCGCTCTGGTCATCACTCTGCCACCATTCCACAACTTCAAAATGGTTCAGCTGATACCTCCTGTCCTTTACTCTCTCTTACCTTTACCACCAGAAAATGAATAAAATGAGAGGGAACAACATGAACCGACCTGCAAATCTTTCGGAACCTGTGATCTGACCGCACATCTCGTGGGGGCCCCGCTTCTGGAGCGTGGAGGCTGTCGTGCGAACTGGCGAGCAGCGAAGGGGGAATAGATTGATGACGCGCTGCAAAAGTGACTTGATGATCTCCGATGCCCTGAAACTTGGAGAGTCAACCAGATATATAAATCACCCGCCAAACAGTCTAGGGCTTTTGATAGGGTAATTACATGTGGACCATGTGGATGTTCCACGGTATCACATTTTGCTGTTTTCATACTACTTTTAAGATGGATGTTCCACGGTGATGCTTATTGGCAGCTGCATGATTCTCTGCAGGTGATGATATGACCGACCATAGGATATACCACCGGATATACCACCGTTCAGCGGTCGTTCATCTTGCTACGTGCCACTTGCAGACCTGATACAAATCACGATACAATTGGCTGGGCAAGAACTGAGTGTGTTTGAAGTGTGAGGATGGTCCAGGGTACCCAAACCAGGGGGGTCTCTCAGGGGTCTAAGTTTTGCCAGATGCTAAGATCTGTTCTTCATCCCTGCAAAAGGGATCACGCAGCGATCACGCGCATGAATCAACAAAAATGCGCTGCATTGGCGCTGCTAAGCAGAACTAAATGTGGAATCTAGAACATCTCTTCGAGAACTTGTTCCGGCGTTGGCATGACCAGGTTGGAAGGCGCGTCCTGATGACAGGATCAGCAGATCAGCTCAGCCAGAAACCGGTTTTCGCTGGGTGGCCATTTTGCAAGGCAGGTTGTGAAGCTCATGATCGTTGGGTAGCAATTATTACTAGATGATCATCAAATTTTGGGAGAAAATCATCTTTTACAGAAATAACCAGCAGTGTTATCAAATAAACATAAATAAACTACTTAAACCAATTGAATACTACCATATAGCCCAATTCAATATTGGGTTCTCCGTATCTCCCAACACGGGCCAAGGGAATTCAGGCGTGCGTTTTTTCGCGGCTCCCCAAGTCTTGGATGTCTCCACCCAAGCATTGTTGGCATGAATTGAACTACTGGTTGGCGACAGATTCCTTTTCCTTTACTGGATGCACACTCTCATTTGGTATTCCATAACGTTAGGCCAAAATTGGTTAATTGACCCAAACTTATCCAAAATATGATCCAATTTAGGATGTGTTCATACACAAATGACCCAAAGAAATTGAACAATGTCCATTGTTGAATCTCCAGCGGCAAGTGGCTGGCCCCAAATGCCCCAATTCCGTCCTCCAGTGCTTTCTTCTCGCCGTCCCCCTTGGAACCGGCGGCATCGAAGGTTCAACAAAAACACACACTGTGGGGTAATGGTAAGTAAAAAGTGTGAATGATGTCATAGTCGTCGCCTGATTTCCTGAGTTGCCTGGCAGTAGAATTTCAGCGGACCCAGATTCGCGATCGAAAAAACAACGCACAGCTCATAAACAAGAACAGAAAGTCAACAGTTGAAACTATAGCAGGTACGTAGATCAGGCGTCCCTGACCTATATCCTTACCACATGTCACCCAGCTTCGTTGGCAGAGGAAGTGACATAGGTACCTCTGCCCCCTGCTTTTTAGAATAGTACAAGAGCAATGAAAAGAACTAAAACCGTTTGTTATAACGGTGTACACACACACATTAGCCCCGAAATGGGGCAAAACCGCAAGCCGCCTAGTTTTTACCTAAGAAAACTGACCTAAAGAGCTGCCTAAGAGAATGAATACCTGGCCTAAAAGAACCTGATGACGATGACGAGTGATGTGAGAAGCAAAAAGTTAAACCGTGTTCTATAAGTCGTAAATCCTAACAGTAAAGGAAATGCGTATGCAAAAGCTGTACGTTTGAGTTCAAAGTGAAAACGATGCACAAGACTGTACGATAAAGTCTTTCAGCCAAGACCTCATTTGTAATTCCATCTCATCGTCAAGAACAAATAATCGCACAGGTACATTGGCAAGTGGAAATTCTGAGTTCCGGAACTGCAGAATGAGCTTGAGTTGTTGCTGAGCTCTTGACCGAAAAGGTTCCGACAAGGTTCGGCTCAATCTGCATAACAAAATTCCCTGCTGTATCAAAACATGATTGATTCATCAAAACTAAACCATTTGCTATATAGTAACCTAAGGAGCCTGCCTAAGAGAGTGAATACATGGCCTAAACAGAACCTGATGACGATGATGAGTGAGGTGAGAAAAAAAACGTTGAACCATGTTCTATACCTAGTAAATCTGACCTAAGGAGCCTGCCTAAGAGAATGAATACATGGCCTCAAAAGAACCTGATGACGATGACGAGTGATGTGAAAAACAAAACGTTGAACCATGTTCTATACCTGGTAAAACAAACCTAAGGAGCCTGCCTAAGAGAATGAATACATGGCCTAAAAAGAACCTGATGACGATGACGAGTGAGGTGAAAATGCCATTGAGACTCCGACCAGACCAAAAAGCACTTGTATTGCACCCGTGGTGCTGGGAACTTCGACTTATGTCTGCTTTGTCCGAACTGGACGAAACTTCTGCCTTATGGCTTCTTCGCCTTATGGCTGCTTCGATTGGATTTTACCGTGTAAAATCTTGACTTCGTCATATGACGCTTGAAATGCACTCGAAGTGCATACGGCTTCGGAGATTCATACTCCACTCGGAATACGGGAAAATGCCCGCTCATGACTTTTTGATTGGTCGAAACCAACCGACGGTGCGACCAAGTCAGGTCAAACACCCAGGACACACTGTGGGGTAATGGTAAGTAAAAAGTGTGAATGATGTCATAGTCGTCGCCTGATTTCCTGAGTTGCCTGGCAGTAGGATTTCAGCGGACCCAGATTCGCGATCGCAAAAACAACGCACAGCTCATAAACAAGAACAGAAAGTCAACAGTTGAAACTATAGCAGGTACGTAGATCAGGCGTCCCTGATCTATATCCTTACCACATGTCACCCAGCTTCGTTGGCAGAGGAAGTGACATAGGTACCTCTGACCCCTGCTTTTTAGAATAGTACAAGAGCAATGAAAAGAACTAAAACCGTTTGTTATTATAACGGTGTACACACACAAAAAAAACAAATGTCACCTTGAGTAATATAGCAGGGCGCTCCAAGTTTGAGAAACATCCACGAAGGAAATCAGCTGTTTGGGTGTGAAAATCTACTGTATTGCTTTGGATGTTCCAGGAGTTCAGCGTCAGTCATCAGAACTTCAATCCAAAAACAGCATTTTTGCTGGGGTCATTGGCACCACTTAATATATGCACCTTCCCGCAAGAAAAACCAGGAACATCCAGGTGGGTGACGGATACAGATTCCCAACTCATTGAGTTCAATCATCCAACTCATCCAATTGCTGAAGGATAACGCCAGGCCGAACCATCAACATGTCGGCATTGGTGCCACCATCCAGTCCGACGTTGATTTAAGTATCTCCCAGCGTTTCATGATTTTGATGCTTGAAATCCATTGAAAAATCCATTGACATCTTGGCTGTTCAAAACTGACCGAAAACATCCGAAAACCATATCTAACCGAATCTAACCATCCTGAGGACCAAGCAGCCACAGCTGCATCGCCCGCTTCATCATCATCCTGGTAGTCAAGCGCATGAGCAAGTGCTGAAACAGACATCTCAGAGATCTAATGCCACCAAACTGACTGGAGTTCCCAACAAGGTACTAAAACATACTAAAACCATAATTCAGCCAACAAAAAAGGTGATCCAAAGAACAAAAACAGGACATATAATCAATGAACATGCATGATGAAACACAGAAAGGAAAGGATATGATATAACTCTGTAACTTGATATAACAGATGAATGGGGATTGAACCAGCAAAACTTGGGGCTACTGCATCCTAAAACCAATCAACGGGGAAGAATATGACCACCAAGAAACATCAAAACACGGGATATGATATGACATGATTTCACCCCAAAAACCAACCATGTCATGGTGTTTTTTTGGTCAGAAAAAATATGGTCTCTTGAAGATGAACACACCTATATCATCCCATATGAACGCATCAGATTTGTATTCGTAACATATCAGTCACATGTCCAAGTGCATTTACCTCCGGACCTGTGAAGAATTATTCAGTCAAGTCATTGGCCATCCAGGCGATCCAGTCATGAATCCACTCAGTACCACGGGGGAGTCATAAACCCAGCTATCACTCAAAGGGAGTCTCCGATAACCATCCATTCTAATGATCTTTAAAGCGTTGGAAATTCCCCCCTGCTGGATAGTCACACAACCTGAAGCTGGTTGGTAGTAATAAGATGTAATGAGGTATCCAAAACCACCAATGCTAGAGACACCCTCAACAGTGGCAGTTTGATAATGTTTGATATGCCCCTGTGCATGAAGTTGATGGTGGTTCCTTAGCTCAAAGTTTTTTTTACTGTTGTTGAGTATTGTTGAATGGTGGTCAAATTCTTATGTCTATATGTACCGGTCAACTTACCTTAACAATCTAATTTTGCCAGTATTTCGTTGATTATCTATATGTACAGGTCTGTAGTGGTCAACTTCCATATATGTCATTTTTGCCAGTCAATCTTCCCACTGATTTGTATCTTTGTCAACAGGTCGACTGTTTGTTCATCTGGGAGATCACCTTATCACATGGTTGTCGATGGAACCGTGTATGGGGATGAAGATTCACGAACACCATCGAAAATTTTCGTGTAAAAATGGGACGTTTCCTGGGTTTTGACTCATCCCATAGGATCCATGTATGGTATATATTCTAACATTGGGGGTATACTGATGATAAATGTTACCATATATAGCATACATGGATCCTATGGGCATAGTGATGTTAAAACCCCTGCCTTGGCCATGATTTTCTGATACAACGACTTGAGTGCTCCGCTGCTGATGCGCCACGCCACCTGGAACACTGCTAAAAAAAGGACCATAGGCTACAAAAAAAATGAAGCACACAGAAAGGGGTCCCAACTCCAACTGGTTATGTATATGTATGTACACATGTACACACTCTTCACATCTATCTATCTATCTATCTATCTACCTACCTACTATCTATCTATCTATCTAGCTAGGGGTTACCAATTTTGGCAACTTGGGATCTCCTGTGACAATTGGCGATGGCTTCAGAAACTGATTCAGCCATCAAAAACACTAGAAAAATCTAGAAAGATGAGATGAACATCCCTTAAGACAGACTATTTGTATTGGTGTGAAACCAAGGGCACCAGGATTTTGACCCATAGCCAAAGCATGGTATCCTCCACTTGTTTGATTAGAGGCACATTGAATTTCTGGAAGTTCTAATGGGAGAGCTGTTGAATCAAGAATTGATAGAATCCACAGCAATGGAAATTCAACGACTGTACAAAGTTGGTTTGGAGTTTGGTGAAAATTTCAGACAAGTGCTAGCCTTTCCGGCGAATCCTGCCCGCAAGGGCTTTTCCGGACGTGGTCAACATGTGAAACACAAACTCCGTTGTTTCTCGAAGAGCTTTCTATCGGTTTTGGCTCGACGTCCAACTCCAACATGGAAAGATACACAAGATCCCAGTTGTCTCCACAAGGTCCGCTCAATTGTCAAAGGAAGTTTGAAGGTCTAACTTCCGAGTTACGGATTTTTAAAATCTATTCACCACAGCCAAGAGATCGCACAGCCAAGAGATCTCACCGCCAAGGAATCTCACAGCCAAGAGACATCACAGCCAAGAGATCTCATGGCCCAAGAGATCTCACAGCAGAGAGATCTCACAGCCAAGAGATCTCACAGCAAAGAAATCTCACAGCCAAGAAATCTCACAGCCAAGAGATCTCACAGCCAAGAGATCTCACAGCCAAGAGATGCTCGCAGCCAAGAGATCCGTCGGAATTTGAGGGAGGTCGTGCATTGTAATGGCTGCGTCAAGGTTGCTTGGCGCGGGGGCTGCCTGCATAATATGTTTGTCTTTTGCAGCTGGACGCACATCGTATTGGAGTGGCTGCATCACGGCTGCGATAATGATTTGTCAGCAGAATTTCTCAATTTTGGCGCTGGTGACTTTTGCTTTGGCGTCGAGATCCATCCAGTTTTGGAGCTGCAATTTCTGACGCCGTAGCGCGTCGTTCTATTGTGCTTTGCAACTCAGTCTTTGCAAATCGCATTGTAATGGCTGCGTCAAGGTTGCTTGGAGCCGCGGCTGCGTGCGTAATACTATTTTCTTTCGCAGCTGGACACCGTACATCGTATTGGAGTGGCTGCATCAAGGCTGGGATGATGATTTGTCAGCAGATTGAATCAGCTTAGAAGCTTGCTGTGTGTAAATCTGTGTAAAAGCTTCTCAGTGTAAATGCTTCTCTGTGAAAGAGCTTCTCTGTGTAAAAGCTGGCCGTGTGTAAAAGCTTCTGTGTAAAAGTTTGCTGTGTAAAAGCTGTCTGTGTAAAAGCTAGCTGTGTGACTATGTGTGAAAGCTTCTGTATGTAAAGGCTTATGTGTGTAAAAGCTCCTCTGTGTAAATGCTTCTTTGTGTAAAAGGTTCTGTGTAAAAGCTTCTCTGTGAAAAAGCTTTTCTGTGTAGGAGCTTCTTTGTGTCAAAGCTTGCTATGTGTAGAAGCTTCTCTGTGTAGAGGCTTCAGTGTAAAAGCTTCCGTGTGTAAAAGATTTTCTGGGTAAAAGCTTGCTGTGTACAAACGTTTGCTTTGTGTAAAAGCTTGCTGTGAATAAAAGCTTTCCTAACTCTGTGTAAAAAGCTTCTGCGTGTGCAAGCTTCTCTGTGCAAAAGCTTGCTGTGTGTAAAAGCTTCTCTGTGTCAAATCTTCTATGTGGAAAGCGTAGTCGTTGCTTGCTTTGGCGCCGAGATCCATTTTTGGAGCAGGTTTTGGGCCAGAGAAAAGGTGAGATGATTTGAGAGTGCGCTGACAAGAGCTGAGATGAGGTGAGACGAGCTGACAAGAGCTGAGATCAGCTGAGTAGATGTGAGAAGAGCTCAGAAGATGTGAGAAGAGGAGAGAAGAGATGAGAACACATAAGATGAGCTTACATGAGCTGTGGAGAGCTGAGAAGAGTTGAGAAGAGCTGTGAAAAGCTGAAAAGCTGAGATAAGCTGAGGTGAGATGAGGAGAGATGAGAAAAGCTCAGGTGACATGAGAAGAGATGAGAACAGTTGTGATCAGCTGAGAAGAGCTGAGAAAGGGAGAGAAGACATCACATGGGATGAGATGAGATCAGGTGAAAAAACTCAGAAGACATGAGATGAGTTGAGATGAGATGGGATGACACAGACTGCGGCGACAGAGGGATGCAATGAGCACTTTCCAAGAGAAGCTGCGATGCGACGAGATCAGATGAAATGAGAAAAGATTCAACATTCGAAAGACATGGCATCAGATTGACAAGTCAAGAGCTTGTTGCTGCCATGCACAGGAGGCTTGCCTGTCACCTATAGGCACAGTCTTTGTTCCGCTCTATAGGCTATAAGCGTTTCAAATTTGAAACTTCCGCCCCCGGCTTGCCCGGGTACTACTTGTAAACCGACGCAAATCAATTTGGCCTACGTACCATTTCACTTGAATCCCACTTCGCTGTTGTTGTAACTGATCTATTTGTGGGGAATTATCCAAGAAATCAACTTACGTGTACGTCTGATGAGTACAAACCACTTACCAGTTGGGATGACCGTTCTAATGACTCTTTGTCAAACAATATCAAATCAAACAATATCCCAAATCCATGTTTGCAGCTGTGTTTCCGCGTAAGCACCCAGCAAAACAATGCTAGTTGAGAGTTATCCAGACATGTTGGATCATTTTGGAACCTTCCTCACCTACAATTTTCATCCCCCAGATTCACCAGTCCATGTCCAACCTGTTTGGCGCGCAAGTCCAAGTCCTCTTGAGTAGAGGAATAGTTCCTGACGGCAGATGACCGCTATGGCACCCGGCACCACCTTTCCGGGACATGAAATGCGACTGCCACCAGGTAGGCGTACAAACTCTTGTGCTTTGGAATATTGATCGCTAGAAAAGTTGATGGCACTTCGGGGCACACATCAACCAGAACTGGAAAGTGGCTAAACGTTTCGAGATCATCTTCACAAGATCCGCATGGAATTAGTAGAATCTCCAAACAAATTCCAAACCACATATATACCTAGACCTCTTTAGGGGAGATCTTGCCCCTTTGTGCTTTCAACAACCACATTGAGGCCATGATCTTAGCCCAGCGGCTGTGGAGAGAAGACCACCGCGATCTCTTGGAATACGGCCTGAGAGAATGTGGATATAGATGGATATAGCTAGGATGGGATGTGATGCAATACAATTTGTAGAAACATGTATATAGTAGTACATGAGGTCACGATAAACGAAACCAATTATAACTTTTAAATGCGTTTAACTCATAAGAACTTTAACGCAGACTGCTATTATTCATTTGGGTCTTGCAATCACTCTGTATGGAAACGGAAAGAAGCCATTGATACAGTATATCTGTTCAATGTAAATCAAGGTAGAACCGTCAAACTTAGCGCCCCTGAAGGGATTGAGAGCGCTGCCAAAGTGACGGGAAACCAACAAACATTAAAGAAACACATGAGCTAAGTACAAATCAACAAAAAATCTGAAGCCCAGGTACACCCAAGTATCGATTTGGCGTTAGTGGTTGCTGAAAGCGTGAAATCCCAACTCCGGCCCGCTACAGCCAGGCAACCTTGATAGCTCTAATGTAGATCCTTAGTTGCAAATGCGGCACAATGTCAGCAAATACATAGAGTGGGGACAGGGAGGCCCACCCCCAGTTGTAAGTTGGCTTGTAAACTCATCTGATCTAGCTATGGACATATCCATCTAATGATGGCAATCCATGATAATAATCACATATAATTAATCACCAATTTACATACTTATAAACGGGCTTGCCTATCTAGCGTACTGAACTCAGGCAAATTTGTGTACATGTCAATCAAACCACCGACCACCACAACAAACATCTGCAAACACTACATGTTCATCAACTTCATGTCTGTTCATCTCTCCCTAAATACTTCTGGATCTACACTCAAACTCATACCTCGGATTGAAATTTGTTGTTTAGATATGTTTGGATTGGTTTCATTCAGCCCAGCTGAGCAACTAAATAGACTTGCACAAATCACTCACAATTATGCTACATGGGGCTGTCTCAACATTTGGAAACCCTGTTGTTTACAAATCTCCCCACTGAACATGCAAAGTTTTTTGAGAGTAAATCAAATACCAAATCCTCCGCGTGAGACCAACCCACATATCATAGAAATCTAAGAGGCATTAAGAGGCCCCCCAAAGTGACCCCAAAAAAGCTCTTGTCAGGCTTTCTTCAAAGGTTTTTGAGCAAAATTCACCAACCGGCAAGAATACCCTTCGATTCCCCATGGCCAAGGGACGGCAGATCCAACATCTCAAGTTGGGGCATTCCGCTGATCTCCTGGAGGAAAATCAAGCGAGAGCTTAGGCACTTCACAGGTAGAATGCAAAAAATCGAAACCAACAACCACCAAGTATGCTTCAAAACTTTTCAGAGATACCAACCTGTTTTCTGGATTTTTCTTGTATCTTCATGTTGGGGTGTCTGGTTTTAGCGGAGATGACCCTCTCCTCGTAGTAGCTGGGTGAAGGGAAGCGGAAACCATCCTCTGCAATGATCGGCAAGACGCAGCATCCGGGCAATTTGGCCACTTGCATCAACCAGTCCTTGGAGATCAGCCATGGACAGGTCGCAAGGCAGTTTCCTGGTCTCAAGTGATCTGTATAATGAAATTGGATTCATGTCCACCTGGTGAAATCGTTTCAAAATGTTTCAAAACAAGGGTTCAATAGGTGTGCCATCATTCAAAGCCTTTATGAAAAGGCCTGAATCTACTGTAGCCAGAAGACAACCTTGAATTTTCTCAATATGTAATAGATAGTGTCTTGGAACGCTGCGGAGACCCCTCATACATCCTGATACCTTTCGGAAATGTTATGTGTGTATATATATATATATATTATCCACCATTCCATCAGTACCATCAACTAACAGCTGAGTCAGCAACCATCCAAAGGCTTGGTCCCACGAACCCCACCCAGCAGACTTCAAATCAATGGATGTTCAGTTGAGAACTCGTTGATGGCAATAGTGATAACCCTGTTGAAGATGGTATCCAGGCTTCTTCCGCACTGAATATTTGGGATGGTCACCCATTATGACCACTCCCGTGTGCCAGACACGGGAGTGTGCCAGACCCGACATGGGCGGGATCAAACGTGGGGTACCAACCGACCAAACAACTGCTCATTTTTTATTGAAACATGACCTCCACCTTTAAATGCCGCAACAGGTCCTTGATGATTCAGCAATTGGAATTGCCGGTGAGAATACCCCTGCGCCCCCAAATTTGCAGAGTGTGTGTTGGTGATTTTTGCTACCAAAGATTCAAAGCCTGAAACATGCAGGAATATGCAGAATATTCTAAAATCGTTAGTGTGAAGCAGGTGGTTGTTCCCAGTCCCAGAAGCTGCGATTTGATGCGAGCTGTCACATTCATGAACCACAGCAAATAAGAAACCCCGACTTGCGCACCATTGCGATATGCGCCTATTTCTGTGGGAAATTTGCACGCTTTTTGCGGGAAAACTGTTGGCATTTGTTTGAAGTTCAGAGCACTTTTGGACTTTCCTGGATGCTTTTGTTGTGGAAAACATCGACCTGCTGAATTTTTGACAAACCTAGCAAAAGCATGCAAAAGCCTGTTTGTTTCGACGTCTAGCTGTTTAGTGTATCCCATCCAGCAAGGGTTGCGCTTAGCGTGGCGCCAGAGCCTTCTTTGAGCGCTATGGGTCACAGTAGTTTGTCATGTTCCGCACTAACAGGTTTGGTGAAATTATTGTCGTAACCTTTTGTCAAGCAGGCCCACTGTATTTGCCAACATGCAGAAACTCACATCCAGCATGCCATGATACGTAAGGTCAGCTTCATTCTTGCAATTTCATTTTCATATTGTGCAAGTGCGTTTTTGACGGTTGATCCAAATTGCACTACAGTATTTGCAGCATTTGTAGTTTTTTGATGCTTTTTGCGGGCCTTTGGGATGTTCTTCGTTTTTTTTTCTGGGCCAATAAGTTTGACCAACATCTCAGCTGGTGCCGGGCGACACCAAACTGGAACTGCTTGAAGCATCCGTCGCTGCAGATCACCAAGGCTGAGCAGACTGTATCGGGGACACTGCGGTCCTGGAGGTGATCGTTGGCCAATGGTTTTTAAATGTTAAGGACCTGGAACAATCGAAGAATCTAATATCATCTTAGTGGTTATATCATCAAAGTGGTTTGTTACGGTTTGTTGCTGAAGTGCTATGTGTTCAAACTTTGAGTGGGATATATGGTAAGAATATCTAGTAAAGATGATTAATTATAATCAAACGCCACAAGAAATAACCATCGAAGTGTGTGACTACAATCCACCCAGGATCATCCAGGAATGTGTTCTTGGGGAAACATTTTGACAGCGCCAGGAATTGTTTAGAAATTTTGAGGAACATAGGGATATCTGTTGCGAACATGTCTGAAAAGGATGGAGGGTGGCCCATGGTTACCCCGCTGCATCCATGAGAACTTGCAGGTGATCTTTCACAATCTGAAAAAAAACATGTTGCTGGGGATTATGTGGCAAACCAGTGAGCCAAGGACGGAAACTGCGAACCTGCTCGAGTTGCAAGACCTACTCTGTCTCTCTCGTGCAAATACATATATATATATATGTATAATAATAACAATGATAATAATAATAAATAATAATAATAAACATATATATATACACGTTACATACATACCATACATTACATTACATTACATTAACATTACATTAAATTAAATTTACATTACATTTACACTTACACTTACATTTACATTTACATTTACATTTACATTACATTACATTACATACATACATGTACATGTATTTGTGCATCTCATTCCAACGATCATTGATCTTGATGTTGAATTAATCTGTTTAAAATCACTAGCTTTCCTTTCGTTGTTCCACAGTGCCAGACCTTCTGTAGCACTGCCGGCATGTTGTTCTTCTGGCCACCCACCAACTTTGGAACGATCAGGGCAAGCAGGACATAGGCAGTGGCGGCAGCCTGTCCCGAAGAAGAAACTCGCCATCCCAAATCTGGTGGAAACTCAGCATCTGTAATAAGTGCCTTAAGTACTTTAGGATACTTTAGGATACTTTAGGATACTTTAGGCTCTGGGTGGAATCGTCCACTGTCATCATCTACAGTCCTTGTGATGCCATAATCGGCGCAATGGATGGAGCTCCAAGGAAGCAGCGGGAGATATTCCATGATAGCATCAGAACTCAATATGATAAGTGAGTCGAAATCAACAACTTGTATTGTATAGCAATCTAGCTATATACAGCAATTCAATACTTTCAAGATACTGTACAGCACTTTTTGAACATCTCAAGGTGCTTCCAACCCACTTGAAGGGATGTTCCAGGGGATCCAGAAAAGTCAACTGTCTAAATGAGATTACACCAACAATAAAAGTCAATAAAATAGTTGTGGTTATATATAATATAATATATATATATATAGTTATAGCCGTTATAATCAACTGTTCTTGTTTCTCCCCATAGATTTGTTGCTAAAACGAACCATGATTCTGTTTCATTCTATACTAGATCTATTTGTGGCACTAGATCCCCATTAAATCCATATCTCCAACTACAGGCTCCCGCCTCCATGTTGTCCAAATCCGACAAAATGATGCAGTCTGGCGCCCTCCGCGGCCGCCAGAATGGAGATACGAAGCTTTCACCATGCACAATTGGGGTAATGGCATATGTCATGTGTATGTACACATATATATATATATACAGTATATACATAATGAATTATATGTATAAAGTATACATACACCATATTTGTATGCACACATTTATGTGACACATCACTGCATCTGAATATATATATATATATGTATAATTATGTATATATATAGTCTTGGTTCCAGAAATCGAGTATAAGACTACCGTCAAAAATAATCATGACAGCATTCAACAAACAAACGTTGGAAGACTGGACAAAAAAGTCAAAGCTTTAACAAAAAAATGCAGCCTCACTACAAATTCTATCATAAGTGTGGATATGATTCAAACATCGGGTCCCAAGGGACCGACTAATTGCTGTCAAAAAGGAACTAGATAGACATTGACTCAATCCAAACCCAATTGAAACTGGCAAACTGGCCCAAGAAATAGCAACAATTCAGGAAACAAATGCTTTGATCCCCACCCTGGCAAGTTATGCTGACAAAGTTTCTGACATATCATCTGGAATGATATGTTGCAAATATATATATATATATATTCTGGCATTCCATCTGGCATTCTTTCTGGCATATACTCTGACATTCTCTGACATTTTTTCTGACACATACTGCATTCTATCTGGCATCCTTGCTGGCATTCTATCCAAGATAAATTCTGGCATTCTATTTGGCATTCTATCTGACATTCTATCTGGAATTCTGACATTCCATCTGGCATTCTACCTGACATTCTATCTGGCATCCTGTCTGGCACTCTATCTGACATATATTCTGACATTATCTGGAATCTGGCAATCTATTTGGCATCTATTCTGGCATATTAGAGTGATAGAGTCGGGGCCCAGGCGTGCCCAGCTGCATACGGAGCTCTCAATAGGGTTCAGGTCCATGCGTGCTCAGCTGCACTTGGAGTCCGTGATGAGCTTCTGGCACTCTCTGTGAGCTCCGGGGCCATCGAGCTGGCAGAAGGCCGAGGTGAGGAGAAGGAGAAGGAGAAGAAGAAGAAAAAAAAACAGTTGCACCTTTGTTAATCTAGAGACCCTCACCTGGCAGGTGGGGAAAAACATATTGGAGGTTGATTAACCGTGATCTCCTTTCCGTGTTGTCGTACGGGGATATTTTTCGAATGGGAAGACCATCGAATCCATTCATACATGGTGTATGAATAAAACCTCGGCCCAGATGATGTTTTCATCTTATTCATGTTCATGTTTGCTTTTGGACACGGATTTTTTGTTTTTTTCAACCTGATTTTTGTCCATCGATTTCAGGTGAGTCAATTTTAGCCCAGCAACTCTCGTGTATCTGCGATGGAACGGCTGCGGGTGGTGCCAGTCATCTGACCACAGATGTGCTCGATAGCTTCCTGGCCATGGGATGCCATGGGGTGGAGGATGGTGGAGGTCTGGCCTGGCAACATTCCAAAAGGTCAACGGGATTTTTCTCCGGCAACATATGGGAAAAATCAAGGAAAATCAGCCAGAAATAAATGTTTGGACATTGCTATATTGGGACTGGATAGGGCCCGTGCTTGCAACTTGCAACCCAATGAACTCCTAAGCAGGATTGACGAGTGATGAAGCTAAACAACCATGGGATGAGGTCTGGAAAAAGATCAACATCCCAGATCTCGAGATTTTGACACTTCAGCAAGTATTTTATAGATTATTTTAGATTATTTAGATGCAAATAAATAGTGACTGACCATCCTGTCAATGGTCAGTGGTTCAAAGTTGCGGTCATTTTTTCTCCCAAAAATTTTCAGCGACCGAGCAGCTCCACTGATCAAGCCCGGGACGTCGATGGTCTCCACGGTGCTGATCCAAGCCATGGTATCTTGCACCTGAGATGACTGGAATGTGCTGGTCCCTGCAATTCATTGGAGCTGTCCCTGATTGGAGAATTTATGGAAACATGAATGGAAAACACCGGAAAACACTGTTTTCATCTGTTTTTTGGTTTTAAAATGTTTTAAAAGTTTTAGGGTTTTGAAGGTTCGGGTCTTAGGGTTTAGGGTTCCTGGTCTGAGCAATCCAAAGACACTGGCTCCACCTATGCTGGTGAGCATGTCAAAGGCTACAGTGTAAACACCATTGAAACTTTCCGGGCCGATGGTCTGGGGTCGAAATCCAGGAGTCCAAGTGCATGTTTCACCACATGTCCACAAACATAACTCGTTTTGTAAAAACCCTGGCCAAATCAAATTACGTTTCCAACCTAAAGCAAAACAATCTTGAGATAATTTGCAACGTAAAAACAACTACTTGGGGGTCATTTGAGGGGACACATATCCTTTCCAAAGGATTTTCTGACACCAGCCTCCTGTAAACCAATGTTGTAGTTGGCAAGCTCCACGATGTCTGGCACAATGCTCTCATAGTTTTCAATGAAAGCTTTGTCTGGTTTCCTGGGTGCCCGTCATGGAGTCACTGAGGAACTTGAGGGTCTGAGAGATGGTGTGCAGACGAATCTTCGTTCCCCATGATTGTTGCTTCTACTCCCCCTTGGACATGCAAATCCTGCTTGTCATGTGGACTGTACAATTGTGTAGTGTAATATAGTATAATCATATGTATATTACATATTCCCAACTATACTCGCGACTTTTCTAACATATGAGCCGCGGCCAATATTTGGTACGTCATGCAATTCACGGGGTGTTCCTACCTCGTTTTCCATTCCCGGACATCGTTTTGCCTACTTCGTTCTCGAGGTGTTCCTACCCCGTCTTGCAACCTAAATATTATATTTTCGGCAACTGGGGTACGCCCCAATACTCCTCTTCACTTAACCGGACAAAAGCTGTCACTCATCATTATCTATGATTATAGATGCAAATATGTATATATATATACAATATCATACAATTATATATACTCATATAACATACGAGTATAATATGATATATGTATCTTCTGTCTGTTTATTTACATCTCGTTCCATAACTACTCGTACCACTGTTGCTCGAACCGAAGCACACGAAGTCCGGCCACATCAACAGCACCTGGGCGTGGCGGAGTGGAAGCAACCATTGCAGCTTTCTGGAAAATGGGGATACCAAACACGCAACTTTCAATGGAAACAAATAGGATAAACCGGACACAGAAAACTGTAGGATTTTGATGGTAGCCTATTTTCAGACAAACCCAGGTCGAAACACCTCGGGCACCATGAGCGACGACAGGATTCAATACGATGACCACATAGGGTTGGATTCTGTTACGAGGAAGACATACACTCAATCCGCAACAAGAAGGTGAAATTCAGGAAACCACTGGGCCAGTGAGCCAACAAATACGTGGCAGGCATTTTACGGTGATTTCAGGTCTCCCAGGTTTGCGACAGCCGCTTCAGCCTCTCATGGCATAATGACAAGTTCGTGGGGTTTCCGTGATGTTTTTGGGGATGGAAGATAGGTTGAAGCCTCCAACCAGAAAAATGGAAGGGATAGTTCTTCAGTCTTGGGGGATATGACACATTATGACAGCTTCTTAGATGATGTTCCCCAAAAACACATATATCATGAAACATGGATAAAGCTGGCCAAAGATAATTAAAGACAATTATATGATTTAAATTGATTTAACCCACAGAACAAAAACCTGTCATTAGCAGTTGATCCAGGCTGGAGCTGTTTGGCAGCCCTGGCCCTAGCCTTTTCTGTGACTAGCCACGGTGTTCACCTTGTGACTGCGTGCTGTGCACATCTCACCAACACACCACTTCCTGCAACACTGTCGGCCACAAATCTGCGTCGGGGCTGAGTGGTTGTATCCCGAACACTTCAAGGTATGTAACATATATCATATGTGTATTATATATATATGTGTACATTAGACATCAGCTCCGCATCTGCAATCTGTCATTCCTAATATCTTATGCAACTGCAAAGAGTTGTAGAGAAATGTAGCAACAAATCATGTTGTAGTGTTGCTTTAGACAAAGGTCTGCCCCTGTCTGATGCATGCGATCTCCCCGCAATCTAAGCTGGAAATACCACAAAATCACAGACACAGTCCTTGCTTCTACCGGTTGTCTAGGTATATCGGTATATAGTAACACAAGTCCAAAAGATTCCAAAAGTAGACGGAGGGAATTGGAGGGATCACAAATCACAAACCAGAAACCGATATTTCATACCAACAATTCTGTACTCGGGGACCAAGGTGAGGTAGCACATGTCTGAACATTGTGGGAGTCAATAGGTCACGCAAAGTAATCCCCAGCCCCAAAACAAGGTGCAGCAAATAGAGGCGCTTACCCACATTGAGATCTCACCTTTTTCGATATTCTTCTTCCCATCCGTACAATGGCGGATCCCTTACCAGCAGTGATTGGACTTGCAACCTGGTTTAGTGTTTCTTAGTGGATTAAACAATTAAAACAGAATTGTTTATTAATAGGGATATTCTTGGCTGTCTGCGCCCTCATCACTTGCAGGGCCATCCAACTGTCCCATAATTCCGAATGACCTGGGAATTCCGGATGGTATCTGGAGGTAGTTAGATGATAGCTAGACCTGGTTTTTTTCAGGACCAATTCTGGGGATGCTTCCCCGGCTACCCATCCCTTACCCATTCTATCGCCCAGCGGGCCCTGACGCTCCTCGTCATGATATCTGGAGATCCCATGATGACAAAAGTCTCCGTGTCTTGGCCGACATAGCTGAAGAGCCTGGTGACTTACTTCGCTGGGAGATTTTGGCAGCTGGAGCAGCTGGATGAGATCCAGTTCGGTGGGCTTATCCCACTTATAATTGGCTTATGGGATGATCCTCCAGCCTCTGACCCTCTGGGATTCTCAAATGGGTCTCAAAATGGTTGAACATGAATTGAGTTCAGAATGATGTTACATGATAGACATGTGACAGTCAGAACATTCTCAAATAGATGTGGTGCTTCGACTCAAGCTGCCAGTGTCTTCATCAACATCAATCCGGATGCAAAACTCTGGATTCAAGATATTTCAAGATAGAAGAAGCATTAGTACATCCATGTACAGGTACATTTTTTAGTATCTAGTCTTCTATTCCAGATCAGCTGGAAATTTTTAAAACCTCCCAGCCGGCCTAGTGAGGTCGTTCAAGTCATCGCAGTCCACCTTGGCAGTCCCTATCTTTGGGAGAATGACCATTAAGCGCCACTAATCGACCTTAATGTTGGCTATATGTTGGCTATATAACTGACTTCTTTAAGGGTTTAGAATGTTTAGACTCCACAATTTCCACCATTTCCCCAACAAAACCTGGCCAACGATGAATCAGCCCCAACAGCCAGGTTTATGTCCCCCGTTAAAAGCGCCCGTCCGGGCCCAAGACGGTCCAAGTTGCGAAGGTGCTATATTTGGAGCCCCGTTTCTGCAGTTCGATCTTCAGCAGCCGCGCCATGCTTCCAGCCGCGATCTTCTGGTGGCACAAGAAGAACCTGGCAGCCACGGATGAGATGCTGAGATGGTTCTTTGGAGAATCATAGTTGTGGTTTATCCTATAAAATTCTATAAACCTATAAGATCATGTAATTAATTCTATTGTAATATTGACAATAAAATACAATAGCAATAATAACTTCATCATATATACTTAAGGTCATTTCATCCGTGGGTTTGAAAATCCCTAAACCAAAGAGAAACGACTTTGCTGCCATGTTCAACTCAAAAATTGATGAACTTGTCTGCTTGGCATTGAGGCCGCAGGCTGAGGTCCATATGCCACACAAACGTCAGCATGTATAAAACCAACTACCTATATGTGCGTCAAGGTCAAGGTCTTTAGGATGTACAGGAGTACATCCATCACATGATGTGCACTAGAACTTCAGAACCAAGAAGACATCAATGCCTAACGGCATAGCAGCAGGATCTACAGATTTGTTGCTCGTTTTTTGTGCATGTATGGGGTGGCCGGAAGGCTCCAGATATATGCAATCCAAACCTTACAAAATTCTCATCCAGGGCAAATTCTCGGAAAGTGCTTTTGGGAGCTGGAAGTTCAAAGTGTACTTTCCTTATCTTTCCTTCATGCTGTCAAGTTCCTGAAAAAGTGATTCTAGTCAGTTGACATTCCAGTCGCAGATAATCAGAATCTCTTGGATGCAGCATGACACAACATGATACAACCAGATTTTCAGTGGATCACAACCCACGCAATCATGACATTCATCTCTCAACGAGTGACTTGAAAGGCTTGCGGTACTTCTGAATGAAATGCCTCAGCTCAGCGTGTGTGGAGGTTGCATGGCGAATTTCCTTGCTTACATCCACTGTTGTACATGAACTTCTTCAAAGTCCAGATTTGTGTGAGCAGAAAGTTGGAACATGAGCATGTAGCTATCAACATCACGCACCTATAATCTATCACAATCTATCATAATCTATCATAATCTATCATAACCTATCATAATCTATCATAATCTTTCATAATCTATCATAATCTATCATAATCTATCTGTCTTCTTCATATACAATATATATAAATATATATATACACACACCGCACTGTTAAAACATGGATTGATTTCATGGCTAGCAGCTACCTACACACGACACATCCAAGAATCAATGATTCTTGGGGTGTCTGATGTTTTCTCCACATCTTATCAACACTTCCGTTGCCATGGGACCGTTCTGGACTGCGGCACATGCCTGAAGCCTCCTCGGCTTCCGTTCTCACCAAGTCGCTTGGCAATGCCGTAGAAGACGGAAGCGATGATGGACAGCAGCATCAGGGCAGAGAAGATCAAGCCTTCGCACATGAGATGCAGCTGGACGGCTCGACATAGGTGAAGATGTGCACATAGACACTTCTTCATATTGCCATGCTTGACAACCAGTTATTGGTGTATTACTGTATTACCAATACTTTTGGGAAAATGATGGAAAATGGCTGTAGATCAAAACCCTGGTACCGGTTACCCTAGTCTTCACACCAAAATGACGAGACCCTGCGTATTCATCATCCTTTTGTCATCCTTTCATCCTTTCATCCCCCTTTGTGATTGACCCGTCTCTATTTGGCGAAACGGTGCGGGGCTTCCTCCCATGCTGAACCAGCAACAAATCACCATGGTGGTGCCACCATCGTTGTCTTCCACGAAAAGAGAGCCCATGTCCAAGATCACCAGCATGCCAGTCACCAGCATCCTTGCAGAGAAGTCATGGGGGGAACCTGGTTTACTGGGCTGATCCTATAGAACATATATAGTAGAAAATAAGATTCATTAAGATTCATAGCACGCGGGCTAGAAAAATCGTTAAACTATTCGCAACTAGAAGGAGTGATGATCCAAATTACTAACCATGGTCATCCATTTACTATCTTTTGGGATTGTCTCCGTGTGACGCTCCCACTTGGAAATGTGGTCAAAATCGTCAGGTCAAAGCAGTTTGAGCCATAGCTGAAACCACGTTTGGATGTTCCTGGAGCTGGCTGAATGATTCGTGTCTGGCTAAATCTGCATATCAAGAAACAACAAGTGTTCATGTTTCCTGGTACGTCATCTCTGGTTGGTGTTTTCAATCCCCTGAAAAATATGAGGGATTGAAGATCATTAAAGATCCCAATCTGTTGGAATGGGTACAGTATACAGTAAGCTAAGGATTTGAAACCACCACTCACCACTCCAGAAAAAAAGAACAACTTCTCCACTTCTCCCAACCTCGTTCTTGCGAGTTCTCGCGAGTTCTCGTGAACCTCCTGATCTCGGAATATCTCGGATACCGGGTACCCAAGCGGCCAAGCGTCATATCCAGGAAGTTGCAGACCATGGCGCGCCAAGGCTTGCTGTAAGCAACCATGACAAGACTGCCGTAAAGGATCAGGTTCATGGAGACCACCTGCCCAGCGGCCCCCAAACCGATCCACCGATGCTGTCAATGGACCTCCTGTTGTGACAGGTCTAATATGAACATTCAAACCACTGGAATTCACACATTGACTGGTCATTTTAAGTGGTGCCATCCAATGTTTAGGGGTAGTCAATTTTGAACCAATTGTTTGCCAAATGTCTACGAAATCATCTTAAACCATGTTAAACTGTTAAACCATGTTAAACCCGTTTTCAATCAAATCAGATTCTGTGAAGAATTATGATTTCCGACTATGTTGTCGCTTAAATTATCGATAAAATCCCTTTCCTTGGTATACCAATCCCAGTCACTAAGGTCTAGCATTTTGCTGTTCATCGCAGTGGGGGTCCTCCCACCACTAGAACCAGCTGATCGCAGTTCTTATTCACTACTTGCACCAGCATCCCAGGAATCTCGATTAGTTGGAAGACATGGTCTTGATATGTATTGATATGTCTCCAAGTGGCCCAGTTTGGGAAGTGTAACAAAATCATTACAAATAGTAGTACAAATCATGATAAATCATTATGAATCTATGTATATACATATATATATATATACACACTTATATAAATCACATTTAACTATTAAACCACTATAAATCATCCAAATACCAAGCGTAACATCTTTTTGTCAACACTGGTCGCCTTGGCTGAGGCTCCTGGGAACAATGGGCACAGCACCACCAAGGCGTTGCGCACCAAGAAGAGGACGCTGAAAGCCCTGCAGTGATGAAAACCCATGAAAAACCCTCTCAGCATGATGAAAAATCCATGAAAATCCTGATGAATCCTGAATCAAGCCATCGACCAAAACCATCGGCCAGGTCAACATTCATCTCAGATGGGTGGCTTTTCTTTTGGATGTTGGGGCTGGAAGAATGGCACGATTGGGATAGAAACACCCATGAATGGTGGAAGACCCAGTACTAAAACATCACAGTAACAAACCATTTAGGATTCATTTTGCATCATCCAACTGATATGTACAGTCAGTATGTATCCAACAATAAACCCACATCGGGGAGTGTTACAACACAAACAAAGAAATAAATCTAGGGTCCTTCCGGTCATGAATCTGGCCATGCAGTGTGCAAAACCAACGGGATACACCCCCCCTACACCCTTGTTGGAAAATCTCTTGCGGAGCCCCCTTCCCAGCCGGATCTGGCCGAGAAACTCAGCTCCGGGGCGGAAGCGCATGAAGAGGAAGGAGCAAGCGCGCAGGAACTTCACATCAGCCGTTTGCAGCCTGCAGTTGTCACGTCTGTTGGGAAAAATGGAAAAAAGATGGAGACGACTTCCACAAAACACAGTAGAGTAGTATCAATTCAGGATAAAAGTACAACTATAGCTGATGAATATTGGGGAGGACGGTTTGCACTCGAAATTAATAAATTGTATATAGCCATCTTTCGCTAGCTAAGACAACTGCAGCTTTATAGCTTTATTCTTCTTGGGTCAAGATTACTTACCTTGCCAGGATGTTACAGGTCATTCCAATTACAGCATGACTCAGCATGACTCAGCATGACTGCCACTGTTAGATGACCCACCCTGGCGAGGCGCCTCTTCGGCAGCTCCCAAATGATGACCTCAGGCACTGAACCCGCAGCTCCCAATGGGAAACAGAAGGCAGAAGAAATCCACCCTGTGCATCCTGAATGACTTGAATGATTTTACATGATTTTACCATGTATATATACAGTATCAGTATGACTGTATGTTGTGTAGACTCAATTCAAGGATGTCAGCTGATGTAGGGGACAGTAGAGTGCGTATCTAGATCTTCAAACGTAATGGGAATGGAGGGATCAACAGATCCACTTGGTGGTTTGCTTCGTGCTCAAGTCGAAGGTGCGCAAGGTGCACTTGGCATCAAGGCTGTCTGAAACGTAACCTTCTCAAGCTGCTCATGCTCGCTTTCAAGCGAAATTTCCCAAAGATTGGACCCAAGCATATCATATATGCTTACCAAACAAAGTAGGTAAATCCCCAACGAACCACGATTCTTGCAAATGTTGTCCCCAATATGGGGTTGGGTTCAAGCACATTTACATAAGAGCATGTTCAAGCCCACATAGTTTTTTCATTGTCATTGTGTGTGTGTGGCGCTACTATCCTCTGTCCCCCCAATGTTTTTTCTGAAATCCCTACGGTATTTCTTTAGAGTTTGTTTTTCTTCACCTTTCTTGTTGATAGCTACCAGCTGCCAGCTACCCGTGAATTTTCAGCTTCAGAATCTTCAGATCCTTCAACCGAGCGACCCACACGCAGATAGCCAGGAAGCCCAAGGGAAGCAAGCACGCCAATCCTCGTTGGCGCATCGGAGACTGGATGACTGGGACCTGTCATAGCTCAAGTCATAGTCAGCTTTCAAGATCTGAAATCATTCCATGTTTGGATTCAGTTTCAATATGTTTCAGGTACCACCCAGGTTTGACCCACGGCCGTGTACAGTGCTTTGAACATCTTTGAATCAATCTCACGGGAGGCAAAGGATCGCCAGATGGTAGCGAGCAAGGAATGAGGTGCTGGGTATGACATTGTGACTTTGGGGATTTATTGGGTGGTACTTCACTGGAGTGTGGCAATCCTACCCAAAACATGCTAAAACCTGGGGATGCCCGCCTTTCTCTTTCAGAACATAGCCAAAAGTGGTTGGTTTTCCTGTTGACATACCAAAATGATAAACATGATCCATAATGACTCACGGAGCGTGGCTTGGCCCCCCAAAAAATCCATCCCAGACTCCACCAATGATGGACATGGACAGGTGTTCGCCTTCTCCGTTACAATACCTAGGAGATTGTGTGCTAGTGGACCGAAACCGCTGAATGGGAGGAGTAGAACCTGACCTGGCAAATAGAATAAGCATGAATGAGCCGAATAAAATCTCTCTCTGGGCATGATTACTAATTATACCGCACCCAAAATGCGTTTCTGGGTACGAGTCGTTGTTTGTGAAACCTGAAAGTAGGGCAGTCATTTCATGTTTTAAACGAAAACGTGTTGCCGTCGTCGTGTTGAAATGCAGTCTTCCCGAACCCAACCAATGTGGTCGCCAGCTTCTAGACAGAAAGCAGCCACTGGGCCCAAGAATGCTAGCCCTCCAAACCCCAGAGGAAGTATGGATATAGCGGCTAGCTGACTAGCTCACCCATGGGTCCCATCGCAGACGAGTCAGCTCTTCCCATGTCCAACCCATGGATTCCACCTACAAACGGACGCTTTTGGTGGATTGTGGATCCCCAACTCTTCACCCAAAGCCTCCTGTTTTGTGCTAACCCCTCCTGCCATTTCCTGCCCGTTTTTTTTGTATGTTTCATGTTGTATCACTATTCTTCATTATTCCACATTTATTATTCCTATGTATTGTTCCTATATATATATTATATTATATTATATATATATATATTCCGATGGCCATGGACAATCACCCATTTATAGATGATTTTCCCTTTAAAAACCTCCATTTATTGGGGATGCCATGGGATTTCACATTGATTTTCCGATGATTTTCTGGTTCACAGGACCCCCACAGTGCAACCATGGCTGCACTCCGTGGTAGGCTTGCACCGTCCAGCGGCCGTTGGGATGTTGGTTGCGACGGAACGGGGCCAACAGCGAGGAGCACAGCGAGATGAAGAAGACCATGAAGAGGGTGCCCGCGGTCCTGCCGTTGACGGGGAACCTCAACCGCAAAAACTGGGAGATTCCAAGGTGCCTTGGCTGGCAACATTTCACTATATTACACTTAACATATCTTAGCGTCGGGGGTGTCGGTTATATCGTGGAGCATTGGGATATAGAATAACGGTTAACGCATACTACCACAAAACTAAAGAAACCGTTTGGGGAGACCAAAATGGTTGCGGTTAAGTACCGTGCAAGAGACGATTGATGTGATTTGGTTGGAGGTCAGGGAACGATCCAAAACATTATTACTGTTGTTAGTTGGAGTTAGTCCTCCAAAATGAGGATGGGAATTAAAGGACCGGATAACCCCACAAGGCAAACTCTTCCAATAATGAGCACCGCATGTTGTAGCGGGGACGGGGAAAGAAGGAAAGACAAAGGATGTGGTGGAGGACCGACAAGTAAAGCAAAGTTGTGTGTGTGTGACAGAGTTGTATGTGAAAGATGGTGTGTGACGAAGAAAGATGTTGTGTGTGACAAAGTTGTGTGTGAAAGATGGTGTGTGTGTGTGTGTGTGAAAGTTGTGTGTGAAAGAGAGCGTGTGACAAAGTTGTGTGTGAAAGATGGTGTGTGACAAAGAGGTGTGAGAAAGATGGTGTGGCGAAAGCTGGTGTGTGTGTGTGACAAAGTTGTGTGTAAGATGGTGTGGTGAAAGATGGTGTGTGACAAAGTTATGTGTGAAAGATGGTGTCGTGAAAGATGGTGTGTGGAAGATGGTGTGGCGAAAGATGGTGTGAGACAAAGTGGTGTGTGACAAAGTGGTGTGTGAAAGATGGTGTGTCAAAAATGGTGTGTGTGTGTGTGTGCGCGTGCGCGTGCGCGTGCGCGTGCGCGTGCGCGTGCGCGTGCGCGTGTGCGTGTGGGTGTGTGTGTGGGTGTGTGTGTGTGTGTGTGTGTGTGTGGGTGTGTGTGGGTGTGGGTGTGTGTGTGGGTGTGGGTGTGGGTGTGGGTGTGTGTGTGTGTGTGTGTGTGAAAGATGGTGTGTGGAAGATGGTGTGTGAAAGATGGTGTGTGTCAAAGATGGTGTGTCAAAGATGGTGTGTGAAAGATGGTGTGTGTCAAAAATGGTGTGTCAAAGATGGTGTGTGACAAAGTGGTGTGTCAAAGATGGTGTGTGACAAAGTTGTGTGGGAAAGATGGTGTGTGTCAAAGATGGTGGGTGACAAAGTGGTGTGTGAAGATGGTGTGTCAAAGATGGCGTGTGACAAAGTGGTGCCAGCCACCAGAGTCACCAGAGCCACCAGAGCCAGCCCAGTGCCATAAGTGCCACGCCTGCCACGCAAAACGAAGGTGGATGTCTCCAAGTGCCACGCCTGCCACATGAAACGAAGGTGGATGTCGCCAAGTGCCACGCCTGCCACGCAAAGTGCCGCGGCGTCACCGCGACCAAGCGCGCCCAAGCGCGCCACCAGAGCCAGCCCAGTGCCATAAGTGCCACGCCTGCCATGCAAAACGAAGGTAGATGTCTCCAAGTGCCACGCCTGCCACGCAAAACGAAGGTGGATGTCTCCAAGTGCCACGCCTGCCACGTGAAACGAAGGTGGATGTCGCCAAGTGCCACGCCTGCCACGCAAAGTGCCGCGGCGTCACCGGCGACCAAGCGCGCCCAAGCGCGCCACCAGAGCCAGCCCAGTGCCATAAGTGCCACGCCTGCCACGCAAAACGAAGGTAGATGTCTCCAAGTGCCACGCCTGCCACGCAAAACGAAGATGGATGTCTCCAAGTGCCATGCCTGCCACGTGAAACGAAGGTGGATGTCGCCAAGTGCCGCGGCGTCACCGGCGACCAAGCGCGCCCAAGCGCGCCACCAGAGCCAGCCCAGTGCCATAAGTGCCATGCCTGCCACGCAAAACGAAGGTGGATGTCCCCAAGCGCCACGCATGCCACGTGAAACGAAGGTGTGTCGTGACAAAGAATTGTGTGACAGATGGTGGTTGACAAAGTTGTGTGTGAAAGATGGTGGTGACAAAGATGTGTGAAAGATGGTGTGTGACAAAGTTGTGTGTGACAGATGGTGGTTGACAAAGTTGTGTGTGAAAGATGGTGGTTGACAAAGATGTGTGTGAAAGATGGTGTGTGACAAAGTTGTGTGAAAGATGGTGTGTGACAAAGATTGTTTGTGAAAGATGGTGGGTGACAAAGAATGGTGTGACAAAGTTGGTGTGTGAAAGATGGTGTGTGACAAAGTTGGTGTGTGAAAGATGGTGTGTGACAAAGATTGTGTGTGAAAGATGGTGGGTGAAAAAGATGGTGTGTGAAAGATGGTGTGTGACAAAGTTGGTGTGTGAAAGATGGTGTGTGACAAAGTTGTTGTGTGAAAGATGGTGTGTGACAAAGATTGTGTGTGAAAGATGGTGTGTGACAAAGATTGTGTGTGAAAGATGGTGTGTGACAAAATTGGTATGTGAGAGAGATGGTGTATGACGCGGAGGCGGCGGAGGAGGCAGAGGCGGAGGAGGACGAGGCGGCGGGATACAGAATCAAAAACAAGAACCCCACACAAAGATGTGGGGAAAAACATAGAACCACTACTCACTATCACTGAATCAACACCAGTTGATCAGTGATCAGCTATGGCCTGACCGAGTTGACTTTCATCAGCTGATATGGGCTGATCTTTTGACGATGCCATTGATCATCTATGGCATAGCTTCAAGTGACAGGTTGCTGTCCTCTGATCAACAGGAAGCTGGAACAAAGAAAGCCAGCCGCTTTACAAGTTGATGTTTGCTGATTGCTTGAGTCACCCGTCCCAAAAATACACTGGTCGAAGTGGGATGTTCATGGATTGATATAGCCGGTAGAGAAACAGCTTCCGCAAAGTACAGCTGAGTCTGAGTCATTACTGTACAGCTGTCATATTCTACTTGGTGGTGTCAACCCTTCTACAAACTGTTATATAGTCAATTTTCCACTTTCCAGATGCCGAAGTCCGCATTGAAAGGTGCATTGAAAGGTGCCACCTTGGCGTGCACAAATCAACAACATATTCACACCTCACGATCTGGACATATATCAACATATGTATCTATATATATATGTACATATTTGAAACCACCAACAATATTAATTCTTGGTGATGCATTATTGAAAATATCCTATATAAATCCACATAATAGTCCATGAAATATTACCCAACTAATGATTAGTAATTAATACATACGTATATGTTGGTGCAATCCCCACCAGTTGGCTGGGCACTCAGGGCACCCACTTCGGCCACCATCAGGCCTTAGCAGCAAGCTGATCTGGAAGCCTTTCCCAGCTTGGGCGCCGCCCCGAGACCTTTGCCACGCCAAATACCCGAAGTGAACGACGCTGGCAACGGCAAAGAGCAGTAGAACCATCAAGGTTCCTGAGTTGAAACTCTCTCGTCCCCCCGAGTTGGAACATGTTGAAACATGTTGAAACTACTGTAACATTATGCAACTGTTTCACACTGTTTCCATCCCCGGATTTTGTCGCTGTATGTGTTTAATAATTACAAGTGATACTCTGAGACTCTGGCTATTTTTTGGTCAAGCAGCACACTTTTGTTGCTTGACGACAAACATCGACAAACAAATGCCCCACCCTGTTTCAGCCCACGTTTAGAAAATGTACACCATGAGTCACTATGAACTGATATGAACTGATGAATGTTGGAGTCCTCATTTGCGGTGAACATCACCAAGTTGATAGAATTTGATGGCAAGACATGCTTGATTTCACCCTGGAAACCAACTGTCTATCAATCTTAAAACCTCCACATCGCCTGATGCTGCTGTAAGACCCGCGGACCAAAAGCCATTGCTTTCCCCGTACAACAAAACAACATTTTTGGAAGAGTATGTTTCAATGTTCGGATACTTCCAAACATGAGCCATTGGGATGTCCTGGAAACTAGTTCTCTGGTAGCAACATGGTTTGTCCTTGGCCGTAACCTGCTATAATAATGCGCACCCCAGGGATAATAGGATAAGGAAGTTAGGGGCCCAGTTTTTCCAGTAAGTTGGCCAACCGACCCATCGCCGGAGCCAACAATCTCCAAGAATCGGGTTGCGAATTTCATCACGGGTTCCATGGGAGCCACACAACCGATGGAGATCATATCCAAATCAAAAGCCATGACCTGCCAATTCTTCGTGGAAAATGGGCTTCTGTGAAAAGCATGCATCATCCCATCTATGACATTGGCTGTTGAATGTGCATTCATGTGTGGGAATGAATGCTCAAGTCCCCTCTTGGACGAAAGGTGAGAAAAGCCATGCGAGCTGAAGCTTAGGGTTGTCACCTGACACCTGGCAGGGAAACCTGTCAAGTGGTAGCGGAGCTGTGGTTCAGCTGCTGGGGGGGTCGCTGTGTTGGGAGCGCGGGGGCCGTAGAGCAGTAGCAACTTGGCTAGCTGACCATGAGTTCAGGAGGGAGGGATGATGAAAAGACCACAAAGTTAGAAACCTTCAGTGGGGTCACCCAAGAGTACAAAAGATGGCGTCGTAGGCAAAAGACAAAGTGGGGCCCACGCCTGTTAGAGGCGCTGTCAGGGGAAGCTTGGGAGCTGCTGGAGTCCATAGTTCTCGTGTTTGGGTTGCACATGGCATGAAGATTTTTAGATGCTCTCCTGAGCAGTTGAGCAGACCAAGTGAAGAGCAAGAAAAGTTGATCAGGTTGCTTCCTGATCATTTGCGCGTGATTCGAAATGCAGTTGCCGAAAGAGGAGCTGGAAACGTTGTGGTGTTGGAAGGGGGTGCGGTTCCACCGTTCCACCACCCGATGAGAGCCACGGTGAAGTACATGATCAACCCATGAACCAACTTGATGAGGTTGAGCAAGAGCGTCAGCATCAACGAGAGGAATGGGAAGACATGTTTGGTGGTACAGTTGGTGTTGTCCGTGCCAGGGATTTGGCTGAGGAAGGGGAAGCCGAGGAACCGCCGCGTCAACGTCAGCGCGTGTCTGAGGCGGATGAGCAGGTTCCCCGGAGGTCAAGAGGTGCATGAGCAACATGATCGTGAAGGCCGTGAACATGTAGGTGATCCAGGTCAGGCAGAGGGTATAGCGAAGATTTCTGAAGATGAGGTCCCCAACCCTGAGGAAGGTGGGGAAATGCAAAGACATGTGACTGAATTGGAGCCGCTTGCCAAGCCTGAGGTGTATCCTCCTAGTAGCACTTACGGGCCTGTCAGGGAGTCACGTGTTGCCAGGGAAACCCGTCTTACTAGGGCCATGCGTGAGAATCTCAGTTTGCTTGATCATGGAAGACCTGCTAGACATGTGCCTGGAAATCAAGAACATGGCATGAGCGTCGAAGTCGAAGATGACGTGTTTGTAGTGTCTGAAGCTGACGTGTTGGCAGTGAAGAAAAAGAAAGGGAGAAAAGAAGTTCTTGAGAGAGAGATCCCTGAGGGTCAAAAAAGGCATCTCTTGTTGACGCAAAGCGCAAGGAGTGGGACAAGATGTTGAAATCCGAAGCAGTTAGGGTTCATGTGGGAAAGGATGCTGAGGAGAAAGTCAAAGAGTTCGGTCGCGAGCGATTGCTCCAGTCACGTTTTGTGATAACCCAGCCGGACGATCCTGAGCAAAGAAGACAAGGTGTGTTTAAGGCCAGGCGGTGTATTCGTGGGTACTTGGATCCTGACTTGCTTGAGCTTAGCACTTCCTCTCCTACATTGTCCTCTGAAGGGTTGTCCACATCCCTGCAGTTGCTTAGTTCGTTCCGATGGGAAGCCATCATTGCAGATATAGAGGCTGCGTTTTTGAGGGCTGATCCACTTCAACGACGAGTGCTCGTCAGGGTTCCCCATGGCGGGATTCCTGGTGTGGACGATAATGCGGTAATCGAACTGGTCCGTCCAGTCGATGGACTGGCAGATGCTCCAAGCTGCTGGCACCAGACTCTCAGGAAGTTTTTGCTTCAAGGGTTGATAGCGATACATGTTGATGATTTGCTCATGGGGGGTAGGCAATGTTTTCACGATGAAGTGTTGAACCCCCTGAAGGAAAAGTTCCCGTTTAAGCAGTGGCACACGAAAGGCGGCGAGTTTTTGAGGATGGTAGGATCACCATTTCCCAAAAAGAGTATAGCATGTCTGTACTATGTCTGTGTCTTGTCTTCATGTTGGAAAAGAGGGGCGGAAACAAAAGGATAGTTTTGTATAGTTTTGTTACTGAGCAAGAAAAGACTCAAATGAGGGCTTTGCTTGGTGAAGTCAACTGGATTGCCATGAACAGTCGTCCGGACCTAGCTGCTAGCTGTTCTTTGCTCCAACAGAAAACTTCCAACGCGAAAGTGGAAGACCAGATCGAGTGTAATCGCCTAGTTAGCTTAGTTCGGGACTTCGCCCATGGCTGTGTGACTATTCATCCAATTCCCCCTAGTGAACTGGAATTTGCTGTGTGGAGCGATGCTTCCTGGGCACATGCCACAGACAAGAAGCGCCAGGGTGGGTACTTGATCATGGCCGCTTCCCGGGAATTGAGGATCGAAGGGCAATTGGTCCTTCACATCTCCCCTTCGTTGGAAGAGTTATCGTCAGGACCGGCGAGTGGCTTCTACTCTTGGTGCTGAGTTGTTGTCGGCGTCTAGGGCATGCGAAGCGGTGTTTGGTGCCTATTCCATTGAAGCTGACAAGGTTTTCTCCCCTCGAATTCATCTGTGTGTCTCAAAGCCAGTTTTCGACCACTGCAACAGTGAGGTTGTAACCATCAAAGACAAGAGGTTAGCTATAGAAATGCTTCTCATGAAGAAGGAATTCCAGGAGGGTCTTTTTCTTCGGTGGCAACCTACCTATGCCATGCCCCGAAGGAGCTGATTCGAAACAGTGATGAATGGCAGTGGCAAGTTCAAAATCTCAGAAGATGCCACCATCCGGAACCGGGCAGCAAAGACCACACGGACCAAGAAGCTGAATGATGAGATGTGATGCGATGTGTTGGTTGCTGGTGTTGCGTGTAAGGTGGTATCAACTCTAAAAGTGGACAGCATGTGTGAATGTTGGAGATGTGTGTTTTAAGACTTCGATTGCAGAGTCTCTCGAAGGAAGCCATGTCATAGATGCAAGAACCGGGGTGTGTGTGTGTGTGAAAAGCATGCATCCCATCTATGACATTGGCTGTTGAATGTGCATTCATGTGTGGGAATGAATGCTCAAGTCCCCCAACGTATCTTGGACGAAAGGTGAGAAAAGCCATGCGAGCTGAAGCTTAGGGTTGTCACCTGGCAGGGAAACCTGTCAGCTTCGGCAAAGGAAACCCTGATTGGGGTTGTTCAAATGCTTTCTGAAGCACGGCCGAAAATCTGACTGCAAGATAAGTTGGCAAGTGGAGTTTGGGGGTCTCAGGCACCATTTTTTTTTGCTGTACCATAGATCCTCTACATCCCTTCTCTTGTGTCAGTCCCCAGACCTATTCTCAGCCGCGATCACGGAAACCCAGGAATTGTAGGGCTGATAACTCCAAATCCAACACGGAACTCCAAAAAAAAACTGCCTTCTACGGAAGAATCCCAGCTATTTCAAGCTGATCTTCCTTAGGATTTGCTGCCCCTCATCGCATTGTTGCGGGTCAAATTTCTCGAACCCAAAAAACAAATTAATGATGGTTCAAGGTTTGTAGGTCATAAGCATCTATAATTAAATAAAAAAATAAATATAATTATATATATATATAATATATTATATAATATATTATATAATATATTATATAATATATTATATAATATATTATATTATATATACATACTCTTGTTACCCATTATATTTGCTCAGCCGCGCACCTCCAAGGCCACCAGGATGCTGGCAAAAGGTTCGCCCCAATCGATCTTGAACTGCTGCACCACCGTCAGCTGCCTGGGAAGAATATTGGGAGGCAAAACATTGAAATGTGAGGGAAACTCCAGGGGATTTAATCATCATCATCATCATCATCATCATCATCATCGTGGGCTGAAACAAAAAAGTCAAAGTTCATGTCTTATTTTTGTTTCAAGTGGGAATAACTACAAATAGATAAGGCTATGAGTGGAGACACAAAAGAATCAACCAGGTGAGGATGTATCAAAGTAGAAATTATTAGAAAATGGCAAAATTGATTATAAAGACTAACACCCATCAAAATCCATGGGTTCAGGGCTACCGCATCTTTTCACCGATAGTCTTGACACCTCCACGCCCGGGGGGGTCAGCCATCCCTGCGTCCAGCGACTGCACGATCGTGACCATTTGTCCCATACCCAAGGCTGCAATCAACAGACTTCCTGTCACGCCGTCAGGATTGGGCTCTAACAAAAAATATCCACAAGAAAGAAAATCACGCACAGGGTGGATCGACATATTTTTTTCTTTGGTATTCGATGTTCATTTTGTTTTGCTACCCAATCGCATACCCACATGGCCCTGCTGATCCTTCTGTGCAAGAGGGTTCCTTGCCAGTAGCGCCAAAGCAACCAACAGGCCAAGGGATCACCATTTAGCTGATCTTTGTTGCCTGATGTAGAGATACATTGCAGCCATGCGGGGCTCCATTCATCAAAGTTAAGAAGAACATTTACGGTAAGGATCTGTAAGGATGCAATAAATCCATATAAATCCACCAAACCATGACAGTTTAAAGCTGAAGCCCATGGGTTACCCCTAGTCTTTGCGCCAATGGCCTGGTTGCTTGCTCTTCTGCCCTTCATTCATCAGAACCTCAGTCCACTGTCGGCTGACAATGTTTCGCATCAACTGAGGACTCCAGCGGGTGTTCAGTGGTGGAAGCCAGTCATGGGAACATCATGGTTTTCCAACTTATTCGACCCATACAGAAAACACCTAATATCACCTAATTATCAGTTGATCAATTCTTCCCAACTAGGAAATACTACGTACTAGGAAAGAATACAAAGCCTGCGTGTGGTTGGGCTGTTGAGCCACCCTATTGAAGTATCTGCCAAAGTCACTCGGAACTCATACCAACATTCTGAAAAGATCGGAAAAGTGTCTTGATTCCCGCAACTTGCTGTATTGTTCCCATCAGTTGGGTTAGTCGTGTAGCTGAAACCTCCTTCACTGCGGAAACCCTTCCCATGATGGCCATGAAGATCCCAAATGTGCCCAGGTGCCGTTTAATGGCTGCCAAGTCCTTCCCCCCCACTGGTGATCGTCCATAGCCACCTCCATATCCCTCATCTTTCTCTGTCTTGGCCAAGAAGCCACGTAGAGAACAGCAATCATGATACACCCCAGGATACCCACAATAGTCACCAATGCATAGTCGCCCCCGCCGCACTGCACACAGATTCCGTCCTCACAGGGGTGGAACACAAGTCATTTTCTGCGATGCCTTGTAGTTTCAGGGTGGGGTTACTAGGATCATCGCTGTATCACACGTTCTATCGCTTAGGTTAAATGGAACATCAAGAATCATCAAGATATTTTCGAAACCACCAAAATGTGTGTTCCGACTATGCATGACCTATGCGGCCTGAATCTAGCATATTTCCAGGCTAGGCATGTACACCATCTCCGTACTGCTTCTGAGGCACTGCCCCTTTGCAGAACGAGAATGGCTCAAAATGAGACCTCCTTTAGAAGCTGGATGTGTTTATAATATTTATATGATATATTGTTTAATATTATTTATATTTATATCATGTTGAATCTTGCTATTGTATACAGACAAAGGCCAGCCATCAATGTGGGGGTCCCTTCGGTGCCCAATTTGCTTTGAGCCATGCCATAGAATTGCATTTGACGGCCGACTTCAGAACATTCTCCACATTGGATATTCAAAAGATTGAACAAAAAGAAAGGACCAGAACAAACGAGCTTCACAACCTTTTGCAAACTTTGCATTTTTCCCACAGTTCCACCTTCGTCGGGCAATCAGTCAGGATCAACCAGCGACATTGGAATATTATGGAATATTTATGGAATATTATGCAGTCACATTGATGATGAGCTCTTTTTAGCTTTACCCAGAATTGATCCTGACAACCGACTGCCCGTGGTGCACATCTTCCAACCCCCCCCCATCCCCTGGGTCCCGTGAGTGCAAGCCAATTTCACAGGCGCTGCACGCAATGGTGCTGGTGTCCTGGAACCAGGATGGTCCCAAAGGTTCCAGAGAACCGAAACCGCCGCAGATACATTCCCCTATAGAACTTATAGAATCTTATAGAACTTATAGAACTTATAGAACTTATAGAACTTATAGAATCTTATAGAACTTATAGAACTTATAGAATCTTATAGAACCGTTTGGAAGCCTGAAATGGCTTTAGCACTTCCAAGTACTGAAGTGCACAGTGGCCTTAACATGCCTTAACCACAATTAAAGGCCTGCGCTGTAATGCTGGCAAGACAAGAGTAACAAAAACCAAGGCATTTGATTCCAGAAGCCGAACCGCATAAACCAAAATCGCCCATGAACCGAACCTTGCCCTATAGCAAATAGGAAAAAACATGTAAAAACCGAAACGAACCGAAACCACACTGCAGATAGTGTGCTGATTGCAATCGCTGTGGATGATCCCGTCAGAAATGCGACACATCAGTGTACTGGGATATAAGTTATATATTATAGTAATATAATGAAATATATATGATATAATATATATATAATAAATTATTGATTATTTTATATATAATGATTATTAAAGAATATTAAAGATGTATGTGGTATATTACATGTGATGAGCAACAATATTCCAAAACTCACTCGCACTTTCGGTCTAGGCGTCAACATATGTCAACATGCCGCATTTCAGGCTACTATACAACCAACCTCTCCAACACGCCCACACCCCCATCGATATCATCGATGCTGGTCCCGCCCAAAGGCGCAGGTTCCCGGTTCGCCACCGGGGCAACGAACGCGCTCGCCAAAGCAGTAGTAGACCTCTCCGGGTTCCTGTCGCAACTGGGTCATCTATGGTCATCTGGCCTTGTGACCCTCCAAAAAATCAACAAACTTTCACAGAACTATCTTGGTTGCATAAAGGGTACAGCAAGCGACCTGGTTTGCAGGGTAAAGCTCAATTCGGACCACAGAGGCAGAGTTTCTGGACATGGTAATTCAAATCATGCACCTAGAAAATAATGGGTAAGGCTAAACTAAAACAACGAGAAACTCAGGAAAAATATGAAAAAAAAACAACTGGGAAGAAGTTTAGAAATATTGAATCTTGAAAATAGAGCACATTCGACACCCTAGAAACATTTGGCCTGCCGGAGACAAGTGAGACAATCCGGGCACGCCAACATAGTTCAAACTGCATAGTCACGCCAATCGACAAATAAACATGGGGATACCGGCACGCCCAAAACATTGATGACTCCTTCTACTTGAGTCTTGGAAACACCAAATATGGAGCCATGAATGAGTTTCCCGGACTCTCCCCTTCCCAATAGCACCGTTGCGCGCGAGTAGTAGCCGGGTGCCAGCAACAGTTTACCTGCAGGTGCACGGCGCCAACGGGCATTCTCATCTCCTGGCAAGTATGGAAAAACCTAAAGTCTACTACCTAATTCTTGTCCTCAGCAGGATTTCTTTGAAGTCATGCCTTCAAACATCGGTGTCCCCTTTGGCCCAGTACCCCTATGGCCACCTGCAACTTCTGAGGGACAAGCCATGACAAGCCCTGCAACTTGTACCAAGGTGTCACCAAGAGGCTGGACCCTTCACAGATGGAACCCTCGATGCATTCCTCGCAGCGGCCGTTCCACAAATAGGTACCTTCCGAAGGAGGTGAGGCATCACATGCTAGGGCCATCATCCCAGCACCACATAAACGTCGAAAAAAACCATTCTCATGTAATTAATCACATGTAAATGTAGAAGTAAGTATACTATTGCACTACTACAGAGACCACAAGTTTCATAAATGTGTCAAGGTTACAAACAAACATCTTCCACCCAACTACAGTGCCCCAACAATTTGTCTATGATCTATGCCCAGTTTCACAGTACTCATTGCCCCTCTGAGATAATCACTCATACCATCGCAGGGCACCTGCCACGCATCCACAGTAGGAGATATTGTCCGCACCTTGCACTTGAATCCAGGTCTCCTGAAGGACCAAATTCGCAACGGATTTGGCATGATTTATCAACAGGCGACGTTTTTCGGGTCCATCACCTTGTATCTGGTGTAATTCTCTGCATCCATGTTGGTGGCTTTCGAATCCGCCAACCCCCAAAATGTGGACGTTTTTTCGTGGGTAAAAATGTCTTGGCCAACCACCACTTCCAGCTCCTTACCCTGTGACATCACCGGCTCACTGGTAGTCCACTTGTCTTCTTGCCCTGTTCCATTCCCGCAGATGGAGCAGTTGATCCTGAGATCAACACGTTGGAAAAACCCTGGGAATCACCGGAAATCCTGAGAAAAGGTAGAGTCCCAGGAAATACGAACATTGTATCATACACTATATTACTATCTGTTTATATATTTAATTAATATATGATATATGTTGTATATAGCAACAATCATGCTATGGATGCTAAATGTTCGCGTTGAGGCGAGCCGACTCACAACATGAAGGGTTTTAACAGCCACAGAGCTCCCAGCGAACGTCCAAATCGCCCAAATCCGAATCCACAGTGCCACCGTCTTTCGGTCTGGGTCACTTTAGATCTACAAATCCCCAAGCTGTTTGTTTGCTACAACCCATAGGATCCATGGTGCTGCTATATATGGTAACATTTACCATCAATATACCCCAGTCATGTTAGCATATATATACCAGCACCATGGATCCTATGGGCAATAGTTCACTTTGACAGCTGTTGGAACATGTTGGAACATGTTGGAACATGTTGGAACTTTTCCCCTGTCGGCAGCTGCCGACCCACATCCCTGCAGCCCAGAGACATTCCAGTCCCTTCTGCATACCTTGCGTTGCGCAGCTGTCGAGTCCAACAGCTCTTTGTCTTTGGGGACCCGATGATCAAGGTATCATGTTGATTGGTCAGCGGCAGACCCGCGTTGTGATGCATTTGGTCCTTGTCACGACTTGTAGTTTTACAAGCTTCTGACCTGTAGCCAAACGTGGACAATCGCCAGAAGAACAACATGTACATGTTGAAAACCTAGAGACACATAAAAAAAGGATCAAAAAGTGTCTAATTATGGTTGGCAGTGAAATGCCACTGCATTGAAATGATCAATTTTTAAGATATTTCAGCCTCTATGGTTTTCAGTCTCTGATCTATCGCTGGTGTGAAACCGCTGTGGTCCTGACAATGTCAGCGAGCTTCAAGGTCACAAAGTCACACCCCAACGGCCCAGCGCGGATCATCGCTCTGCTTGCGAACCATTCCATGGGCAATGACTTTGGAATTAGACACAAGAAAGAACAATAAATAATGAAACAGATGAAACTGTCCTGGAAGGAAAAATCCACCAACTTTGGCTGGCCTGGATGAATGCTGCCCAGGCACTCGCCCAATGGGCATGCAGTGCAAGCACGCATGCCATCCTTTTTGCACATCACCGGGGGGCGGGGGAATAATAGGTGGATTTGGGGGTAAAACAATGGCTGAAAAATCACCATTTGAAATGGGACATATTGAGAAATCAGGAAATTCTCCAGGAGGTAAACATGTGTGGCAACCACCATCAACCACGATGGTGTTGGGAGCTTGATCATGCTTGATCCACCCTCAAGATAATCCAAGATAATCCAAGATCATCCCAGATATCCAAGACATTCGTCCGCTGGATCCGCTGGATGAATGATTTCAACTAAGGATGGACAGGTCGACAGGTCTTCAAATCCACCAGCAAAGGCCCGGTGACCCCGGTGCCTGACCAGCGACCTTTCCTCTCTCGCAGGGGAGGCAAACATCTTCACCAGGAAGCCTTGGCAGCTCGGTGAGATCAGAATTTAACGTGGCATTGATGGCGGTGGTACACCCAACCATAAACCATACCCCATAGGATCCATGTATGCTATATATGGTAACATTTACCATCAATATACCCTCGATGTTAGCATATATAGCATACATGGATCCTATGGGTACTATCATACCACACATTCCCATACCTATTTCTTTTTGTAATGTTCTCTTCTTGTTCTATGAAGCCTTAAAATGTGCGGGTCATCATCGGGTGTACTCCGTACATGCTATAGCCAACCAGCAGAACAGATAGCGACTGATATGAACAATCTGTAGATCTATCAGTTTGGTTTGAGGAAAAGTATATCACTAGCCAATCCGGAAGAGTCTTTGCTTGCTTCCAAGTCCAACCTGAAACTAAGGTTTGTATGTCACTTGGCATAACTGAAACCAGCTCAGTGACAACATCAAGACATTAAGAAACCCTGAAAAGGATATCACATGCACAATTCAGATATTTCATGATATTTCCCCAATGACGTTGTAGATGCATAGATCATCATAGATCTACATCCCTACGCCAACAAAATCCTGCAAGAGTGGTTGGGAGCCACCTAACATGTCAAACAAATCAGGTCCCTCAGCTATACCCCTAGAAGTCGGTCTTTAAGGGAAATCTCAAGAAAATCATGTCCAGTCTGGGTTCAAAACATGCAAGAACTCATCAAAACTTCATGTTCGGAATGTTTGGGCACCGGAAATTCAAGATCCTGGCCGACAGATTTTGAGACATTCATCCACTGGGATTGTGTGCTGTATATTTCAAAAACCTACAAAAAAATCTGATACTATTATAAAATAATTCAAATTTGGATCCACCCAATTCTTGACACATACCCCGCATGGTTCCTCATCGTTGTCACAGCCAAGATCGGCAAGAGACGACTGGTAGTTGCCCTTGGTGCAGGGTGTACAAACTCGCGTTGCTCCCTGTTCTTTGGAGTAGTGCCCCACAGGACAGGTTTCACAACCGACCTCAGTGGCGGAGTGGCCTCACCAGCATGACCAATGGAGCAGTTCTGTAGGGGTGAAGGCAAGGACTAGCTTAGTGACTAGATCGACTGGATACAACATGATACAGCATGATACAACACTAACAACACTAGCTTCCGATTTTGTTTCCAGATATTGGGTTCCTGTGAAATCTATCATTGGCATTAATAGGCTATCTTTTTGGCCGCTGATACCGTTCCATTCCATATAACATTCCTAAACCATCTGGTTGCCGAAACGTCAAAACATTGTCAAAACTGTCAAGGTTCAAGGGACTCTGAGTCAAAAATACGTCATGATGAGTGGAAGAGGATTGAACAATTCGACACAAAATACCCATCACCGACCTTGAATTCCTGGGACATGACCAAGCTTCTAAGAATCATATCATATGACTGGACTGACTGGACTGTAAAAAAAATGTAGTGGTTGGAAAAGTGGTTGGATCTCCATGGATCTCCAATTTCCTCCTGGAATGCGCTCCCAGGTACAGCTCGTGCGCGATCTGTGATGAAGTCCCCGTTCCTTGGCCATGGGAAGTTCTCAAATCGTTTGGATTCCAGGGAATAAGATGAAGTGGTGGACATGCTAAAGATATCCCAAAACGTCCAACATAAGCTTGATTAAGTTGGGAACAGTTTGGAGGCTCTGATCCCAACTATATATATATATATATCCCGAAAAAGGATCAATTATCTTATCCAATACCTTTGGGTGGTTTGATTTCAGGTGCATCAAAGCATGAACACTTGAATAATATCCCTGTACGAGTTCACCGGGTCAGGTTGGGGCCTGTGATTTTCCAGTAGAAAATGTAGGTTGTATAAATTAGGGACCCAAGAAAATCTAGCAACAGACATCAAACCAACTTCAGGTATCCTAGAAAAATGGCAACGTATAAAAAGTGCATTTTCGAAATTATGTTTAGCATTTTCCTTAGAAAAACACCGCCGTACTTGAATTGCATAGTTTTGCAATTACGATATCAAACATGTTGAAAACCACTTCAAGTTACTGCTACCCTTTTTCTAGAGCCCAACATCCAACCCAGTGTGCGGTTTCGAATTTTTCGATCGAACTTTTCGAAAATGCCCAGTTCATTGGACGTATCACCCTTTAATAGTCGCCCAGGACAGCCCACAAGAAAACATTTCAACACATGCAAAGTTGTAAAATTATGTTGTTTGTTTGTCGGTGGCTGTTGATTGACTTTTCAAAAAATATACACAAAAGGATGCAAAATTTCAAAAGTTTTGAAAAAAAATGTTGTTCATGACATGTTGCTGGAAATCATGGCTACTTAAATCCGCCCGCACCGAAGGTGCTGGGGCGTGATCTTCCGGATGGCACTCGTAAAAGGTTACAGGTTTACCTGGGGGGGGGGGGGCCCATTATTCGGCCAAAACCTCCTGTTTTTGATAGGTCGTGACGCTCGCCTTCAAAAAACACTGTAAAAAACAGTACGGAAGACACCTGTTCGTGAACGCGCCCGTCCAAAATCGGCAAGCGAAAAGTGGAAAAACCCCGTGTTTTTCAACTTTTTGACCTCAATTTTTTGGTTTGCAACATCTTTTTTTGCGGTTCCGCAGGTGGCCGGGCCGGGAGGCGAATTTTTGAGTTTTTGGACCCGTTTTCGGACTGATTTTCGTCGTTTTGTGATAGCAGAAACACTGGTTTTTACAGTGTTTTTCTGTTTTCTGCATGCTTGACGGCTAGCTGCAAAACTTCCAAAAACCTCGTAAATTACGCTGTTTTATGTTACGGTGTGAATGAAAACATCGTAAATACCAGTGTTTTTTGACGTTGGTTTAAAAAAAACACTGTAAATTACAGTGTTTTTGGCCACCTGACCCTCAAAAACCATGGTATTTGCAGTGGTTTCTGCTTCTCACCGCGCAAAAACACTGTAAATAACAGCAATTTCGCCGTTTTTTCATGTTTTTCGTTATTTTTTGAACTGCGTTGGTCCGCTATACATGGCTATCAAAGTCTTCGCGTTTTTTTTTCCGACAATCAGTACTTTCGGATGTTTTTGGTCTCAATGGCCGACATCATTGGCAGTTACGAGCGGCTGCCCAACGATGCGGTGCGGGCGGTTGCCGTCGCGAAGCGACGTGAATAAAACCATGTCGAGTGGCTGGGGTTCTTCAAGCTAATTATATATGGACGGTTCGAATTGAAAACTGATATCTTGTTGCACCATGCTGTACCATCATGGCAGGCCAAAAAAATGCAAAATGGTTGCAAACAGGCTTAAACCACGGGAATATGTAATTTTTGTCAAGATAGGCGTTTGCACAAAAAATTTGGCGACTTAGGCAAACAGCTAAAAAGAAAATGTGGAGGTTCCAGGATGGTTAGATATCCGCCTTTATATAATTCAGCGGATCCCCCCCGACATCGATTTTCTAGCTCGAAAACAAGTTGTCGCAAACGGCCACCCCAAGATGCCTCTATATAGAATATTGAAATGATAGGATCAAAATCAAAATCACATCTAGTAAATCAACTTGGAAAATTGTTTCATGCACGCTTCAAGAAAGGTGATTTTTCTAAGAAACCTACTGTGCTGGGGGATTATAAAACCACATAAATTTTCCTACCCCATGTGCTTCAATATTCTAGGCATCCAATAGGTTTAAATCCCACACCAATCACTTTGATTCTCTACAGGTCCAAAACAATCCATTAAAAAAATAAAATAAAAGAAACAAATTATTTTTTCTAATTTCAGTTGCGCTTCAAATCATTTACAGAGAACGCAGTGAGAATAAACATACCAGGGATTTGATTTTCTAAGGGCTCCCACATGTGGAACCCCCAGGAGTTCCATTTTCTAAAGGTCCTCTGGGTGGAGAGCGCCTAACACATGTAGAAAAAAACACCTAATATGTGTCAAAACAAATGCCTGTTTTGTGACCTCCCCCGCCCACTAATTTAACAGGGGAAATTCCACGGGGGATGGTTGGATTGAGGTTGTGAGGCTATGGCAAAATCCAAGGTAGGGCTAGAATATGCCAAAATCGTCCGCTCCAGCTCCGGGGCTTCAGCCCATTCAAATGCTTGAAAGGGGATTGTGAAAGATTGCCTCCCTAGAAAATCAAGGACAACTAGAAAATCTATGAACGTACTCCCAGAGATGCTAAAATTATGCTTCAGGATTTTGGGCACCTAAACTCTCCAGAAAATCAGCATCTTACGACTCAGAGGTCTCCAAACGTATGTTCTTTAGAAAATTGGAGGAACTTCGAAAGCATCATTTCAGCAAATTCGAGTTTTTCGAAGGACAGAAAATCAACTCCCCTCAGGGCTAGAGGAAACTCATACCGGTATTGAATAATGGTTGGATCATAGGTACTGAACAATCCCAGTAGCCAGGGATACCCACTTCATGCCAGAGACGCCTTCAAGTGCTGTAACCACCCATGTTCAAGAGAGCACATGGACTGCGAATAATATCAAGCAGATTCTCTAATGTCCAAGTCACATTTCCAATTTGAAGGCTGCATCAATCATCAAAATGCCGGACTTCATTAGGCATGAATTGGAATCCATACACACTAAATCCTTCAAAATCATCCAGAATAAACATCAATCCAATAATATAAGATCCATGAAAATCCACAAAAAACAAGGTGGGCCAGAGAACCCAAAAGCGGCACACAGCACGCCTTTTTGTGAAAATCTTGTGGTGTGGGCAGCTGTGCTCTGCACGAAATCGGCGTAAGATCTTTACTGAAACATCGTGCGCGCTGATGGTATCAAGGGCCAATTCACCACAGCATGCTGTGTCAGCTACGTCTACATTCTTCTAGTCGCTATTTCTGCTACTGTAATTAACTCTGTTCCATCTTTCTAGTCGTTCTTTATTTCTGGGTTCTCGTTTAGTTTGCTTCACCGAAGAGGGAGCGAGGACGAAGCGTGGACGGACAGAACACCGTGCGAAATGAAAACACAACGACGGAGAGAGAGTTGACAAAAGAGCATGAAAACGAAGATATAAAGGTGACAGATGGTGAATGATCATGAAAAATGAGACATGATGAAAGATGGGTAAGCACTTCTCTGTACAAAAGCTTCTTTGCATAAAAGCTTCTGCATGTAAAAGCTTCTGTGGGTAAAAACTTCTCTGTGTAAAGTTTTTTGTGTAAAAGCTTCTGTGTGCAAAAGCTTCTGTGTGTAAAAGTTTCTGTTTGTGAAAGTTTCTGTTTGTGAAAGTTTCTGTTTGTGAAAGTTTCTGTTTGTGAAAGTCTCTTTGCGTACCAGCTTTTGTCTGTAAAAGCTCCTCTGTGTTAAAGTTTTGTTTGTGTAAAGCTTCTGTGTGCAAAAGCTTCTCTGTGTAAAAGACTTCTCTGTGTCAAAGCCTCTGAGTGTACAAGCTTCTCTGTGCAGAAGTTCCTCTGTGTAAAAGCTCCTCTGCGAAAAAGCTGCTCTGTGTACAAGGCTTCTCTGTGTAAAAGCCTCTGTGTGTGCAAGCTTCTCTGTGTCAAGACTTCTTTCTGTAAAGATTTCTCTGTGTAAAAACTACTCTGTGCAAACGCTTCTGTGTGTAAAAGCTTTCCTGTGTAAACGCCTCCGTGTGAAAAGACTCCTCTGTGTAAACCCGTCTGTGTGTAAAAGCTCCTTTGTGTAAAGGTATTTTTTGTGTAGAAGCTTCTGTGTGTAATAGCTTCTGTGTGTAAAAGTTTCTGTGTGTAAAAGCTTCTGTGTGTAAAGGTTTCTCTATGTAAAAGCTTCTGTGTATTAAAAAAACCTTATGCAAAAGCTTCTGTGTAAAAAAGCTCCCCTGTGTGTACAAGCTTCGCTGCGTAAAAGCTGCTCTATGTAAAAGTTCTGTGCGCCCTAAAGTTGTCTGTTTGTAACACCTCCTGTGTGTGAACGCGTCTGTGTGTACAAGATTCTGTGTGCAAAAGCTCCTCTGTGTAAAGACTTCTCTGTGTAAACGCGTCTGTGCGTAAAGGCTCCTCTGTGTAAAGACTTCCCTGTGTAAACGCGTCTGTGCGTGAAAGCTTCTCTGTGTAATCTGTGTAAGACTTCGCTGTGTAAAAGCTACTTTGCGCAAAAAGTTCTGCGCGTAAAAGGCTTCTGTGTGCAAAAGCTCCTCTGTGTAAAGGCTTCTCTGTGTAAATGCGTTTCTGCGTAAAAGCTCCTCTGTGTAAGACTTCTCGGCGTAAAAAGCTTCTGTGTGTGAAAGTTTCTGTGTGTAAAAGCTTTCCTGTGCAAAAGTGTTCTTGTGCAAAAGCTCCTGTGTGTAAAAAATCCTGTGCAAACAGGCTTTTTTGTGTAAAAGTTTCTGTGCGCCGAAGGAGCGTCTATTTGTAAAACCTTCTGTGTGTAAACGTGTCTGTGTGTAAAAGCTTCTGTGTAAATCTCCTTTGTGTAAGGACTTCTCTGCGTAAAAGCTCCTCTGTGTCAAGACTTCTCTGTACAAAAGGCTTCTCTGTGTAAAAGCCTTTGTGTGTACAGGCTTCTCTGTGTCAAGACTTCTCTGTGTAAAGAGATCTGTGTGTAAAAGCTACTCTGTGCAAAAAAGCTCTTCTGTGCGTAAAGGCTTCTGTGTGTAAACGCGTCCTGGTGTCAAGACTCCTCTGTGTAAACGCGTCTGTGTGTCAATGTTTCCGTGTAAAGGCTTTTTGGTGTAAAACCTTCTGAGTGTAAAGCTTCTGTGTGTAAGAGCTTCTCTGTGAAAAGGCTTTCCCGTGCAGAAGCTACTGCGTGTGAAAGCTTCTCTGTGCGTAAACGTTTTTTGTGTGTAAACACTTTGTGCAAAAACTCCTCTGTGTAAAGACTTATCTGTGCAATCCCGTCTGTGCGTAAAAGCTCCTCTGTGTAAGACTTCTCGGTAAAAAAAATCTTTGTGTAAAAGCTTTCCTGTGTCAAAGTTTCCTTGTGCAAAAGCCTCTGTGTGTAAAAACTTCTCTGTGTAAAGGCTTGTTTGTGAAAAAGCTTCTGTGTAAAAGCTGCTCTGTGTAAAAGTTTGTGCGCCGTAAACGCTTCTGTGTGTAAAACTTCCTGTGTGTAAACGCGTCTGTGTGTAAAAGTTTCTGTGTGTAAATCTCCTTTTTGTAAGAAGAACTTCTCTGTGTAAAAGCTCCTCTGTGTAAAGACTTCTCTGTGTACAAGCTACTCTGCGTAAAAGCTTCTGTGTGTGGAGGCTTCTGTGTGTAAACGCATCCGTGTGTAAACGCTCCTGTGCAAACGCGTCTGTGTGTAAAAGCTTCTGTGTAAACGCTTTTTTGCGTAAAAACTTCTGTGTGTAAGAGCTTCTCTTTGTAAAGGCTTTCCCGTGTAAAAGCTTCTGTGTTTAAAAGCTTCCGTGTGTAAAGCCCCTCTGTGTGTAAACGTTTCTGTGTGTAAAAGCTGCTCTGTGTGTACAAGCTTCTCTGTGTAAAAGCTCCTCTGTGTAAAGACTTCTTTGTGGCAAAGCCTCTGCGTGTACAAGCTTTTCCGTGAAGAAGCTCCTCTGTGAAAAAGCTGCTCTGTGCAAAAGGCTTCTCTGTGTAAAAGCCTCTGTGTGTGCAAGCTTCTCTGTGTCAAGGCTACCTAGAAAAAAAGAGACTTCTCTGTGTAAAAGCTCCTGTGTGTAAAACCTTTCCTGTGTAAAAGTTTCTCTGTGTAAAAGATTCTGTGTGTAAAGTCCTCCCTGTGTGCAAGCTTCTCTGTGTAAAAGATCCTCCGTGTAAAGCTCCTCTGTGTAAAGCTCCTCTGTGTAAAAGCTGCTCTGTGTAAAACCCGTGCCAACAGCTCCGCATTTTCAGTGCCGCTCCCTCCCAGCAGAGCTCTTCCCAAGCTATTTCTCCACCTGTCCGTTCACGCTGATGCATGTCCTATGCTTGGGTTATCGTTTAGTTGCTTCGCTGCAAAGGGAGCGAAAACCAAGCATCGACGCACAGAACGCCGAGCAAAATGACAACCCCTCCAGCAAAGAACTTTTTCCCATGCATGTCCGGCATGTCCCTTTGCCCAGCGTTTAGAGTCTGTTTGAGAAGTCTTCGGCACCAGTTTTTCGGGACAATCGCGATGATGGAATTTGTCTTGAAAAATCTATGCCAACAGCTCTGCTCTTTTAGTCTCGCTCCCTGCCCACGAAGCTATATGCATGTCCCATGGGCCAGGGTTTGGAAACTTTGGCAGGTCTTGTGCGCACAGTTTTTCGGCGCAATCGATTATTGATGAAATTTGTCATGGAAAACCCGTGCCAACAGCAGTGCGTTTTTAGTGTCGCTCCCTGCCAACGAAGCTATGCATGTCCTATCGCCCAACGTTTGCAAACCACTTGAAAACTCTTGGGCGCACAGTTTTTTCGGGACAATCGCATTGATGAAATTCTCCCCAAGCTATTTCCCACGGTTTCCCCTCCGTCCACCCTTTCGCCGCTTCCATCTCGCTCCTTCCCAACGGAGCTCTCCCCAAGCTATTTCCCACGGTTTCCCCTCCGTCCACCCTCTCGTCACTTCCGTATCGCTCCCTCACGGCAAGTGCATCTAAACGAGAACCCAAGCATTGGAGATGCTTTTGGGAAAAAGATATGCATCATGTTCAAACACATGTTCCACCAAATTCCAACATCGGCTGTTATTTAGTCTCCCATATTATGATCTTTAATTTCAGTATACTTCAGGACATTCGAATATAATTATATAAATACATGTATAAACATGTTCAGCAACATAGGACAAGACGATAATTCAACTCTATTCCTGTATTAAGATTAATACATATTGGTAATCACAATCTGTAATCGGACGAAGCATTCTCAATTACCGTTACTTGCGTATATATATATATATTCCAATATTTCCCAAGAATCTGGGACAACAGCCCCACAAGATTCCCATCTTCCCATCATCAGCGGCGAATGGGTAGATTTTCAGGCAATATGGGTCTTCCCATCATCATACTCCCAAAATTCCCATCAAAAGGAAAAATACATATTCTCTAATATGATTAGGATCATTATATAATAATATATATATAACATATATTCCCACTATTTCATCAAATAATGCAAAAATGGAACATTGATTCCCATCATCCCATTGTCTCCCCACGTCTGGTGGATTTCCCATCGCTCCGAGCTGCGAGTCGACCAGGCCCTTGCCGCTGGTACACGCGGTCTCGTTGGGCATCCAGCTCTGCCACCTGCCAGTTGAGCCAATTGAAATCAGTGAAACCTTGCGAAAAACGACAAAAAGGTGTCCACATATTGGAAACATGTGGGAAACATATGGGAAACATGAGGTTGAAAGATGGTGAAAACTGTTTAAAGATGTTGAAACCACATGTGGGTGGGATTTGAGCACTTTGTGATTGCAATATTGGAAGCATGTTTGATAAAGACTTGCGAAGTGGTCATCCAATTCTTCGGCAAAGATTTGAAAACAACAACAAGTGTCTAGAAAAAGCCAACATGTAGTTGAGATAACTTAGGATAAACCTGCCACCGGGACATGTTTAGTCAGAAATTGTCTGATTCCATTGCTAGACATACTAAACTTACCCTATCACCCTTGTGATATCACTACGATTCATGTTGAATCCAGTTCCGTTGGTTGGTCAGAAATCACAATTTCTCCTTTAATTTCGTTGATGTAGGTATGGGTCGAAATTTGATACCAAAATCATCGGACGTGTACCGTGCCAAAAAAAACTAGTGGCAAAGGAGGGTCTCAAACTTGAAATTTACATGTGCACCCAGCAGTAGTACTTATACGTATAGCTACTATTTCAACTTTATATCATATACGATATAAATCGATATAATATACTTATGTAATCTATCCCGAATATCAAGGATTGTTGGCGTCTCCCATTCTTGACGACTGGAAAACAGCCCCGAGCTTCTTTCCCAAGGCACAGATTATCATTGCCCTTCAGCCATTCACCTTCGAAGAATGGGCGCTCCAATGACAAGGAAATGACCGGTTCACTATTGGCTGGGGTATCACCAGAGTATATCTGGTGATGTAACGACGCATACTACCACAAAATGAGGAAAAAAAGACGAACCTGCGGGTTGCCATGGGGATACGGTAAAGAAACAATTTCACAGCACAAAAATGCTGCGGGTCTCTCGATGGCCGAGGATGAAGGTTTCTCAACCGGGCATGTCAAACATGAGAAAACTTCTGAGTGGCAAACTGGCAGCGGGGTTCAGAATGTTTAGATTAGAATGTTTAGAATGCAGGGCTGCTCTTCCATATCTTCGTTGCTTCCATAGATCCAGATGATACATATATACAGTGTGAAAAACAAAATCAATACGTCCGAGTTTTAGGTACCCCAAATATCATCCACAGATTGGCACCTGTGTGCCTAAAACCTCCTAGTCTGGAGGAACGCCAGAGACGTAGGTCCAAGGTGATGACAACACAATGTTCTCCCATTATTGCACAATTTTTGGGAAAATTCTGCTGGAAATTCCAAGCTGTCAAGTTGTTGCACCTCCTAAATTGGAAGTTGATTCTCCTATTGAATATGACCCGTTTGGGATTCTATCTTAAATCTCCACGGTGTAAATCACCCAAAAAAAATGACTTCCAGACATACAATCTTCGCACAAGTCACAGGCAGATTCCCAGGGATCGTTTCCGAGCTGGACGTACCTGCAAGCTAAATCCTTGCTGGGGTGTTGGTGTTTACGAGCAAGAATTCGGGGTTTAAGCACCAACAATCCTTGTTGGTTGAATGGTCAAATAAAATTAGGCTAAGTGTCCCCATGCCCTTCTGGAAACCAGCATGGAATCCCAGAAAATTGGGTTTTGAACATGATATTCCTATTGGAAAATGATTCAACCAACTCGGGTATATAGTGAGGGCCACAGGTCATGGCTAAACCATTGGATTGACGGGGTAATTCCATCCACTAGTATTAAACTACATCTTCAGGGGCCCAAACATGAATTATGCAATCCGCTGCTAAGCCAGAGTTTTTTGGGGGTATCTTCTAGGGGGAAGGAATGACAGCCTAAGTCAAATAATAAGTGCTCACGTATAGCCAAATTAGCCAGCATTTTACTATACCTAAACCACCTAATGATGTGAGATTTACTCACTGTTTAGGGTGATTCTGGTGGTGAATATCCTTTAAGGAAGAGACCTACCACTTTCACACCAACATGAGCGCGGTTCATGGGTGAAATCACATGGAATTTGCTACCTTCCTTGACTATGGACCAATTGACAGCCAACTGCTGGATGTCGCTTGATGAGGTCGGAACATGACATGATTCATCCCGAATGATCAAAGCGACATGCTTAGCATCTGCTAGTCTTCCTGATGCCTCTTCAATGTAGATACTACATGATACTACCACCTCCTGTGAAATCGGGCGAGCTAACCACGGCTTCAGTCTTTCAGGATGGCTGGAAGGCTGGCATGCCTTGAGCACTACTATGTGTTCCCTGGTTTAGGGTTTGTTTTGGGTTGGTTTAGGGTGTATTGAGGGTTGGTTGAGGGTTTTTCTGGATTGGTTTACGGTCTATTTAAGTGTTGGCTTACGGTTGCTGTAAGGTTGGTTTGGGGTTGTAAAGGTTGGTTTAGGGTTTTTTGAAAAAGTTGGTTGAGGGTTTATTTAGGGTTGGTTTAGGACGGATGTAAGGTTGGTTGAGGGTGTTGAGGGTCTTTATGGTTGTTTCTTTAAGTTTGGTTATTGTTTTAGTCAGGGCTGGTTTATGGTTTCTTTCGGGTTTAGCTTAGGGTTCGTTTGGGGTTGGTTTAGTGTTTCTTTACGGTTGGTGGAGGGTTGATTGAAAGTTGGTTTGGGGTTTATTTAAGGTTGGTTTACGGTTTATTTAGGGTTGGTTTATGTTGGTATTATATTACATACCTCAAAAGTAGAAGATATTCAGCTACCATTTTTGTACCCCATCTTCTATGTGTTTGGTTTTCTGAAAGCCGTTTTGGGATGAATCAAATAGAAGATATTATTTCAACATAGTGCTGAAACCAGGGTCGGAAAGGATTTTGGAGCCCGCTTGGAGGACCTTGCTGCGGATCCACTTGTGGATCTTCTATGTGTTCGGTAATTTTTGACCCCCATCTTCTATTTGTCTGGATCTTCTATTTGTCCGGTCGGGGTGTTATCTGCAGCCAAAGAAGCAGCAGCAGCGGCAGCAGCAGCGGCAGCAGCAGCAGCAGCAAAGCAAAGATCAAACACGGAGCGCGCACAATGCAAGGCAGCGGATATTCCAGTTTTGACCAATGTGTGAAACAAAGGTCAGAAAAAGCTTTGTGGTGGGAGCACTCGCCACACGCCCACGCAACCTCGAATGGCTGAGCGTCTTCCCACAAAGCAAACCGGAAAATTTGAACCAATGGCAGGGAGTTCACTGCCACGGTGGAATTGTCTCACCGGATGTTTTTCTTACCTGTAAAACATCCGGCGGAATATCTATCTGGTTTGTTTTTTTTACACCCCCAATTTTGCATCTTCTATCTGTTTTAACTAATATCTTCTATTTTTGAATATTGTAATATATATTATATATTGCATAGGTCTGATCAGTTTATACAATGTTTTTTAGAGTAGCTTTAGGGCTTCACTGTTTGGTAAAGAAAAGCGGAGAGCGGAAAAGGATAGAAGCAAAAAAAGGATCAGAAAAGCAAAAAAAGGAAAACGGGGAAGCAGAGAAGCGCAGAAGCAGAGAAGCGGAAAAAACGAAGAAGCAGAAAAGGGAAGACGCAGAATGGCAATCATGTAGGGTGAAAACAGGCCAAAGCAAAAAAAACAACCAGACATTGAATCAGAAAAAGAAAAAACAAACGGAATGAACAAGAATACCATTCCGTTTCCAAAGGGTTCGAGAACCGTGACGAGCTAATTCTCATAAAATGTCGCACTTAAGTTGTTTCAGTTGTCTGATTTACAATTCACGATATCAAGTATCCAACAGATCAAAGTAAATTGCAGCTTCAATCAAAACCCAGAAAGGCCATCTGTGGCTGACTGATGTAGCATGATGGTTGGTAGTTTACACTGAGGACTCTTACGGTTTTTTTCGAAAGTTACTTTTCCCAATCTCCCTCCAGCTCAAGGGTACGCGTCTCCCTCAATAAAACTGGTGTTGCCTCAGATTGACCATAATTATACGGTTGGGGTTATACATGTATACATCATATGTATAGACTGCCAGTCTTCTATTTTATCTCACATGGTGCCAGAATTAATCAATCAATAATTTGGTTTGTTAGAACTGCAACGGCCGCATTGGAAAATCCATCGGTCCCGTACAGTACAGATTCACCATTCCCTCGTTGCTGGCTCAGTGCCGCGTAGCTGGCTCAATGCCTCGTTGCTGGCTCAGCGCCTCGTAGCTGGCTCAATTTGTTTGAAGGGTAAAAAAAACGCGAAAAAATTGAGCCAGCTACATGCCCTTGAGCCAGCTCGGTGTGCCGTCATCATCCCGGCCAATACATATTATGTATTCGTTTTTGAACTTTCACATTCGTTCGCCAGCTCAACGTGACGTAGCTGGCTCAATTTTTTCGTTTTTTTTTCGTTTTTTTCGTTCAAAAAAATTGAGCCAGCTCGATGTCATCGAGCTAGAGCGATGTGTTTGAGCTAGCGCGGTGTTGCTGAGGTAGCTCGTTCCACTTGAGCGAGCCTGCAATTTTTTCCCAATGTGTTCAATTGCCAGGTTCAGTCCCAAATGATTCGTTTAGTAGAGATGGTACCCCTGTTGCAGCCCAGAAATTTAGGAGCCACGTTTTGGGCCTAATATGCTTAGACAGTGGCACAAAATTAAAGTCAAACACATGACCCCTTCTGAAATTGAGCCAGCTACATGTTTTGAGCTAACTCGAAAATGAGGAAGGTTGTGGATTGCTACATTCAATTTTCACTCTACCAATGACTAAAAGGAAACCGGCCTCTTGAGCATCACGGTGATTTCGGCACTGTAGATGGCATTTATTTTCTCAGCCAAATGAGCCTCAGATAAGCGGCCAAGGTTGACGTTTGGTGTTTGGGCGGGGGCAAAACATATTGTTCTTGAAATAACATGTATAGTTCATACGATATAGTATGTGAATGTATGTGATATATAGTATGATTCACCACAAAGACCTGGTTTCATACAATCTGGATATATATATATATAAGTGATATCACCAACGATGTATGGATATGAATCTGAATGAAACTGAGCGGAAAGAGGCGAGCTAAGCTCATCTAGCCCACGCTGTTTAATTTGGGTATGACCAAAAGAAACTGAGGGTTCATAGACTGATTTTCGACAGCCGCAGTAGAGGGTATTGCCTGCAGGTTACAGGAACAAATCAACGTTGCACGTCTCAAACGGTGTGAGGGGTCTGCAATTCAAGCGGCTTTCGGGTCCAACCTTCTTGTCCAGCTCAGGGGTGGTCGCATTAAGAGTATGCAAGTAGTATTTCTAATTATTTATATAAATTGTTTAAATCATTGTTAATAATTAGAAAATACCTATCATTGTTAAATAATTGTTCAATTTAACTTCGACTATTTATCGTTGTTCTTATCATCATCCACATCCGAAACCCATCGAACTCCTGCATCCGACGCCGAGCAACTGCCTTGTCGGCTGCCACCTCAATCCCTCCTGGAGCAGATAGCACTGGCGCTTCAGCTGAAGGCAAATTCAGATGCTGGAAGTACCATCAAATATGTAATGTGAGGCATAGTTTATTCATCAACATACATAAATTGGTCCAAAAGTCCAAAAGCCACAAACCAAATTATGTCAAGTTTAATCCCACCAGCAAAAATGGCCTGCTATAGGCATGCTGTCATGTTAATGGATCAACATGATCAACTGGAAAATGATCCACGGACAGACCTGAGAACTTTCACCAGAACTGTTCATCGAATGAAGACAGCGGCAACCCCAACCACGTTTGCGTCCACTCATGGATATCCTCATTTTCCAGCACGTTCGAAAAGCCAAATAAAATCAATTACACTTGGAGAAAAACAATGAAGACCTGCAGATTTTGAGCACCAGTCAGCACATGTTGTGTTACATGGGTGTCTTTTCAAAAACTGCACCACCACTTTGAAATGCCGTTGTTCGCTTGGGCCCAAAAAAACACGTTCAAAAGTTTTGGCAAATTCTGTGGAACCCCAAATATCTGCTTCTACTCTAATGATTCCCATGGTTCGAACATGTTGGAACATGTTGGCACAATGTATGTCCACCCAAAAGTCCATTTGTAAACTCCAGGTTGGCCTCAGTTGGCTTCTCTGAGATGAACATTCCAGTTGTCAATACATTGACACACAGTAATTAACTTATAAAACAATCAGCAATCCTGGTCTGTGGATGCTTCTGGGCGTATTCCATCTTTCACATTGTATCAATGGGATGGGTCCTCACTGTGGTCACCAGCCAGTTAGTACCAAGGGATTGTTTGCTACAACGGTTTCGTCCCAGTCTCCTGCGGCCCAGTTGGTTAGACGGGTGTTGTCTTTCCTGCAGCAATTGGAACGGGTCTTGGACTTCGGGACTTCCAAGTTGAGGAATTGCTAGCAAAAAGTGGAAAAATAGATGAGAACATGATCAGAACATGATTGAGGTATATTGAGGTTCCCAATTTGAATAACACTCGTGCTATAAATATTAAATCAAGAACAGATTCAACAACCCTGGTACCATCATCGTCAGAAGATATCTATGGCGAAACATGCGAACGAGGCTATGAAACCATTGTTTTTTTTCAAGTGGTGGCCATAGTTTTCATATTGGATGGTCGGTGCTCCAAAATCTGTGGCTTTGCAGGTCTTGAGTCGCTTTTTAATATCTATATTTCAAAATATTTCAATATATTCAAGTCTTGGGAATTGGTGATTGTTCCCTATGAATTCAAACTCCCTAGTCTTGCTAGTAAATCCATGTTCATTGAGCATCCCCATCTTTGCGCGTTAGATCCCTCCGCTCTAAAGTTTCCGTTGATATTGCCAGACGACCATCGGTCTTAGCCAAGTCTCATGGTTCGATAGTTTTCCACAGCATGCTCCGCTGCGTTGAAGGCAGGGAACTGGACCAACACAGGGTTGTCCAAGGTGAACATGGTATCTGGCCACCACCAGTAGGTCAGACCTCGGTAAACATTCCAAGAGGTTCCCAAAGTTGACCTAAATCTTTGGTTGTTCTGGAAAAACATCACCAGCCAATCTGCGGTTTTCTCTGGGATAATTTTGCGGACCAGCATGGAGGTGCATGGTTTGATTACTAAGTCCAGCGAGGCGATTTCAGATTACGGGTGAGGTACGGTTCGGGGGTTCCCTACTCTCGGATTCAAAATTTTGTTGATGAAGTGCAAAAAACAATAACATGAGGTGTCCACAGGCGTTATCGCAAAAGCACCCCCTTTGGTAATGGTTTTGTTTTTTTTCATTTCAAATTGGAGGAACCCCTCTTAATCTCTGATTGTTGGTCGGTCAGCAGAAACCATCAGCCCCCCCGACTACCTGGGGGCGGCCAGCGTGGCATCAAAGTTGACAAAACATATTTGTGCGGGTATATGCGTTTTTAGTTTATTGTTTATACGCTTTTGCTTGATACGGAATTTGTTTTTGATATACCAGCCTCCAAAACAATGTTTTGCTGAACTCATGAATAAATCATCTATGTCCATTTCAAAGCTTGAAAAAATGAAAAGTAAACGCTATTTTCTGATATAAACCGATATAAGATCATATAAGGAAACATGTTCTTAACTTTAGCAATGCCGGAATACAAATTTCAGGGCATGTGCGGGCACCTGCGTAGGGGTAACGGTATCACCTGTTTTATCTTTTCTTAAAACATGCAACGAGCAATGGACAGCACGGAACCGGAGTCAAAACTGTAAAAACGCTGACTTTTCGAAGGCAGAGCAGCTTATTGAAAAGGAAAACGCATTCAATGGAAAACATATCATCTTGTCATGCCCGACCCTTGAAGGTTTGAGCAAAGTTTCAGTGTTGCTGGATCCTACTTCCTGGGGTTGAACATTTGCTGAAATAATTCCGCGGAAAAAACGAACAGAGGTAGACATGACAGCAAAACTGACTATGAATTTGTTTCCAGGTTTTTGGCATTTAGTAAATCAAATCTTGTAAATTTCTGGCCTCTTTCAGCAAAAAAAATAGAAATTCGTTTGATCACAGTCACCACAGCACATTTACCGAGATGCTGATCTATACCCGCAATGTTCAAGCCTTAAGTTGTGGGATGTTTTCTCGCATTTTGGAATTCCCCCCATGGGGTTGTGCAAGAACAAGCTACGGTATGATACATGGTTCGTACCCCACTCCCCTAGATAAAGATATCCGATATCCCTGACGCAAGAAGAAAGTCCCATAAAATGACCCTGCAGGATTGCTCTCTACCCAACCCATCACTCCTACAAAATGACGTGTGCATTTCATGGGCAAACCGGCAAACCTTGAACTTGTTAAAATAGCGCATGCTTAAAATATCATCATTTCATAGCCAAGTTTGTCGGGGATCCAGGCGCATGTCTAAGTTCTCACATGCCATTTTATGGCGCAAGGACATGGCAATTATCTAATCAATATCAATCAGGAGGGATTGGACAGATGCAAATGCAAACTGACTTTTCTCAGATTAATGATTAATTTGCGAGGGCTACCCAAAATCATTCGAACATGGCTGGATCTGGATTGAAATCTCTACAGTATGAGAGCAAAACAACAAAAGTTATCACCATAGTTTTTTCCAGGTAGGTCCGGGACCTTTTGGTCTCGGATACATTTTGCAATGTTTTGGGCTCATGTTGCAGTGTTTCGGGCTCATTTTGCAGTGTTTCGAACCCATTTTGTAGTGTTTCGGATTGATTCATCTCGTACAGTAGTGAAGTTTCAGGCCCGAAACATCCCAAAATTATTAAATAAAGGTTATCGTGTTGGTTTTGAAGTGGCGATGCTTGTGGAAAACTAAAAGTGCCTCAAGAACCTAAATTGTGCGAAGGAACCAAACCATACCGAAACATCCCCCTTGGAATTCACCTGGGGCTGGGGCCACCCAAAAGTAATGTCCCCAGACTTTTGTCCATGAAATAGATGGGCCCAAACAAACATCTCTACAAAATGGCTGGATCTGGATTGAAAATCTTTACGAACAACATGTGAAAATAAGCTAAACAATTGCTGTCTTTCTAACTGGTGGCTCTGAATTATCCCTTTCTAGTCCTGATTCTGGATTCAGTGTGAAACGAGATGTTATGCTGACTTTCAGGGACCCCTTTTGCTGGGAACCACATGGGCATCAAGAATTCAAATAGTTTTGAACTGTCTTGAATTAAATGCTCAAAAACGTTAGGACAGAAGGAGAAAACCACAAGGCCGACCCGTCTTGTAGGTGCTTGGAAGGAAATGTGTTATTTTGTAGGGTTCTGATGGGGAAAACAAATAACAACCGCATTTATAATATACCTAATATATCATAGTGTTTCATTTCACAGTTACCTTGAGCCGTCTTGAGCTATATTATAATATGATTGAGGCATTTGAAAGAAGGGAAGCACCAAAATGCCAACCCGTCTTGTAGGCGTTTGGAAGGGGACCTGTCATTTTGTAGGGGCACGATGGAGGAAGAAAACATCACTGATCAAACCATTTATAAGCTTGAGCAGTCTTGAATTCTACCTTTGAATCCTTTCAAGAAAATGACTAAAGGGCAATGCTGACCCATCTTGTAGGCGCTTGGAAGAGGACTTGTCACGTCATTTTGCAGGGTGTGATGGGAGAAAAGAAGAAAACATAAAGACTGTCGTATTTCAGATTGTTTTGCAAGAACTTGAGCAAAGATAAGCATCAACGACAACCCAACTTCTCAGGCGCTTGAAGGGTGCCGGCCATTTTGTAGGGACATGATGGGGTACAACGAAATTATATACATCAAATCACAAATACTCTGGAAAACATATTCAAAAACAAACGCGCACAAAGACACAAAAAAACAAATCGGACAGAATTGAACTGATGTCCCAAAACCGTCCCTTCAAAAAACCAAACAATGAAAACAGCCCAGACCTCAGATTTGGTTTTGAAGAAAAACGGGTTGCTTCTCCGGGAATGCTTGTCTAACAACCGAAAACATCAAAAAAAATAAATGCTGAAACTTGTGAAAACGCTGCCTCAAACAGATGATTTCTCACATGCAGCAAACATCGCAGAATGATAGCAAAAACATGTCAGAAGATAAAGATGATAAGTGAAACCGGAGAGGTTTTGAAGATTTTTTATGCACATGAGACACTTTCGGGCAATACGAATGGGATTCGGCAATTGCTCGCACACCATATTGGGATAAAACAATGGCAAAATGGGGAAAACAAAGCTGCACACTAAGTTTTTGAGTCATACTTCCAAAGCAGGAATATTGTGGAAAGTATCTCATGAAAAGACTATTTGGCCCATTTTGGGAGACAAACAGATTATGCATAAAAGCTTCGAGAGTGAAGTGAAAAACACAAAATCTCGCAGGATGTTCCTTTCAAAACTCAGGCATAATCAAAACCCTTGAAAAACCAGGGATTTCTAGAAAATGATTAAGCAAACAATGTCAGAAGAACTTGAAAGTGATGCTGTCTCTATGTCCCGACGAAAATCTATGTTTAGGGAATGTTTGCTTTGGTGCGGAGCCTTGCAAAAGCAGAATGAGGCAAACAGAAGCAACATCTTATCCTATATATCATTATGTATGAACATATATGATATGAAATGGTGAGCATTGTGACTGACTTACAAACCGAATCCTGAAGTAAGAACCACAAGATTCACAAGATGGACAAAATAATCTAAACTTGTTTGGTCATGGCAGGATATGGGCCTTGAAGCGCGCACATCATCAAACATATTGATACTGATTACTTTTGGGAAAGCATTCTTTTCAAAGGATTGGCGGAGTTGTTTGGGCCTTAGTTGCGTGATGACGTGATGAAACTGATTTCAAAACCAACTGAAAATATCAAAGATGAGGTGCTGAAAGTGACATCGAGTAACCTAATGTGCCAAGATCCGCGCAGAAAAAAACTACAAAGTATACAAACTAATTTGTTTCCTGTTTCTGATTCTTCAGGCGTCGATGTCATGGCAAACACTGGCTCGATAAGCTTATAAATGAAGTCGTCAACAAGTTCAGCACCAAGTTCGTCAGTCAGTTCGACAATGAAGTCATTGATATTGCTCCGTTATCATATATGATATCATGTAACCATGGCAGGGTTCTAAGATTTGCCAACTTTGTCAATATCAGTCAGTTCATCAATTCGTCAATGAGTTCGTCAATTCGTCAATGAGTTCGTCCATTCGTCAATGAGTTCGTCAATTCGTCAATGAATTCGTCAATTCATCAATGAGCCCGTCAATTCGTCAATGAGTTCGTCAATTCCCCAACGAGTTCGTCAATAATTGTACGAACTTTTAAGCTAAATTGACGAACTTTGTACGAACTACCATTGACGAATTGACGAACTCATTGACGAATTGACGAGTTCATTGACGAACCGGCGAACTCATTGACGAACTGATGAAATCGTTGACGAACTGACCAACTGATTTAAAAACTAAGGATCCCATTGATGAAGTGAAAAACTCCTTGACGAAATGACGCGAACTCATTGTTCAATGGCCGAACTCGCATGACAACCTGCTAAACTTTAGCTTGGCAGCATAGAAGGACCACGAAAGGCGTGAACGCATCAGAATCAAATGAACCATAATCAAACAATTTTCAGTGCATGATTGAAGTGTTTACCCGAAATTGACGGGTTTCCTAAAAGGAGCATGACGCGTCCAAAAGCAAAGCTTAATGACAAAGAAATTAAAATAAACTAAACGTTCTTGAGCTACAAGTTTCTTTCCGAAAAAAAACATTGACTGAGAAAACAATCCACATCCGGGACTTGCCACTCATGGCAGTGATTGGCAATGTTTTCTGATTTAAATCCACTCAAACACGTGACGCTTATGTAGCACTTGTCATACTTTTCTTGTGAGCCGGCATTTTGCGCAACATCCCCACTGTCTCTAAATAAACCACAGTGCATTTCAGCGATCAAAAACGAGTTGGGGCAAAATATCAAGCGGTTTGCAAACGCCAACAGAACTACAAAAACACGCATGCTACAACTAAAACGATTTTTGGGAAAAGTCCTTCATGTCAGCCACTGTTAGTTGTCGAGAAGGACGCAAACAAACTGTGGAGATAAACCAAGGATACTTTGGGCATGTTGTTGACTTCAAGGGCGTCCAAGTTGGAACAGGTTGTTCTTGCTCCGCATCCTCAAGATAGAAACGTTTGCAGCCAGTAAACGACAATACTCATGAACATTTGAGTTTTGCAGCGGAGCAAGAACAACCTGTTCCAACTTGGGCGCCCTTGAAGTCAACAACATGCCTTTTGCAAATCGCATGATATTTTGCCCCAACTCGCTTTTGATCGCTGCAATGCACTGTGGTTAAAACTTAAATATAATATATAATTATATTAATATAATATATGCAGTATACATAATGGATATGAACAAAAAACAAGGTGTTGCAACACGTCTTTAATTTGAACTCTTTGTCAGCATGTTCCCTTGTCCAGTTCGGACCCAAGCGGATTTTCGCATGAATTGTGGTTGGTTTTGATTTGATTTGAGCAGAACAACTTGCCTGTTGTTTCAATGCCTTCAGGGACTTGCTTTTTATGCGATGCATGTGCCAAGGAATGCAAAGACTTACAAGGATGTGGCTGCTATCAGAACACTCAGAATATCACAAAATACTTGGGTATTGGTTTACCTGAAGTTAGAACGACAGGTGGCATACCCTAAACTGGCTTTCAATAATTTCGAAACGTGTCATGTGTGTTTTCTGCATCCGATTGGGGTCCCATTTAAGAAGCGAGTCCATGGGGCCTGGACTTTTCGTTCTACCAAGTTATTCTGCATCCAAGCATAGAACCACCAGAACATGGCACGTGGATTTTTGAAAAAATATGCCTCGTTAGGGAAAAAAACATTATAGTGGCCTGAAGGACAACCTCTTTTGTAGCAGCAAGTGCCAGGTAGGTACGCAGGGCACGTCTTCTAACTATCTCGAGAAACTTCCTCCTGCAAAGTGACTTTAGGACATTCGAAGACTAAAGGTTTGGACTATCAAAGCACAATCTTAAGCGACTGAAACAAACCTACAAAGTGAACCCCGGTCTTCCAGAAGATGATTCCCAACACAATGAAAACATGATTGTCACAACCCCATACTTTCATATCAAACATAAGCTCTATAGCGGACACGAGTCTATCCATCTTGAGCCTGTGGAGTACCTGATCGAAACCATTCATAACCCAACAATGCATGCTCTTTCTTTGCCGCTGGTTTGCCCTTGTAATTGAAGTTCGTCTGGTTGGAGCGTTTTTTTCTAGTCTGGTTGATATCATGCTGAAGTACCAACATGTTGTCAATACGTCTTGTAGTTGAAACAAGGAACATAGCAAAGAACTTTCGAATCGACCGCTTTATAGCATTATCTTTACCTGTGTCCTTGAGGAAATTCGACTTTATTTTCAACAACATTTCACACAGCAAGAGGTTTGGGATTGAACCATCTAAGTCCTAAAAAGTGAGAATGATGACAGGGACAAATATGGCCGATAATAATTAAATAGCTTTGAAAAAGGTGAGGTTGGCAATATTTATAAGGATGCCACGGCACAACAATGACTATCAATGACTAATAGGACCACAAAGATAATGGTTGCAGCGGTGATGGTTCATGGGCGAGCTTGTCGTTGAAGAGTGAGTATGGCCCACGATGTTCGATGATGGTTTTGATGCTATTAAGTGATAATATACTCTCGTAAAACATTATATACTGGAATCCCATAGGCCAACTCTGGGAACACTTTTGCAAGCTCTGTGGTTTCTGTACTTGTTTGTTGCTTCAGGCATTTTTGGCGCATTCGCATGTTTAACCCTTGGAAATTCCAATTCGCTGGCCAAGTGTTTTTTTTAGGTAAGCTAAGTGTTTCTTGTGTTGCTCAAGGGGAGGGCCCTCTGAGAAAATAACATAGAATCGAACTACGGGCCAACTACAGAAGCAACGATATTTGAAAAATAGTACCCAAGGAAAAACAAACAACGAGGAAAAAAATTGGCCTTGATCAAAACACACGAAAGTGCAATCAGAAATGGCATGCATGCACTGCACCACATGAAATATATTCATAAAAATCAATGTGCGGAAAAAAAATCATGAAATGCAAGAGTAATGCGGTTGCTGTGCGAAGCAACGAAATGAAACAAACCTGCAGTGGAAATAAACTTAAGTATGATGAAAAAACAACATTGGGAAACAATTTCCAAGCAAACAAAAGGTTTGCTTTGAAATTGTAATTTACTGCATTACGTAAGCATTATGTAAATTATGGCCCAATTTAAACACAAGAATTCTCCACTGCGTTCTCAAAAGTAAATCCTTGTGGTGTTTCAAACTATGTTCCAACTCGCTGACATCACGCAATATCCAAAACATTCGAAAATAGAATCCTAGGGTCGACGGATCCTCGATGCTAAAAGTTTAAAAATGTCCAAGGTGCTGGTTCACAAAAATAAACAAAATCAACATGAGAAGCTCAAACATATTTGATTTTCAGCACCCAAAGGATATACGAATAATTACGAATATACTAATAGTCATCCAACAGTTCGTATTGGGTCTGCTGTTCGGCGAAAACGCATTGAATTTCAATCCAGAACAAACTCACCAAAGAAGTACGATGCATTCGTATGTATGCTTTGTGTTTTCATTGCTGCAACCGTGGGAACTCGGTTTTTATGTTTTGCAACTTTTAATAGTGCTAATGTAAAAGTTCATGTAGTACCTTTCCGCTGACGTCTGCTGTTATGTCATTAGTTTGACAGTTGCTAAGCTAAGCCAGATTGCATTGATTTGGTTATTTTAATCGGTAGGTCACTATTGGCCGTTTTGTCGATGGCTACAAGGTCGGTGCAGAAAAAAAGAGGAAAAATCATAGAATTAATATCTGTCCAATGGTTTTATTGCAACTTGCTGTCAATGTGTGTTTATTCTTCTGAAATTATTAGTCTTCTTTTTTGCTGAAAATTGGAGGCCTGGTGAGCCGGCCCAAATAAGCGGGCCCTTATGGTTTTAGTTGATCTTCTAAAAAAAGTGGATGAACAGTGGGAACCCCCTTTTCTCAAAGAGCAAGCGCTGCATTCATTGATGCACGAGGATTTTGCAAGGATTGGGTTATATACACGCATCATTTCTTGCTTGATGCATGCTGGAGATAAACAATTAGAAAGGTCTTGATCTGAAGGGGCGAGCACCTCGTACTAGTGCCTTCTGGGTTTCAAATGGTATTTCTCATAAGATGAGTTTTGGGTGTTTACGCAAAGAACTTCGCAATTTTGATGGTTTGGGCCATACCTGACGTTGCGGTTCTCTTCAGTCTGAAAATTTACCATTGCGGGCTAGTATGCGAACAATACAGGCAGCAGCAAGGAATATAACCCAAAACGCACACATTCTTTTTTTTTGAATCATGTTCCTGGAACCGTGCTGTCCCATGCCCTCGGTTTCCCCGAAATCCCCTCGTTGGATTTAGTAGGTTTGATCATGATAAATTTATCTACTTTCCTGGTCTTTGTGTATTTTGTGTATACTAGCAAGCCAAACCAGGAATGAATATTGAATGCCCATTTGACCAGAAATACCACCATACCGCATTGTCTAGTGAGTGATAACCTACCCAGGAAAGTGAACACCATACTAAGCGACCAATAGATGGATTGAAACACAGAAAATTAGTAACAAGGGACCCAGGAAACCAAACTAAGGCCAAACATGGCTAAGCAAAGCATGACAAAGCCTTCAGTCGCCCTGGCGCCATGAATGCCAATGTCCAACATGTTTCACACATCCATTTTCTGATCCATTTCGACAATCCGATTTCCGTGGTGTAAGTATTCTGGGTCCAACTTCGGCACTGCGAAATCCACCAAGTTCCTGCTCCCAAATTATCCCCTTACACTGCCGGGTCCACAGGGATTCACAGGAACTGTGCCACTCCAGAGTAAGTCTTACTATTTTTGGTTCATCAACCAACAAAGGTCTCGCCCAGCATTGCTCGAGCAGCTTTGATACTCTCGGCCAAGAGGGATATATTGGTCTGGCTCAATGATTGCGGTAGCGAAAGCTACGGGCATGTTGTGGAAAGTAGCTTGCCTTGGCGAACGTCAGCTGAGATGCCAAGACAAACTACATAAATCAAATGTTCCATGCATTTCATATGGGTAAAGCTATGTAGTACCAAAATCTTTCTGTCTGGACCATGATAATTCACAAACTGGAAAGTTTTCCGCATTTCTGGGTGGTTCCCTTAATTAATTACCATCATTGAGGCAAATTTGTTACGAGGTACCATATGATCTCAGTTGTTTTTGTACAGTAATTAATTAACTGTTTTTACGATCCCCTCAACCAATAGGTCATAGACGTGAATGGTTCCTGATGGGTTGGCAACTGTAGGCACTTTGTCAGTCATCAGTCTCCAACTTACGCCTTCACCCTGAGGGGGTGGAGCAAAGAAACGGCAAAACCACTCCGTGCTGGCAACATAAGCCAGATCTGCTACCCAAGGCACTGAACCATGGGGATCAAACCCCATCCAGCCTGGCGCACCAGCGAAAGAAACAAAGGAGGAGAATAAACACGTTCCCCGAAGAACGAACCCCAAGGGCACCAATGGACCATATTGCATCCTAACCAACCACCAAGATTAACCCCTCACTTCCAACACCCAGTTTCGACTCACTTCCAACACCGCCTCACTTCCAACACCCAGAACTCACTCCCAACACCCAAAAGTAACTCACTTCCAGCGCACAAAGCAGGTTTCGGCGTCGGAAGCGAGACAATTTCTGAAAAACAACTCGCACTTTTGAGTCGCTAAAAGGGCTGCGGAGTTGCACAGTTAATTTGTGTGTGTGTGTCATCCTTGCTACATGCAGGGGTCATGCTACTTCTTTAAACAACTGACACCCCGCCTCAGCTGCCATTTGTAGCGCTTCGGCTCTTTGGCCAACTTCGCCTAGCTATTGCCCGGCTCTCACTGGCTCTTCTTCAGGCTGTAGTTCTTCGATCTCAGCGGCTGGTATCTCTGCTGTCGGAGAGTTTGCAGGATTGACAAGTGGTTCGTACATCAATTCATACTCTTGGATGTGCCTGTACTCATCCATCCATTGAGCTCTATCCCCATATCCTTCATCCTCGTCTCTTCCAGTCCGAATCCTGGTCACTTGGCTCTTCTGGTCCTTCTTCATCCGATTCCCCTCGGATCGAAAATTCAATTCCTCTTTCCTGAGCCTCCCGGATGATCCTTTCACGTAGTCCTGGCATGTTTTTCTGGGCTACCATCGTCGGTCCGCCAGTTTCTTGTCCGAGGTGCTGGACCATGAGCCGGGGAGTGCATGCAACTCACTCCTTACTCTCTGGGGATTTTCTTCTGCAAGTGCTGCCTGTTCCTGCAGCCTCGCATTTCCACTTTCCAGTATGTCCAATCTGGTTCAATTGTCTCATCCCATACCGCTTGGATGACTTTCTCTGCCTCCTCCAGTCTCTCTTGTGCGGCCGTCCTCCTCATCCGGCAGATTCTTTTGAAAAACAAGATTCGCAACCACTGTGATGAGTACCGGTGGTTCCGTGCCCTGTGACCCAAGCCTTTGCGCTGGGGATGCGGTACCTTCCTCCAGCAGTGATTGTACCATAAGTACTCTGAACATCTTGTACATTGCTTGGAGAGATCCATTTCAAAGCCTTACGTTCCAGGCTCGTCCTCAAGTCTTTCCGCTTCACCCACTGGAGCGTAGCCGTTGTGGGTGTCAACAAATCCCATAAGGTTCAGTAGAAAACGGATTCTCCTTTTGGATTGGATCTTGGTACTTAGATCCGCGGTGTTTCGCCATGTACTCACCTGCTTGACTTCCAAGTCTCCTTGCTGCACCAGATCTTGCAGCCATAGCAGTCTGCAGGATATATGGCGTACTCTGCCCACTCCCTGTCTGTGGCAGAATGCTCGCGCACTGCTCCAATCACACCTCAACACGATTTGACAGCGCTTTACTGTGAGGAATCCTAAACAATTCTTCAGGAACGTACTCGGCTTCACAGGAAGATAGTGCGACCGCCTTTTGGATCAACGTACCATTCCAGTAGAAGTGTGCCACCGAAACACTTTTGCGTGTCGTTTTGTTTCCACCCCAATCGGAGTCTGTGAAGATCTCTAGCATATGTTCCTCTGACTGCTGATCTTCTTCCAAACTGGGTTTCAGCACACTTCGTCCAAGTGCGGTCTTCGGAAGCCTAACAGCGTATCCGGCTGTTCTCTTCAGGTAGCACGCAAGGTGCTCCAGCTGCCTGTATTGGCTTTCTGTTGGTCTGACCAGATGACTCGCCAGTTCACGGATGCAGTGTTGTGTGTATGTGGCCGGTCCGGGCTGATGTACAGAAGGGTGCCAACTGCAGTTGCATAGTAGTTGCTTCTTCGAGCTCCATCAAGCTCTTTGGTACTACCATTGCGACAACCAGTTCCGGCGTCGCTCTGGCCTTCTTGTCCTGCAGGCCCAGGAGCTGCATGTACCAGCTTCTCGATGTACTTTGCTCCCATCTTGACTGCGAAACCGTTTTCATCATGCTCATATTTTCTCTTCAAGAAGTGCGCTGACTCCTCCGTTCCACCAGGTCTGCAAGGTCCTTGGTTGTCAGTGAAACCTTGCTTCCAGTCTAGCCTTGAGCCTCTGACCTTCTGTTGGCGTAGCAGCCAATTGGATGTCGTCCACGTGTACCAAAATGGCTCCTTCGACATCTCCCTTCACGCTCTTCTTCACATAGAGGTTTGGACTCAGTTGGAAAGTCTCGTATCCTTCCCTTTCAACAACTTCCTTCAGGAACAAACTCCATTCTTTGGTTCCTGCACGCTGTCCTGGGAGTAATCTCTCCAGGACCCAGACTTTGCCACGATCCACCTCGATGCCTCCAATCTTGAACTGCAGTAGCGGATAACTCGGTGAAGTCACCTGTAAGATCCTCTCTCTTGGCTTTCCTTAGGACCTTCATGTCTTGAAGTCTTCTCACTTCCTGCTGGAATGCAGTTTCATCCAGTTCTGTCAACCGATCGTGGCTGACCACTGGGGCATTCTCAACGACAGCATCATCCCAGAACTGACTGATCAACTGATCCTTGTCTTCTCCATAGTTCCTAGAATACTCTTCTTCTTCTTCGTCAGCTCCAAACAGGAATTGATCTCCTGATTCCTGACCTGTAGCAACCATCAGTTCAGGCTCCCAAAGTTCCACTCGGGATACATTTCCTGCCAAGCTCAGTGGGCAGAGCTTTTGTTGAGCCGATAGGCTTCCATCTGGTTCCATGCGAGCTCGACTTGGACCTGTTTCTCCCTCGGCCACTGGTCCTGCTTCTGGAGCTCGTTTGCGATGCTCATGTGTTTCAGTGTTCATACCGGACCCCGCCTGGCTCGGTGGTTCGGTTTCTGCCTGCCGCTTGACACCCTTCAACCTCCATGAGACGTTTCGTCCCTTTCGTCTCAACCGTTGGTGCTCTGAGTTGCACCTCAGGACTCCTCGGCCGGTGTAGACGGATTATGCACGGAGTCTTTGGAACCTGTTCAGGCGGTTGATTCTCGAGTAGCTTCAGCAAAGCTTCATCCGGTTCTTCTTCACTGCTGCTCTCGTGTTCCAGAGCTGCTTTCTTTACTGCTTCTGCCTCTTCGTCCACGAAGGGCACATTGCCCATCGCCGGCATTGGCTTTCTGTACTTCAACTTGACGCCCAATGCCTCTTGGCTGAAGTTCCAAGGCACGCCTTTGACTTGTAACAGGCATTCCGCCTGGTAGGGTGTGATGCTTCGGCGGATTGTCCTAGCCACCTTCGTACCTGAGATGGTTCCCACAAGGTTGGAATCGCTCTTGCCCAAAAAGATTGATTTCTGAAACTGGGCAACACCTTTCGGACAACCCGGTATAGGTTCTGGCAAAGATTGTTGACCCAAATGGAACCAACTTCCCGGCGCGCCGTTCGAAGGGAATCTCGTACGGTGTCTGGCCTCCTTGGCCACTGGCTGGTTGGAACCTGTTGAGTAGCCAGCCTGAGTGACGAATGGCCCATGTGCTCAGCACAGATCCTGGAGTGATAGTACTCCTGTTTTGGCTTCCAGCTCATGTAGCAGACAAAGTCTCTGCCGCCGAACCGTTTGGATGCATCTCTCCACCAACAGGCCTTGGTGCTGGCCAACTGCCACCAATTGAATCTCACTTCGCAGCTTCAACGCTGCCCTTGATGATTGCTATTTTCTGGCAATTTGCTTGAGCACTGGTTCTTGATCGGTCCTGATCAACAGCCTCACATCACCCATTCCAGCTGTACTGTAGCGCTCACCAGCTACTGGACAACATACTTCAGTCCAAATCTGTCCTTGCTTGGTACAGGGATAGCTGTGAGCAATTTGGTCAACCGGTCCACGGCACACAAGAAAGCTGCACTTGGCGCCTTCTCACCAGGCTTTGCTTCGCCTGTCAATGATGGTGCGAAAGTCGTCACCTTTGTTCACCAATGACTTGTTGGCATCCTCTCGACTCTTGGTCGCAGTGCGTGATTCACACCAATCTACCTTCGGAAGATGGGTCAGCTGGTGTCTCTCCATCTCTTCTGCGCTGACCTCTTTTGGCATTGTGGTTGGAGAGCACGACTCCAGATATGGACTGTATGTCATCCAATCATCCAACTCATCGTCCTTGCCCATGTGGTGGACTTCGAATTTCACGGATTTTCACGGCACAGGCACTTCTATCATTGAATGCAGTGTCCTGCACCTCCTTGTCTTCCTCGTCCGCAAGATCGTAGATCAAACAGCAGTTCGCTGGGTCGATTAGGTCGATCCTCCTGATCTGTGATGCGGAAGGTCCAGCTGTAGTTGAGCTAACCGTGCTGCCAGCTGCAGACAGTTGTGTACCACTGCCTGGCTGGTCCACTTGCCTGACTCCCTTTCCTTCATCTTCTTGCCTTTTCCAACAGTCAGTCTGTCGATGTCCAGGCTTTCCCGGTAGAAACAGGTTTCGTTTCCCTGCTTTCCTTTTCCTTTTGATTTTCTTTGTAGTCAGGGCTGTTCTTGCCCTTTCCTTTGCTCTTTCCTTTTCCTTTGGGCTTGTCGTACCACAAGCTTGACTGGCTGTTCCAGCCTTTTCCTTTTGCTTTGGCGTCCTTGCCTTTTCCGTTACCCTTTTTGCCTTTTCCTTTCGATTTTCCACATTTCTCCACGTGGTCCACTTCCATAGGTACCGCTTCCGATGACGTCCCGTCATGATGTCTTCGGTAGTAGTCTTAATGCTTTCAAACCACTTGTATGTCTGAACATCCCAGTTCTTGACTGCTTCACGCACCTGATGGTATGGAGTGTCCTCCTTCAGGTGTACCAGCAACCAGTTTCTGATCTGGGCTGGTGCATGTTTGAGCAGTACTCCAACCAACACATCGTCATGGATTTGCTTTCCACTGCTTGCTCTTTCGTATTCCTTGACTAGATCGTCCAATCGCTGTAGGTTCTCTGTCAGCGTTGCCGTCTTTGCAAAGGAATTGCAAGATGCTTTGGAGTGGTGCCAAGGCCCTAACTCTCAGCTGAGGAGTGGCTTGTTCTGCCAACTGCCTGTAGCACTCAATCCATTCCCTGGCTGAACTGCCTTCAAGAGCTTCGGCGGTCTGCCTTGCACCAGGCTTGTCAAAACCGCATAAAGGATTGTACCCCGTTTCCGGACTCCATCCTCCATATCTTCCGTTTTGATTTTTGTTTTGGAATTCTTTTCCAGATCTTTGAAGTCATCATAACTTCTCATCCAATGCCACCAGAAATGCTCTGAGGGCAAAATCAAATTCCATCTGCGTCGCATGCTCCTGCTCGCGACTCTCTGGTTTCCCTGGTGGTTTCAGTACCTTGTACAAGGCGCCAGCGATGCCTTTTCCTTCCTCCCTGGCAGCTGGTTGTCTTTCCTGTGCTGCCTCCAGCCTATCCAAGGCTTCAGCTGTCCTCGCTGCTGTCGCCATGTGCGCCTGCACGATGGCTGCTGGGTCTGGGGCTGCTTCCTGCGCCGCCATTGCTTCTTTCGCTGGGCGATGAACCTCGCTCCTCACTCGGCGACCTGTCTGGTTCGCGTTTGCTGTTCCTTGCTTTCAGCACCGGCCTCACTTGGCTGGTGGCTTTCGGAGCGCTGCTGGCTTCTTTTTCTTCCTGGTACTTGGCGTACTCCTTCATCTAAGGTGCCACTCTGGTAGATTTGCTAGAAGATCTACTCTTGCCCTTCTTGTCCTTACTCTTTGTCTTGTACTTTCCTTTGCTCTTTCATTTGTACTTTCCTTTCCCTTTTCCTTTATTCCGCGAAGAGCTATACGGCTCCTCACAGTAGCTTCTGCCACTTGACCAGCTCCAATCCTGCCAGTCCATATTCCAATCGGTGTCCCAATTCGAACCGGTCCAGTCTTCCCAGTCTTCTGAAGCTGGGTAGTCCTCGTAGTTTGTCCAGTGCTCTGGCTCTTCGTCTGCCGGCACTTCCTCGTACTCCGGGGACTTCCGTTCTTCCTCTGACTTTGTCCTTTTCGGACTTTCTTTTTCCTCTTTCTTTACTTCTAATGGGCCAGTTGCCCTTGCACGAGTCCCGTCCCGGGCTCGGCTCTCAGCGCGGTCTCCTGCCTGCACTTCTGGCCCTCTCTCCTTTGGGCTCTACCTCTTCTCTGGTTCCTCCCCGGAACCTCCTTTCTTCTCTCTCCTTTGAGAGTACCCAGCCCTGTCCCGGCTTGTTCCTTTTGCACGCCTCTCCCTTCCACGTGACCTGGCCTCTCTTCTCTCGAGAGCCTACTTTTTTATCCAGGACCTGGATCCTCTTTTCCTGAGCCTTTACCTGGCTTTCCAACAGGTCCACTTGCTTCCTCTCTCCGGGAAGCTTCTTCCTCAGCCGCCTTCCTGGCCGGTGCGAGCTCGGTAGAGCTCCAGTCCCTGGCCTGTTCACCCTAGCGCCAGCTCTTGAGAAAACAGCTGACAGCTAAGGTAACAAGCTCACGCTACCATGAAAAGCAACGCGCACTTTTGAGTCGCTAAAAGGGCTATGGAGTTGCACAGTGATTTGTGTGTGTGTGTGTCATCCTTGCTACATGCAGGGGTCATGCTACTTCTCTAAACAACTGACAGTTTCAATGCTTACCATAGGAACTCAGGCGTGACCATACATAACAATGCCTTGGAGTTTGTTTGGGAGTGGGGAGGAATCCTTCTACTTACATAATTACTGGCATCAGCCATTTAGGGTGGTAAACGACTCAGCCACGCACACAGATGTTTAGGGTTTATATGTTGTTGCACGTACCTTTAGGGTTTATATGTTGTTACACTTAATGCACGAAGAACCACGACACCTTTAGGGTTTGCATATCGTTGCAAGTAATGTAACAAAGGACATGACACCTTTAGGGTTTATATGCTGTTACACTTAATGTAACAAGAAGCACGACACCTTTGGGGTTTACATATTGTTGCAAGTAATGTAATCCAGGACATGACACCTTTAGGGTTTGTATGTTGTTGCAATTGATGTATATAAGAAGAGCCACGACATCTTTATGGTTTACATGTTGTTGCACTTAATGTAAGAAGAGTCACGACACCTTTAGGGTTTATATCTTGTTACGCTTAATGTAAGAAGAGCTACGGCACCTTTCGGGTTTAGATGTTGCTGCACTGAATGTAAGAAGAGCCACGGCACCTTTAGGGTTTTTTGTTGTAATTCATCGAAGAAGTGTCACGACACCTTTATGGTCAATCGGTTTTTACACTCAATGTATCAAGGGCCACGACACCTTTAGGATTTAAAAGTGTTTATGCTGCTGCACTTAATGCAAGACGAGCCACCACACCTGTAGGGTTTATATGTTGTTGCATTTACTGTGAGAAAAGACACGACACCTTTAGGGTTTACATTTTGCTGCACGCAATGTAAGATATGTAAGAAGAGCCACGACGCCTTTAGTGATGATGATGATGATGATGATGATGATGATGATGATGATGATGATGATGCAGCACGCGGCGTCGGGAGCGAAACCGTTTCCGGCGTTGCAAGCGAGTCAAAACGCGGCGTCGGAAGCGAGGTGCGGACTTTTTCCGAAACTGAGCCATTCCAAAATGGAAGTTACCGATTTTGAGACATGGGCAGATCCAATGATCAAATAGTTTTCGGCAGGTTCTCAACTCTTGGATGCATCATCTCCAACAACCATGTCGCCTGTGCTGTGGTGCACGGGGTGCAGGATCCCGGAGTGCTGCGGCAGGCTGGAGCCACCCACCACTTGTCCTAGCGCAAGCGCCATGGCTGAAGATCATAAAGACCATTTTAATCCATTTTAATACGGAGATTATCTGGAAATTATCTGGGACAATTTTCAATAATTATGATGGGGATTTACCAACACGATGCGACCAGAAATATGATATAATTGGGGGATTATCTGGGAACTGGGAACTCCCGTCGATTTTGGATTGTGATAATCCCCAGGAATTGTACTGGACAGACTTGGATAGTATCACTTAGTAGAACCCACAATCTTTTTGAATATGCATTATCAATGAACACCGGGTTTGATTATCCGTATAGGTTTCACCCACAGCATCCTACAGCTACCAGTATGTTTGATCCTTCGACAAGGTTTGGAAGATTCACCCGGACCTCTTTGCCGCGGTAATTTCACGTAGCATTCGTTTTCCTCAAAAGGCCGAAGCCCTAAGTGCTAGCCTAAACCTGAGGAAGGTGTAGAGCCACCTCAACTGCAAACAAGGAGCTTCTCAGGTTTCAGGCCAGAAAAACAAAACAACATAAAACAACGCTCAAGCGTTATCAAGCGCTCATCAGTCTTGAAACGCCTTCATGGCCTTCATGACCTTGAAACAACAATGGCCGTCATTCGCTGAGATTCTCTCATTGACTACGACTATATCAAACTCCGCGAAGAAATCGTATAGAGCTTCGAAGGGCTCCCTGGGTAATGAATGGGATTCCAGCAGATTCTCCCGATAAGTGGCCAAATCTGAAGGGCTAAAATCAATATTCCACCATGCTTAAAGGGAGTTGTTTCCAAACCAGATTCCAATCATGGTCGATAACAATCCCTCCAAATACTAAATGATCAGGGGGTTTAACATTGTACAACCCACGTCAAATGGTTGTCACTACTTTCATGCATTTTCCAAAAGTAAGTCACTCTGCGGCACATCCTCCGATCCCTCTGGCTAATTCGACTATCTAGGCCTCTTTTGGATTCTTTTGGGACATAACAATGCATTTCCCCGGGGCCAACCGCGTCCAAGCGCCCTTTGTGGTGTCGCTTGCCGGCCCTCGGGTCCTGCCAGCAGTCCAGCACCACTTTGCCATTCACTGTCTTGACACCTCCACTATCGCCAGTGGCTGCCAGGTACGTTTCTGCAATCTCAGGGTAGGTTTTCATCACGGAATCAGCCTGGGGCTAGGGGAAAGATGACCCAATTGGGAAGTAGCGCGCTACAAACTATGACGGGCCTCCATGTATATAATGTACATGTTATAATATATATATGTATATATATATATTGGTATTGGGTATTTGGGGTTAGGAGTAGGGTATATATCAATCAACTCTGCGTTAACACCCAGTTTGGACGAACAGATCTGGGATACCTGTAATCTAAGGAGATCCCACAATTCAAACTACCAGGGGCCGAAACCGCCAATGAATCATACCAGTGGAACACAGGAAAAGGTTATTTTTTAGACTTACCGTAGTCTGTTTCTATCCATGTTGCCTTCTGGATTCCAAGTTCAGCAGGAAATCTGTTGGTTTTGACCTTTCATTCAAACGGACAAAAAGAAATTGTCGTCACCTGCGAGAAGAGAACCACATACATTGGCCAAAGTTGTGCGCCGCCACCCCCCCGCTGCGCACGGTGGCACACCCCATGAGGCCAAATGGATCCGAGCACTTCCCACGCCTTCCTAAGAACTTGTTTTCATGCTACATTCAAGACATATTCTCCTTCAAAGTCAAAACCTATGAAGTACCATGTTTATATATCATTCTCGAACTACTAAGACGACGACTACTACTACTGCTACTTTAATTACTTCTAGGGCGATTACCACTACCACTACCGCTACCGCTACCGCTACCCCGACCACGACCACGACCACGACCACTATCACTACCACTACCACTACCACTGCCACTACTACTACTACTGCTACTACTTCTACTACTGCTACTGCTACTGCTACTGCTACTCCTACTACTACTACTACTACTGCTACTGCTCCTTCTACTTCTACTTCTACTTCTACTTCTACTTCTACTTCTACTTCTACTTCTACTACTTCTACTTCTACTTCTACTTCTACTTCTACTTCTACTACTACTACTACTACTACTACTACTACTACTACTACTACTACTACTACTACTACTACTACTACTATTACCACCACTACCACCACTACCACCACTACCACCACTACCACCACTACCACCACTACCACCACCACTACTACTACTACTACCACCACGACTACTACTACTACTACTACTACTAGTACTAGTACTAGTACTAGTACTTTTACTACTACTACTACTGCTACTACTGCTACTACTGCTACTACTACTACTGCTGCTGCTGCTGCTGCATTACACTACACTGCACTACACTACTTTACAACTAAAACTACAACTACAACTATAACACAACTGCCTCACACACACACTACACTAGACTACGCTACACTAGGCTACACTAGAGTACACGACACGACAGTACACTACACTACACTACACTACAGTACAACACACTACACTACATTACACTACACTACTTTACAACTACAACTACACCCACAAATACAACCACAACTACAACTAACTACACCTACACTACACTAATCACACTACACTACAACTACAACTCCACTGCACTACAACTACAACTACAACTGCACTACAACACACTACATCCAGCAGTTGTGGGTGAGCAACCATTGCAACCACTCCAAAAAACACAACTCCAACCACCTTTCGGTCCATCAGTGGATTTGCTCTCCCATTCTGGATTCACAACAACCAACCTCTCCTATAGGTTTTCTATTTTTGAAACTTCCGCCACCGCCTTGTGCGGTGCTACTGGTATATACATATCGGGTGAATGAACAGAACATCAATAAATCATAATAAATCCTAGCTATTTGGGGGTTGGCCAGGGGATTTCATGGGCTTTGACTCATGTCTCTCAACCAAGGAACACAAGTTTGGAGCCGGCTCAGGTCGATGTCAGTTATCTTCGCTGTGTAAGTCCTTACCGTGACGATGCTGCAAGGCGTGACCATTCAAGTCAATATGGCAAAATAATGTCTCTCTTATGTGCAGTAAGTCTTGATCATCCAGGATCATCTACCCCGAACTTCAGTGAAAATCCCATCGCCTCAAGCCACCATCTTTGCGTCAAATATATGCTCCCACCATCAAACAAACGAACGGCTTAAGATTAAATATCAAAAATGTATACATTGCATTGATGTATTGATGCATTGATGTATTGATGTATTGATGTATTGTAATGAAATGTAATGTAATGTAATGTATGTAATGTATGTAATGTAATGTAATGTAATTTAATGTAATGTAATGTAAGCATGTATGTATGTATGTACGCATGTATGCATGTATGCAGGTATGCATGTTTGCATGTATGCATGTATGCATGTATGCATGTATGCATGTATGAAAGCATGCATGCATGCATGGATGTATGGATGGATGGATGGATGGATGTATTGATGTATGTATGTATGTATGTATGTACGTACGTATGTATGTATGGATGCATGGATGGATGGATGGATGGATGGATTCATGGGTGGATGGATGGATGTATGTATGTATAGATAGATGGAAGGATGGATGCATTGATGTATGTATGTATGTATGCATGCATGTATGCATGTATGGATGGATGGAAGGAATCATGGATGGATGGATGTATTGATGTATGTATGTATGGATGGATGGATGGACGGACGGACGGATGGATGGATGCATTGATGTATGTATGTAATGTAATGTAATGTAACGTAATGTAACGTAATGTAATGTAATTATGCATGTATGTAATGTAATGTAATGTAATCTAATCTAATCTAATCTAATGTAATGTAATGCAATGTATGTAATGTAATCTATGTAATGTAATGTAATGTAATGCAAAGTAATGTAATGCAAAGTAATGTAATGTAAAGTAATGTAATGTAATGTATGTAATGTAATGTAATGTAATGCAATGTAATGTTATGTATGTAATGCAATGTAATGTAGTGAATTTAATGTAATGTATTGTACCGTAATGTATGTATGTATGTATGTATGTCATGTCATGTCATGTCATGTAATGTGATGTGATGTGATGTAATGTAATGTAATGTAATGTAATAATGTATGTATGTATGTATGAATGTATGGATGGATGGATGGATGGATGGACGGATGGATGGATGGATGGATGGATGCATTTATGTATGTATGTATGTAATGTAATGTAATGTAACGTAACGTAATGTAATGTAATGTAATGTAACGTAATGCAATGTGATTATGTATGTATGTATGTATGTATCTATCTATCTATCTATGTATGTATGCACGTATGTATTTTTTTGATGCATTGATGTATTGATGTATGGAATTGATTTATATATTGCAATGTAATGTAGTGTATTGTAATGTAAGGTAAGGTAGTGTAAGGTAATGAAATGTAATGTAACCGAATGTAACGTAACGCAATGTAATGTGTTGTAATGTAATGTAATATAACATAATGTAATGTCATGTAATGTAATGCAACGTTATGTATGCATATATGAATATATACTGTATACATATATCAGCCTTTTGCGAGCCCACACCCTATCCTTTGAGGTTTGCGCCAAGACACGAGGGGCTGAACCAATCTGCATTCCAATTGCGGTAGAAATCCAAGCCGAGGCCGCTCATGTTCAGTGCTCTCTGGGCAACGGAGCAACGATGCTGGTGGGTACCCATTTTCAGCCAAACGTGATAGAAATATATGTGTTATACATTTATAGAGATATGGGATATGGAATATGTAATATTATATATATAATATATAGTTAAATAATGTTATATAATACATATACACCAGTACTTCACAGTTGCACAGAATGATTTTTGCCTTCAAACACTTGTGAACCACTGTTGCTAAAGATGCTAAGATTGCATGGAGAGTTGCCAACTCGGTGAACAATCAAGGCAAGTTTGTAACCGCCCAACGAGTTTGCAAATTCTCTGCTATTGATATTGGAGGTACAAAGGGTGATCGGGTTCGGTGGTAAGTGGGGCCAGTGGGTACCATTATGTAACATCTCCAGTCTCATCACACAAAGACTGTTGTGTTGTCTTCAACAACCGCAGGGAACAGAACGAACCAGACTTCGGGACATCAGCCATCTGCCTGCTACAAATGATCCATGTGTGGTTTATTGACCCCAGTACTTGCTATTAATCCGAATCACCACCATAATGGACCATAAACGTGAGTAAAGATACGAGAACATGCGATAGGATACCATACTTAGATGGTATGGACCTTTGCGAACTGCTGAATCTTCAGGCCACTCCTCGGAGTCTATAGTGAGACCCGTCCTGCCTGAAGGGAACCTTCCAAGATGAACATACCTTCAGAGCCTTTGTAACCTCATGGGATCTCATGGGGCTGAGAAATTCTTGAGATCAAGGTCTTCTCCATCCCCATGGCCCCAGGTAATATAGCATCAGATTCAACATCCACCGACAGGTGTCAACCTACCATGTCTCACATTGCCCATCCGTGAAAATTGCATCCATCCAAACTGGGTGGTTTAGTGAATCAAAAAAGCTGAGCGTTACAGTAACGCAAACGGTCCTATGTTGCAACATTTCAGTGCTCTTCACCAAAACATGACATTTACATACATGTACTCCTAAAAGGGACACCACCAAAGTTTAATGTCACTACCGTCATGATTTGTGCTATTTCTGCGTGGTCTCCTGACCACATATTGAGCATTCAGCCGTGGTCATGCCATGGAGCCCAGATCGCCCAACAATCTCGGTGCTTTGTTGCCAAAGATTTTGAAAGCGTCCTCAACGGCATGGGATCCATCTGAGTTGAGCAACGCAGCAACACTCCATTTGGGACATTTTGGGACATTTGGGTATCCAACAACACCTGGTTCAAACATGTTCAAACAGCATGAAAATCATGAATCTCTTCATCCAGTGTGGTAGTCAACCCAGATTATCCATGAGGGGAAATCAATTCCACAAATGAGTCCAGTCCCAAGCAGTGCTGTTGGCGTTTGTGGCAGATAACCAATCGACATCAATCGACGTTGGTATGTACAGTAAGCTCAAAAAAAATGCGGCTGTTTCCAATTGGTGCTGGGGATTCTGATACACAAACAGAGCCATAGAATTCGACAAAGGGCCAGCGAATAAGTACAGACAGTATTTTGGTCAAACCAACAAATGAGGGGGAAGCAACCAGTAATGATCGCACTGATGGATGTATCTCCGTCATCTATGATGATTCAATTGCTGGCCCACAACTCGATAAATATTCCATAGATGTGACGAACATGGAAGAACAAATGTGAGGCTCACATAAATAGAAGTCACATACTTTCCGGGCTTCATTTTTACGATGTTCTACTCGCATTTATCCCCGGAAGTATCTCAATACCACACTGTTGCAGTCCACAAGGTAGGATTCGTAGCCCTGCCAGCTTTCAAAGCCTCACCCAGATTGGGAAATGGGGAATTGTAATGATGGATGGACCGGGTAGATAGACTTGAGCACCTGCAAAATGGGTTGCTTTCCTTCTACTGACGTTCCAAGAATAAGACATTATCAACATTAATCAACATCGGTGACTTTTCTGGGTCTAAGATGAAACTCCGTACCATTCCATACCCGCATTCTGCGAAGTGATGTTTAGTGACCTTGACTCGGCGCAAGACAATTGGAAATAAATTGGGAGATGAAATGGTATGAAGGTCAATCAAATGCGGCCTGAAGGATTGTGCTCGGAACTCATGGGAGTCCAACAAACATCAAAATCATCCAAGAACGACCACAAACAGAACAGAACAACCTATTATACCCGATTTGGATTCGTTGTGGCAATCGAGGTGTTTGCTTATAAAGCCACATCACTGGCACTATGACACTTGGACAGAGATCCGTGTTTGAGCCGCAGCAACTGGGAAGTTCTTCACAGGTCAACCTGGATACATCTGTGCCTCTGTGTTAGAAAGACGTTCTTTGCAATTTCGCCAGAAAAATGAGGACCCTTTCCATCCATTCACTCATCCATTGTGGTTTGAGGGATGTTCAAGACATTTTGGCGCATCATGAATGGTAAAATCTGAGCCGGGAGGTGTTTACATACCGCAAACATAGCAGGAAGAGGTCAAGCATGCTCTGGTTTTACTTCAGACTTTTTGCAAGATACATTTCTTCACAGACACCTTGCGATGACACAAAACTCTCGCTTAGGACAAGCTCATTTGAAACATTATTCATATCCGGTTGGCGGGTTGAACATACTTCAACCATTTTCAACCCCAGCGGATGGAACACTTATGAAAAAGATCCTCTGAAAAAAATGCCCAAGCATTATCTTCAAAATGAGAAAATATGTGCTAAACAAATGCTTACAACGTGCTAAGAAATGAACCAAAACCAAATCTCCGCCCGATTGATTCCGCCATGCGGCTGAAGTGATTGAATCGCGTTCCTCCGCAGCTGCCTGGACCCAGGTGCTTGGTAGGTGACGATTGTATTATGACCTCATACATACATACATACATACATACATACATACATACATACATACATACATACATACATACATACATTACTTAAACTACATTACATTACATTACATTACATTACATTACATTACATTACATACCATACATACATACATACATACATACATACATACATACATTACTTAAATTACATTACATTACATTACATTACATACCATACATACATACATACATACATTTCAATATATACATACATACATACATACATACATTCATACATTCATACATACATTACCTTACATTACATTACATTACATTACATTGCATTAATTACGTTACATTACATTACATTGCATTGCATTGCATTGCATTGCATTGCATTACATTGCATTGCATTGCATTACATTACATTACATTACATACATACCATACATACCATACATACATTACATACATACATACCATACATACCATACATACATTACATACATTACATACATTACATACATTACATACATTACATACATACATTACATACATTACATACATACTTACTTACATACATACATACATTGCATTTCATTACATTACATTACATTGCATTACATAACTTACATACATATATATAATTTTGGTTCAGGCAGTAATTATAGCCCAAAAGAATTCCTAAGTATATATAATATATAACGTATTGTATTGCATTATATTGTAAAATATTGTATTCAAATATATTATGTTAAATTAAAATTATAGTACTGTATTATACAAATGCATATTATATTATAATATGTTATACTATGTTAAATTAAAGCTAGAATACTGTATTATATCAAAACAGATTATATTGTATGATATGGTATTGTATTAGATTATATTGTGTTATATTGTATTATCTTATATTAGATTAGATTATATTGTTTTATATTGTATTATATTGTATTATGTTGTATCATATTATGTTGAATTTTGTATTTAATGTATATATGTATATATATTTCTTTAAATGTATATGGTTGTGGATCAAAATTCCTTTATCCCGGAACGGCCATTCTTCGCGAATAAAAAAATTACTTTGGCGAAACTTTCGCGAACTCCATGTTTATCTTTCGCGGGGCCCATGTTGGCCAACAACACCTCTTATGAAGATTCGTTCACCACCTGCCAAATTACGCCAGAGAATCACGGATCACTTCTTGGTAGCCTTTTAAACATGCAGCTAGCATCACGGAATCCCTCCTCAGGACAGATTCTTTTTCGCAAAGTTTACTGGCCCACCCCCTTCAACATGCACTTTGACTTTCGCCCGCTCTTTCGCATAACTTTCGGGGAACTTTCGCGAAAATATCCCTATTCACAGACCCCGGCCATCAGCAGGGGGTGCACTGAAGGAAAAGCGAAGACCAGGGGCCTTGGTGTTTGGCTCTCGCAAAGCCTCACTTTTGGAAACTTAGCTACTGCTACTCGCATTCTCTGGTGCCCTTCTCCTGCCAGACCCCGGGCGGCAGTGAGTGGCAGCCCTTTACATATAATGATTATAATACCCAACTTTCGCGAAACTTTCGCGAAATAAAATTTTACCTTCGCGAACTCGAAAAAAACTTTCGCGAGGGTTTCCAACATAACATGCACGGCTTTCGCAATTAAAACTCCTTACAAGGACCTTTAGATCGATCACCATATGTGTTAATATACTTTTAATATATGTTAATATATATATATATATGTCGAAATAAATTAATACATATCATATATTAATATTATTATTACTTATTATATATATATATACTACAGTTGAAATCAACCAATTATGCAAATAATAATAATAATAGTATACATAAAATTTCATACAATGGTTCATGGCCGTGATGGAGAACGTATCCATCAGTAATTGTATCATGGATTTAAAGGCACATTTCGCAAATCAGGCATCATGTGAGACTGGTGTATCACCTAGTTTTGTGCTGCATATTCGATGCTGGGCAACTAAAGCTCACTTGTATCACACCAGCATTTTGGGTATGCCTCAAAACCACGTGGAGAGCATAGATTTGCACATTGACTTAGGGATCCATGATGGCCCTTATTCATTTGTGAAGAGGCCAAATTCTGATCCTTTTGTACAGTATCGAGATTACCATCTGTAATTCGAAACCATCATTCCGGTCATTTTCGGATTACGCCTTGTAGTCGACTTGTCGTACCCTAAAGCAATCTAAAACAAACGTGGTAGCCATATAAAAATGCGGGGGAAGTGGTTTTCCTATTGGATTTATCAGCTTCCAGATCGGATTTCTCCTTTGGATTTGTTGGCTTCCACGTTAAATTTCAAGGGGAAAAAAACTACCCATCAACCAACCGCAGTTGCAACACACGCTGAGAGATTGGTTTTCCATCAAGGTTTTCCTCAGGTTTCCTCACCCTTCAGAGACCTAGATTTTGAACCATGACATCAGTTTCAAGCTTTTGTGATCTTTTGTGACATGGCTATGCCTCACAAATAGGGCAGTCATCGATCCACAAAAATCTGGTCATGTAACTGCTTGTAATTGACCATCCATTAACCATCCATTCCATTAACATCCATTAACCATCATTAACCTTCCATTTTTTGCGGGGGTTGATTAACATATCTTTGATTCACCATCCATTTTTGGAAAAAAACCTTCCCAGGTCCATGGTCATGGAACCACCGCACCTGCGACGATCGCGGCGGAGCCGGGTCCTTCATTCTGGCATCCCGCGAGCATGTAAACGATGGGACGGGAGGTCGCGGCACCGTCCTTGGTGAGGTTGTAGCCCAGCTTCTCCTGCCAACGGGGACCTGGAGAAAGATTCAAAAAAAGGGGTGTCTCAAAAGTGAGGGAACTGTGAAATATTATATTGAACAAATCTCTGGAGTATCGTGGTTAAATAGCGAATAGCTCTTCATACATGCAAATGGAGGATTAACGTGAAATCTGGCGGATGTATTCCAGTCAAGAAAAAATAAAAAAGTAGTTGGTACCTACGCTGATGTAAGTAACGGCAGACATCCCAGTAATGCAGGGATGATCTGGGCCATCCACCTGCAGGTGGATTCAAAGAGAGAGGGAAAAGAATCAGACGATCCCACAAAGGAAAGCTGTGATACGCAGCGCGTCCAGGCACGGAGAAAAGAACCAACTTGCATTTGTCCAAACGTCGGGTACCCAAGAATCAGGTTTTCAGATGTTTTCAAGTTTTTAGTCATCATTCTCCTCCCTCAAACGAATTGTGGGGCATTTTCCATTCTTGAATAAACAAATGATCCTTGCCAACGCACAGATATGTCAATGTGTGTTCCCTGATGCTGCACCCGTGCGGCCTGTTCCTCCAAAGGGTCCGATGTGCACATGGCTGTCCAAAGAAAGTATGATTTTAAAAATGGAGCACCCCAAAGATGGAATGGTTTAAAACATACTGTGCTATAGTCTATGTCTACAGTCAGTACATAGTACATTAAGGGCCGTGTCCAAAAGGTACGCAATGGACGCGGCCTTTCATTCAAGGGACGGAGTTAAAATGTTTATAGTCGTGTGCCAAGATGAAGGGGTGCAAATTCAAGGCGGGTCAAAGCAAAGAATTCACCAAGAAAATAAAAGGACCGGATAACCCCACATGCCAACTTCTTCCAATAAGTAGCCAAAGAAAGGTGAAGATGGGATGGGAAAGGTAGGAAGGGGAAAAAAAAAATGGTGGAGGATCGGTGCGTGTAAGAAATGCATGTCAAAGTGAGGTGTGTGAAAGAGTTCCGTGTGAAAGTGTGTTGGTGAAAGAAGTGTGTGTAAAGGTGTGGTGTGCAAAAGTGGTGTGCGTGTGTGTGTGTGTGAAAAAGTCGTGTGTGAAAGTGCTGTGGGTGGAGAATGTTATGTAGCCATGACCGAGGTGCCATCACCAAGCGCCACGCCTGCCACGCAAAGTGCCGCGGCACCCACCAGGCCACCACAGCCAGCCCAGTGCCATAAATGCCACGCCTGCCACACAAAGTGCAGATCCATGTCACCAAGTGCCACACCTGCCACGCAAAGTGAAGGTCGATGTCACCAAGTGCCACGCCTGCCACGCAAAGTGAAGGTCGATGTCACCAAGTGCCACGCCTGCCACGCAAAGTGAAGGTCGATGCACCAAGTGCCACGCCTGCCACGCAAAGTGAAGGTCGATGTCACCAAGTGCCACGCCTGCCACGCAAAGTGAAGGTCGATGTCACCAAGCGCCACGCCTGCCACGCCTGCCACGCAAAGTGCCGCGGCACCCACCAGGCCACCACAGCCAGCCCAGTGCCATAAATGCCACGCCTGCCACACAAAGTGCAGATCCATGTCACCAAGTGCCACACCTGCCACGCAAAGTGAAGGTCGATGTCACCAAGTGCCACGCCTGCCACGCAAAGTGAAGGTCGATGTCACCAAGTGCCACGCCTGCCACGCAAAGTGAAGGTCGATGTCACCAAGTGCCACGCCTGCAACGCAAAGTGAAGGTCGATGTCACCAAGTGCCACGCCTGCCACGCAAAGTGAAGGTGTCCGTCGCCAAGTGCCACGCCTGCCACACAAAGTGAAGGTGTCTGTCGCCAAGTGCAGGTGTCTGTGAGCAAGTTGTGTGTGTGTGTGAGTAAGTTGTGTGTGGGTCTTTTGTGTGTGAGAAAGTTGTGTGTGAGTAAGTTGTGTGTGGGTCTTTTGTGTGTGTGTGAGTAAGTTGTGTGTGGATATGTTGTGTGTGGGTAAGTTGTGTGTGGACAAGTTGTGTGTGAGTAAGTTGTGAGTAAGTTGTGTGTGGTCAAGTTGTGGGCATGTGGCGGGAGGGGGAGGAGGCGGGAGGCGGACCGGGAGTACACAACCAAAAACAAGAACCCCACACAGAGATGTGGGGAAAAAACACACAATCTTCAGATCAGGGTTGAATATCATTTTTTCCAACATTGGAAAGAAGGTTAGAGCATGCACAATCTTGCATGTCATTATGCTAAGAAACCAGACGTTACGTCTGCACTTTCCTGATTGGAAATTGAGCTGTATTATGCTACAGGTGCTGCTGCTATGGAGCAAGTCTCGAAACCTGCTTGAAGGTTTGGTTTGGTTGATTTCTTGCGGCCTTTTCGTTTCTTATTTCTGATCCCTGCAGCCTTTTTGCGCATCTATTCTCCTGGAATGAGCGATGGAAATTTCCATATTGGTTGTCAGCCAAGTCCTTCAGAAGATGAGCCATAAGCATCCATCGGCATGTTTGCAGGTGCATTTGCACTGCCGAGATCCAACACAACGTGCTCAAAAATCCCTTCAACCTTGATTTCAGACTGGAATTGCTGGTTTTCAAATATCCAAAGCCTTCTTCCCGAGTAATTCCCTTATTTCCTTGATGCGTGTATCTAGGATCATATTTATATATATATATGATTATATATATAGATATGATGCAGGTAATCCGTGTTTAAACTTGACCTAAAACGTGCTAAGAATGACCAGCCCTGCCAGCCACTCCCAAGACACGTCCGTCCTGGACCAAAATCTCAAAGAGACTGGATATCAGCAACGAGCTGGCCCAGTAATTCCTGAACCACTGTCACAATTGGCTCAGCTGCTAGGGGAGAATCCTGATGGGTTCTTCTCTATGAATCTGTGATAGACTGTGATAGATATTTGCAATTGGGGCTCCAGGTCATCCCAATCTCAGGATATGATTCACTGAGCACAAATGTGCTTTGATGTAATCCCAAACAGTTCCCAAGTCACCTCTCAGATACAGTATAAGAATTATATGTGTTTGGGGTATAGCCATATACCAATGGCTGCAGGGTGCACAATTACATGATGGCACCTGATCAAGCAGACTGAGGCACACTCTCAGTGTATACTGATCGATACTGATGATTTGGAACTTACAGAATCTTGGCATAAAGTGTCTTCTTCTCTTTGGCAACTTTCTACCAAAGCCATCCAAAGCCAGCTTCTCTAGAAATGATTGACAAACTCATAGGGCTTCACAAGCGCCTCAAGACCTGACACAGCTACATCTGCTTGATGTTTTTTTGGGGCCTGGGTCCCGAACATCTAAACAATTGGGTTCATCCTCCCATGTTTGGGCTAAAAAGAAAACAATATGTTGGAAACCGGCAGCCCAGCAATCAGTAAGTTGTGGACACTTTTGGAACCCGACATGGAATAACTTGTTGGAGCCGGAAATGATACGGCTGCCACATATGATACATGTGAAACATTTCCCACGCCATGAATGGCTAATTGCTGGCTCAAGCTGAACCTGCAAAGGCTTCCGGAAGATTCCGGAAGTACTTCCATGTCCATGTTATGTTTGGGGCTATCAAATGTCAACTCCGACTCCAATCCTAAATCTTCTGAAGGTGTGCCAAAAGAGAACCCGAAGTCTGACTCAATCGCTTAGCCCACCTAAGTTCCCCCAGGCAGCATCATTTCAAGATGCTCCCAAAGGCCCACATTCATCATTTGCCCGTCGAAGAAGATCATCTTTCTGTCTGCTGGAAGTATTGCATCTGAAAAACATTGCTTGGACCTCGGATGCCAAAACTGGAAAGCCCAACTGGGCAGAAGCTGCATAATCTGAGCTATCGGGAGAAAGATGCCACAAATAAGGATTTCGCATCTGGAAATTAGTGTCAAACCTGCAACAGTGCTTTGTTGACCGGATTACAATCATCAATGAAGCTATAAGTTCCACACAAGTGGGCTGTAAGTGACATCAGCCTTCTTCCAATCCGGCGAACCATGGCAGAGAATGGTTCAGAAACCCTCCGGATGTTTCTCAAACTGAGGGACGCTCCAAACCCATGGGCTCTCCCACTAGAACGGACATCAATCTTGTAAGTTACCACCATCTCACCAGAAGAAGGAACATAAGCATCATTTCCAAGATGGGAGTGCCCAGTAGTTGCTATCTGGCCATTCAGTCTTCTCAAGTGCTGAAAACTGTTCAACGCGATCTGTGATGTGGTACTTCAATCATCCGTTGCCCCGTAGCGATGTACAAACTACATCAAACAACTTCCTGTAACTCCGCATAAAATTGCCAACTGGGCGCACTAGCTTCGAGTTTCTTCTTCGAGTATGGCTAATATGGGCTGGTGGACATGCCAAAAATTGGGCAGAGCAAACTTTTTGGGATGTTCAACCAACCTTTCCAAGGTGTTTGGGTTCATACTTACATAGTTTTTATCTAGTCATCCATGTCCATATCTCTCACGAATCCATGAGGTAGCAGACACACGACGCAATTGTCGTTTTGATCACTTGCCACATCATTTTTGAGGCAGTTGTTCAGTCATGCAACTTTCGTGGAACATGATGGAATTCCAAACGTGGATGACAGAAAAGGTGTCGCAGAATCCCTCCTGTGACAGCATTTTGTTACGCTGGGTCAACATTGGGTGCCCCCCCTGCAAAATCTTCATGATGCTGCTCTAAATGATTGTGTAAATCTGACCAAATTCGGGAGTGGGGATCTCACGACCCAAACCTCAAAGGCTCAAAGGCCATGTTTCCACCCCAAAATGCGGAGCCTCCAGTCCAAGACACCATGCAGCGGTCACAAAACTCGCCAGCAGCAAACGAAACATCGCTGCTTGGCAAAGTCAACTGGTTGCTCGAGCAAAACAGCTCTGTAAAGCAGACGCGCTGCATCCAATAATTAGAACGAAAATCATCAAAGAACCATTCCCAAATCGTCCTTAAGAGAATATTCATAGAGCCAGCCATTTTGTTCATTACCAAATTTGATATAAATGAATGTAGCCCAAATATTCCTTATGGTTTGATGTGAAGAACAGATCTGTGTGTGACTGTGATCCTGGGCCATAGACTTCACCAATCAACGCTAGGCATTTTTGGAATACCCCAGTCCTACTGGGAACCATCATTCCATTGAGGTTGTAGTGAGGTCGTTAAAATTCAAAAAACAAAATATTGTGTGTATGTGTACATATATATATAGTCTATATATATATAGTATTATATAGTATAGTCATTTGTGTTTATTTGGTCACTATTTTATATACATGTGTACAACGTAGGCGGGGTTGTTTCAAAATTGCACCGTTTTTCGCGCTGCACCTGATCATCTACAATCACCTGACCGAGCGTGGCATTGCAGGTAGCTATGGGCAGTTACGGGTCACACTTGGGGCACTAAACAAATGAACAGCTGATAAGTTGATCCTGAAATTCTGACTGGAATCAGCTTGAATATAATATACTTGAATCAACTAAGCTGTCGGAAAAGGATCAACACCTTTGAACACGGACCTCTCCTGTCAATCCAAAAGGCATCTTGTTCCATCTTTTTCTGCTGCTGTCATCATGTAGCAGGAGGTTTCCGAATAGAGAAAACCAAAAGTCACATCGAACAGCAACTGCGGCTAAACAATTTTATGGCACAAACAACGAATCTACTTCTTCGCTTCCCGTGCTTTCAGCTCGGCATCAATCTCCTTGATGTTGTCCCCGCCCCAGGGGTAGACCACCTTCTCCTTGGGGTCCCACTTGGGGTCGCCGGAAGTACTGCCCAGCTGGGACAAAAGGCCAGATGATTTGGCACCCACATCAAGTTTCTTCACTTCCTCATCCATGCCAGTGGTGAAGCCGAACTGGTTTCTCTGAGCCAAGGCTGAGGATGCACCGGCCACAGCCACGACGAGACCGGCCAAGACTCCGCAGCCGAGTGACACAAAGGAGTTCACGCCCTCATCCTGAGATTCCATCATCTCCGGCAGGCGGCCCTGAGCACTGACCTGAGCATGGTTGCTGACCTTGGCGCCGGTGCCAGAGGTCTGGACGAAGGCACTTTGCCAAACAAAGGCTCCCAGCAAGGCTGCAGCCAACAGCATGACAGTGCGACCCTGCATGGCTTCACAGAGCGGGCTGAACACTAGCACACGGCCTTTCAAAAATACCTCCTTCTAAAAACAGCCCTGTAAGCCACATCACATGCCACAGGAATAGCCGCAGTGGTGGGAGTCGATCAAAATACGTATGCAACATGTAACAAAAATGATTAAAACTAGGCCCTGATCAAAGCTGCAATATCTTCACACCGTCCTTCTGTATATCTTAACTCACAAACATATCAAACATCACATCTGATCAAACCTTTTCATAGACTGCAAAAACACGGCAACCCCCCAAGGCAAGCAAAACGTCTTTTTCATTTGCGCCAATGGTACTTTTGTTTTTTGAATCGCTGGACAAAAATTCACAGAAACAACGAATCTACTTCTTCGCTTCCCGTGCTTTCAGCTCGGCATCAATCTCCTTGATGTTGTCCCCGCCCCAGGGGTAGACCACCTTCTCCTTGGGGTCCCACTTGGGGTCGCCGGAAGTACTGCCCAGCTGGGACAAAAGGCCAGATGACTTGGCACCCACATCAAGTTTCTTCACTTCCTCATCCATGCCAGTGGTGAAGCCGAACTGGTTTCTCTGAGCCAAGGCTGGGGATGCACCGGCCACAGCCACGACGAGACCGGCCAAGACTCCGCAGCCGAGTGACACAAAGGAGTTCACGCCCTCATCCTGAGATTCCATCATCTCCGGCAGGCGGCCCTGAGCACTGACCTGGGCATGGTTGCTGACCTTGGCGCCGGTGCCAGAGGTCTGGACGAAGGCACTTTGCCAAACAAAGGCTCCCAGCAAGGCTGCAGCCAACAGCATGACAGTGCGACCCTGCATGGCTTCACAGAGCGGGCTGAACACTAGCACACGGCCTTTCAAAAATACCTCCTTCTAAAAACAGCCCTGTAAGCCACATCACATGCCACAGGAATAGCCGCAGTGGTGGGAGTCGATCAAAATACGTATGCAACATGTAACAAAAATGATTAAAACTAGGCCCTGATCAAAGCTGCAATATCTTCACACCGTCCTTCTGTATATCTTAACTCACAAACATATCAAACATCACATCTGATCAAACCTTTTCATAGACTGCAAAAACACGGCAACCCCCCAAGGCGAGCAAAACGTCTTTTTCATTTGCGCCAATGGTACTTTTGTTTTTTGAATCGCTGGACAAAAATTCACAGAAACAACGAATCTACTTCTTCGCTTCCCGTGCTTTCAGCTCGGCATCAATCTCCTTGATGTTGTCCCCGCCCCAGGGGTAGACCACCTTCTCCTTGGGGTCCCACTTGGGGTCGCCGGAAGTACTGCCCAGCTGGGACAAAAGGCCAGATGATTTGGCACCCACATCAAGTTTCTTCACTTCCTCATCCATGCCAGTGGTGAAGCCGAACTGGTTTCTCTGAGCCAAGGCTGAGGATGCACCGGCCACAGCCACGACGAGACCGGCCAAGACTCCGCAGCCGAGTGACACAAAGGAGTTCACGCCCTCATCCTGAGATTCCATCATCTCCGGCAGGCGGCCCTGAGCACTGACCTGAGCATGGTTGCTGACCTTGGCGCCGGTGCCAGAGGTCTGGACGAAGGCACTTTGCCAAACAAAGGCTCCCAGCAAGGCTGCAGCCAACAGCATGACAGTGCGACCCTGCATGGCTTCACAGAGCGGGCTGAACACTAGCACACGGCCTTTCAAAAATTGCTGAGCCAAAAGGCCAAAAGTTGGGCAGACTTTTTCATTGGAATGCAATCTCGCCAATGCCAACAGGTTTACATGCAAGGAAATACTTCTGTGAAGAAGACACCCATTAGGACCACTGCTGCTGTCAATGCTGTGACACATCTTGCAAACGCACTCATCAATCTCAAAACAAGTCATGTTGAATTTCAATCTTTGCAAAACATACTGTCACACGTTGTCAAATGCCTTGCATGTTGTAGCATGGACATTTATGAATCGCCTTTTTCTGACACTTTAATCCGGATCAATATGGATAAAAAACTCTGGCTGTAAGAGCTAGCCTCAAGAGCTCTTGGGTTCCTTCAAGGCCTCACGGGCCTTGAGTTCGGAGTCAATCTCCTTGATGTTGCCCCCGCCCCAGGGGTAGACCATCTTCTCCTTGGGGTCCCACTTGGGGTCGCCGGAAGTGCTGCCCAGCTGGGACAAAAGGCCAGATGACTTGGCACCCACATCAAGTTTCTTCACTTCCTCATCCATGCCAGTGGTGAAGCCGAACTGGTTTCTCTGAGCCAAGGCTGGGGATGCACCGGCCACAGCCACGACGAGACCGGCCAAGATTCCGCAGCCGAGTGACACAAAGGAGTTCACGCCCTCATCCTGAGATTCCATCATCTCCGGCAGGCGGCCCTGAGCACTGACCTGGGCATGGTTGCTGACCTTGGCGCCGGTGCCAGAGGTCTGGACGAAGGCACTTTGCCAAACAAAGGCTCCCAGCAAGGCTGCAGCCAACAGCATGACAGTGCGACCCTGCATGGCTTCACAGAGCGGGCTGAACACTAGCACACAGCCTTTTAACATAAAACCTGAGTAAGCCAGGAGTGTCCGGAGTCGGTGATGCACAAGCGGCTGGTGGCCCAATGACTTATTCCAAAAATAGCAGCTTGTATGGCAGGAGAACAGATTGAAAGTGGGACCTACAATCATGTATAATGTCAACCCCGGATTAATAAACCATAGTTTATTAATTAGGGGGGTACTCGTCCAATTAACCAGCCTAGGGGTTTATTAATCCAGGGTTGACATTAGCAGGAATTGGTTGGACACATCCAAGATCACCAGGGGCTCTGCCTCTGGACGACGAGAGCGCTTGCGCTGCACGCCGCGACGCCATGGCCCCTTTGGAGAATCCACCAGTTGTTGATCAGACTGGAAGACTGGATCGGTGTCAGCGAAATGTGTCGGAAAACCCATGAAAAAACCGTTTGATTGAGAGAACTATCAGGTTCCTTTTGATGTCCCTTTATTAAATGTTATTAAATTAAATCATCCCAGTGAGTTCAACCAGGGATTAGTATGGCCAAGTATGGAACCAAGTATGGAAATTCACTAAGACATCCTTAGGAATAAGGAGCTAAGTGTTACATCTTGACTTTTCTTCATGTTGAAACAGCAAGCAGCCAGGAACACATAAACAAATATCCTTGAACATGGGTGTGAAAAACAACTATCGCAAACCTAGCCGCTTTGCTAGCGCTGCCTTGCAGATTGGTGAATTTAGTTCCGTGCCTCGTTACGAAGAGGAAAAACCACTAGGTCCGCACTAATTATCAACAACTGGTTAAAAAAAAACTTCTGTCAACTATTTTTGGCACATGGTCATATGCAAAAATATGTGATTCTAAACATTTCTAAACAGCACTCGAACTCATAATTCGGCCATACTTCTATCAGAAGCCCCACGGCGAGATGTTTTGATGGGGGATCGAACTTCACATGCTTTTGGGGTCCAATCTACGAGTTTGTAGGGGCTCATCATTGCAGGGAGCCATTCTGTCCAGTGATTGGTCACTCATCACCTGCGGCTGAAATCCAGCTGGAAATCTCAACCGAAATGCTCTAAAGTGAAAATAGGGACGGTACCCGAGGGGAATGTCATCGGCAATGGGTTTTAAGCAACAGCAAACAGTGACCTGAAATGTGCAACGCTTGGTAATAAGTACTTTGACAACAGATTGTGAGTCCTTGCTTGCCAGGTCTAGGCATGAGCTGAGATGTAAACCATCAAGGATAGCAGAGTGGTTCGCAGATTCTTTCCAATCTTCTCCTTTATGCAAAAGTTCAAGTCCCGCCCAGAAGCATGTTTGGTCTACGGGGAAATCGCTCTTTTGCTTCATCTTCAACACCCACATCATGTGATATGGGTATGGGTCAAAATTAGGTACCCCAATAATTGGATGGTTAATACTAAACTAGACTAACATCTGTGGTCCCCTAGGTCTTCCATTTTGACCCACATCCATATGCCTTTTGTGGATCTTTGGGGTAGACATGGGGACATTCCAAATGGTTGATCCTGGCTCCTGGTGCTCCCTGTCCCATTTCACTATGACCCAACCATACTTGGATGTGCACCCCAGTTAGTAAGTGACTGAACTATAACCCATACGCGCCATATATAATCCATATATAAACCATATATATATATCATATATATATATATAACCCGTATACTAGTATAACCCATATGTAACACATATGTAATCCATATGTAACCCATGTATAACCCATTATATATATATATATTATGTATATATATACATAATTTACATATATAGAATATAAGCCATATATATATATATATAACTGGGAATATAGCCTATTAAGTGGGGTGCACCCCCAAGTAGGGGAATCACTACCATCTGATCTTTGTTCCGCGGGACACCACGGAAAGCCCGGACTGCTTTGTCGCATGCAGCGCACCCAGAAGGCGCGGATTGCAGGGAATCACCCGGGGATATGTTGTTGAACCCTTGTTGATCTGTTGGGACACTGAGAGCTTTGCAAGAAGAAAGGAACACTTAATTAAGCCAATTGAGCCAATTTAAGCACCCAAGACTCACAGAGAACCAGGTAGGAAAATGGGTTATGTTGTGTTGAAAAAGCCTGTTCTGAAGCTTGGAGGTGGCGGAACATGCACTAAAAATGGGTGAGTGTTGACCTCAAAACTTGGCTGGGTGGAAGCTTGTGAAGCCCCTGCTCCTGTTTGCTCAGGAACCTGAAGGTTTGTGGAGTTGAAATGAGCCAATATTGCCAAGTGGGTCCCAACTGCCAGGGGAATCAGCCATCAGGATGGTCAACGTTCGCACATCCTATTGATAATAATAAACTGCATCCGGAAATGATAAAATCGGATCAGATTTCCGCGAGCCACAGATTGGAAAGCATCATGTTTTTGGTGTCCTCATTCAATCTTCATTTAATCCTCATTCTAGAACCTCAAAGAATCCTCATTCCACATTCAACCCTCGAAAAATCCTCCAAAAATCATCATGTTCTCGAAAATCATCGGAAAATCCTCGAAAAAACTTTAAAACATATCAAAAACATCATGATGTTCATTCAGTTTCTCCGTTAATTAATCCTCCAAGAATTCTCGACTAATCATCGGAAAAAACCTCAAACGAGCGGAATTTCCTCGAAAACATAATTTTTATAAATCCTCGAACATGTCTCAACAAATTCTCCAAAAAGCATCCTTGGGGACTTTTTCAGGTTCCAGGGTGAGGATAAGGATTTTATATGATTTTATGAGGTTCCAGAATGAGGCGGATTAAACGAGGATCAAATGCAAAAACCATTGGTTTATTACCGCCAGTCTGTAGCTCACAACTTCTTATCACGCCAAGGGCATGGTGACAGGTTTGGTACTCATCAAGCATCCATCAACCCTAGTTTCAGGATGTTTCGGGACGTCTCAACGCCTCGTTTGTTGGTGGACTCTAAGTAGCGACGCCCCATCTGATCAGGGGGGCGCGGGGCGTCCCCTGCTGTCGGTCGCTGAACCAATTTGCCGCAGCCGCACCTTTGCACCGCCAGGCGCAAATCGCACCGAATTGGTCTGCTGGCTCCGGTTTGCCCGATGAAGTTGTCTGAATTTTCATTCAGCCAACCACCATCAACCACTTTGTTTCATATGATACAAAGCTTGGGGTAAGCAATGGACTCGTACAATTAAGCCCAAACCCATAGCCCTTGAAACAGGGGCTGTTTAACTCAATGATGACTGATACCATGGGGATCTGCAACAGGGGCATGCCCACCGGGCTCTAGCAGCTCAAGCCCCGTGGCGGTTCAGCAACAACTCGAAGTCCTCATTCCAGCGGGCGGTTTGTACTTCTGGTGCGTAATTTTCTCCAAAACATATTGGCAATTTCAGATTATCATTATAGGGAGAGAAATGGAACATGAGTGAAACCACCAATAATTGTAGATAAGGCATGCGAGGTGAAGGCATGCCAAACAAGAATCGTTTTTTAAGCTCTCCTTGAACCCCTCAATCCATCACTTTCCCTACTATGGGTTATCATAATCCCCAGTAAACCAGGTAGTATAATCCCCTATAGCAATCAATTAACCAGGGTATTTTTAATGGCTCACCTAAACTCATCATAAACTTCGGCCTGGTAGAGGTGTTGCAACTCGGGGCCAAAGATTCTCTTCGCCTCTTCCAGCGTGGTCTCGCGCGACTGTTGCCTGGGCCCAACCAAAAGAAACCAGCCGAAAAGGGACCCTATACTGACTGTACTGTCGAGAATGGTGGGTTTTAATGATTTAACATGATTTAACTGTGAAAAATGATTGAAACAGGGTGGTTGTACCCACAAAATTGCGAGTTGAACCAAGTAAAATGGGGATCGTGGGTTGTTGAGCCCTCAAAATGGGGATATGCTACGGGGATTCACTAACACAAATTATTGTGTTGATCCAATGAACACTGATGATACAGGTTCCATCAAAACCAAGTAAACCATATGAGCTCATATGTTGGAGTCATAAAATCGGGCTATTCATTCGTGCCACGGACAGTATGCACAGTTCTATGTCCCACATAGTAATTGCTTCATCATAGCCATCTAGAAGCATTTGTGTATGAAATGCACCTTTTTGCTATGGAAAGCCACAAACTGTTTGACAGGCATATCATCAAACTAAGTGGGCCATGCTCCATGCAGCACACTGTTAAATTACCAATGGCTGGTAGGGACATCAGCCAATGGCTGGTCATCTGCAATGCTGCTGGGGCACTGATTGTTCAGCCGCTTGATGTTGGCCAAAAACTCCTCAACGGTTTTGGCGCGACAAAATATGACACCTGATATTCATGGAAAGTGACGACTTCACTTGTTGACAGGACAACAAAAGATAGGAGAAATCCAAGTCATCTGCCTGTCATCTGTTTTTGACATAAACTATATATATATATGCTTTGGTGGGATATCCCCTGACACCATACCCATCAATGGTTTGCAGGCAGGCAATTGTACAGTACTTGTACACCCATCTCTAAGAATTGAACATGTTCACAATCCAACAGCTTTTGCTAAAAATCGTCGCCTTTTTTGTTCATCCAGCCTATTACAGAAAGTTAAAACACGTAGTGAAAATCACTGACCCGTGCGAAAGCAGGCTGTGCTTGCCGAGCTACATTGAAGGCTTCATAGGACAGGCTATTTCGAGCCTACGGCAAATGCTGAATATCGAAACATATTCCACCCACTCCCTGTGGTGCTTTCAATGTCCACTGTCCAGCAGAAGGTCGGAGATTTTCCGACTTGGAGCACTGGTAGGCCGCTTTGATGAAATTGGAACAAACAGTTCACTTGGTGTTGTTGCAAGTACTAATTGATTGGGGATTGATCAAAATTTTGCATTCCGGCATTGGATGTTTGAATATCGAGAATAACCAGATTCCCTGAGTTCCTTGGGTCTTACATTTGCTTATCCCCAAGTTGAGGTTTTCGCATGTCATAGTTGCAACCATGAATACACAATCGATTGGGGATTTAACCAAGAATCATTGGGGATGTATATAAATAGAGTTAGCAATCCAATACTTCGAGGGCAATCCCCGACAATTTCTAGTAGTAGCTAGCTATAGCCATGTTTGTATCTGAGTCTCTGGACGTATCAGGGCTACAGTAATCAACTCTGGAGACAACTCAGCCACGTCTACTATCGTACATCGCCGCATCTCACGCCTGACGAAAGAACTGCTTCCCATCGATCGGGGCAGACGTCGTTGTGGGCTGGCACGACGTGTGACACTTGTGGGGCGGGAGACACATTTTTCTGGAGCAGGATTCCCAGATATTCCCAGGATTGGCTGGTTTCAACATCTAATATCATCTAATGCCCAGGGAGAACACGATTATCTACTCGCATTGTCAACCTGCCATGCAGTTGGACTTGGGCCACAAGTGGCCTTCCAGTCGATTCCAAAACCCTCAAGGCAAACCCTCAAGGTGGGTCTGACAATGACGCTGGCCCCTTTTTTCTGACCCAAAATATTCCAAACTTGTATATGTATGTATATGTACAGTAGCAAATCTTCCAAATATTCACCGGTCACAAAAAGGTTTCTTTTTTTCAGTTCATGAAACCGTGGTCTTCTGCTCGGAAGACCCTGCAGTGTCAGCTGAAAATATGACGCCACACCTCGGTCACAGGCGCACTGGCGTCATAGTTGGGCCGGTACCTGGAACAAGGTGACCACATGTTGCGGCCCTGCCCATTTTGGAGGCCACCCTCACAAAATATCTATCTACAGTGAATCTGCAGGATATAATTAATTCTATATATATATATAATATCTATATATATATATATAAATAATATATATATATATATATCTGTAGATCTGTGTGTGTGTAGGTGGAGTGACCCATTTGCCTACATGGAACTAACTAAGGCTTTGTACATCAGAGTCTGGGTTGCTTGGAAGATAACCCTCTGTGGCCAACCGGCCTAGAGGCCTAGTGTACATGTCCATATGCACATGCGAGGTGCATATATTACTATATAAGATCTAACAAAGAACACAATATGGCATATAGTGCATGCATAAATATTTCTACATACACAAATATGGATACATTCATGTATTATACATATTCTGTAGATACACAATCGGTCCCATCTACGTCTCTATATGTTTATAGTTGCTTATATTATATATATACATACATACATACATACATTCATATATATATATATATACTATATACATATATATATATATTACTAGTACTATTCTTATGTTATATTCTATACGGTACCTACATTTAAATATACGGATATTTAAACAATGCAATAGGTATTTTATACTACCTCCGGGCAGGTTTTCCCTGGCCCGGCCAACCATCTTAAATATATGGAAGTTAACTATTTAAATATACGGAAAAAGGAGCTGCCGGCGACCGCTCCACCAGTTCAGTACCTGGTGCAAATGGCAAATGTCCACCGTTTCGATCCCCTCGCCCCTCGCTTTCGTTCTTGATCAATGAAAACACCCTTGGCAAATGCTTTCGCATTAGTCAATAGTCTGTCTTTTATGGTATTGAGGTTGTACTGTACTATACGATTTTGGCCTTGGTGGAAATTCCTTTCATTAAAAATTCGAACGGGGTGGAAGCGCCTGGCTAGAAATTGCTTGCTTCTCTCTTTCTTGCAAGAAATGTCCTAGGTGGAGTTCCTGGGTGGAAGTTCCTTGCTTCTTGGGTGGAATTCCTAGATGAATTCCCTAGGTGGAATTTCGCGGGTGGTGGAAGTTGCTTGTTTCCCGCTTTCTGCGGAAAAAAAACTAGGTGTGATTTCTTGGGTGGGGTATCCTGGCTGGCAATTCCTTGCTTTCCTTTGTCTTGGGGAAAAATTGCCTAGGTGGACTTACCTGGCTAGAAATTGCTGGCATCTTTCTTCCTCAGCAAGACTTACCTGGATGGGGTTTTGTGAGTGGAAATTCCTTAGGTTCCCGTTGTCTGGTTGCAAGTTACTTAGGTGGAGTTTCCTGGGTGGAAGTTCCTTGCAGTGCTCCTGCTCCTTCTTGGAATTCCCTTTTTGGAATTTAAGGGATTTGCTGGCTTCCCTCTGTCTGCAGAGAAATTCCCTAGGCCCTAGGTGGAATTTCCACTCACAAAACCCCACCCAGGAAAGTCTTGCTGAGGAAGAAAGATGCCAGCACTTTCTAGCCAGGTAAGTCCACCTAGGCAATTTTTCCCCAAGTCAAAGGAAAGCAAGGAATTGCCAGCCAGGATACCCCACCCAAGAAATCACACCCAGGTTTTTTTTTCCGCAGAAAGCGGGAAACAAGCAACTTCCACCACCACCCGCGAAATTCCACCTAGGGAATTCATCTAGGAATTCCACCCAAGAAGCAAGGAACTTCCACCCAGGAACTCCACCTAGGACATTTCTTGCAAGAAAGAGAGAAGCAAGCAATTTCTAGCCAGGCGCTTCCACCCAGTTCGAATTTTTAATGAAAGGAAATTCCACCAAAGCCAAAATCCTATAGTACAGTACAACCATTTCCATCTGATGATTGTGTAGCAATCCCACAGGCCGCTCTCAATACCATTGTTTTGGGTCTAACTTTAACAACTCGACTCATAGAGTGTTCCAAATCATCAGCACCATATATTTGGACCATTTACCATTTACCTGCATATATTCCCTGTGGTTTGCAATTTTTTAAACATGCGGAGTGGGCCCTACCATTTAAACATACGTACAGAACTGGTATTTCATACTACCTCCGAGCCTGACTGCCCTGGCCCGGCCACCACATATTTAAATGTGATTACCGTATAAATTTGCACACAATTTTCAATTCGCAGTGGCGCACGACTCGGGCGTAGCAGGTAGGCCACCTGAAGGGCCTGCAAGCGACGGAGTCATGCAGTGGTTGTATCATGATGGAGCGGCATATTGACCATTTGGATCAAGTTGGATCCATTGGGCAGTGTCGAATTTTGGATGACATATGACATATGAATATGAATGAAATATGAAAATATATGAAATGACTATTTGGATGGCATATTCCATTGGGCAAATGAATATGACATATGAATGAAATTGAATGAATCAAGCTTCCCGACGTGCATTGAAGCCGCCGACCTCCCCTGCCGGTTGGATCTGAAAGATGCTGGGTCAGCGGTGAAGCAACTTATGGCTGGTGGTTTCAACCCTGAAAAATCTTTGGCCATTGTGGATCATCATCCTATGTAAAATATATTAAAATATCCCAAATAAAGATAAATATGATAAATGAAGTGGGGAAATAGTTGAAACCACCAACCTCCAAGACAAATTTCGATCCAACTGGATCACAAGAATACCATGGTCCACTGGTCTGACTTTCTTTACCACGGTAGCAATGAGTCTCACCAACAAAAGGGATGTAGAGATGTAAATTCCCGCAAAGCAGAACCATATCATGTTGGGCACATAGCCAGCATCATCAATGTATTGTTTTCGTATTATATACATATATATATATATATGTATATATATATATATACGTGTATGATGCAACATATATGCATGCCCAAAATGAAATCAGGAGCAGGCAATCGTGCCATATATCCATGGTAAGGGTTCGCCATGAACACCGTTAAGGCAATCGTGCCATATATCCATGGTAAGGGTTCGCCATGAACACCGTTAAGATCATGGCAACCCTGCATTTTCTTCTCGTCAAGTTGAGTGAGAGCAAATCATCTGTGATGTTTTAAATTTGTTTTAATATGGGCTGTGTAGTCCCGAACCCTACAAACTGCAACAAGAAAAAATATTGGGCTGTTCCTATATGAGCACAACTACATGGTGATGGTATCATACCCGGGGCAAGAGCGGGAGTGGGAACCAGCTCTGAAAACACTCGCAGAATCCTAGGAAAAGCACTTCTAAGAAATCAAGAAGACCATTCATTGGAGATTCCCTTCCGATCCGATGCCCATAAAAAGTCCCAACTGCACCTTGCATGGATTGAACAGTCATTGGCAGAGCACCAGCGAGGTAGTCATCCCTCATGTAGAGTTTAGAGTCCTGGCACCACTAAAATGAGATGCTTCAAACTTGGTGATCCGAAAATGAGACGATTTAACAAGATGATGCCCTCAAAAGTGGATGATAATCAATGACTGCTAAAAAAACTCAAGATATCCGAAGACTCAGCATTTGTGGGCCGTCTGGCGGGATGATAGGTCCACAAGCCCTATATGATTAAATTGAAAGTCAGAAAGTTCCTACTGACGTTAGGGTCCGGCCTGGCCAACGTTCAAATCTGCTTCAGAATTTTGGCTACCCATGAACAATATGAAAAATCTTGGAATCTACCAAGTATCATCTCAAATTGTCAAGGTTTGTGGCATCTTCAAATTACCCAAAAACCATCCAAAAACCATCAGTCCCTTCGACAGCCTCAGAGGTTTCCAAGCCCTGCTCATCGGAAATAGACTCCAAGACCTCAGACAGGCGGCGCTTTTTTTGCTGTTCCCAACAGGGCATGCTTTCGATGCAGAAGACCCTGCACATTGATAGTTTGTTGTTGGGAACAGCCCAAGTGGAAATTGATGTGAAAAATAGTAGAAAAATCAAGAAGAATCCAGAAATGGATAGTTTGTTGTTGATGTTCACTTGTTTGCGGGTGATTCCGCCACGTCAAAGTGTCGAAAGTCTTCCCATTACAGATATTACAGTATTTTCCCTGGAAAAGACATATACCATCGTATAGTCATCAACTATGTTCGGCCTGCCGGGGTCCATCAGGCGAATACAGGTCAGATTGGGGTAGAAAATCCGCTGGTTCGGCAGAATGGGGTCATAATCTCATACAATTACATACAACTACCATCAACTACCATATATCTGTGAAGTTACAACCCGATTTGAAGTTGGTTGGGCCTGCTAGCAGCTAGTGTGGATCTGAAATCTTGACCCGTACAATCCTGTACACAACTTGTGGCCCCAAACATCACCTGGAACGATGTTCCAGAAAAAAAAACTCATGGATTTCACCCTGGGCAACTCAAAAATGATTCCAAGACCCGATTGCAGGCAATTTAAGATTCATTTTGGATAGTTTGTTTTTGGGTGGTTCTCATTCATTCCCCTTGTCAACCACCATTTGTGTCGTCCTTCTGGGCCACTGACCCGCTTCTTGAGACCCTCCAAGCGCTGAAGCTGCCGCCGCAGCTGCTGCACCTGAGGTGACCCTGGAGTTTCTTTGTTCCAAAATGGTTACATGTTGTTTCTGTACATATATATATATATATATAATGAATATATATATATATATGTAAATATATATCATATATAATTACATATAATTATATATAATTAGTTATAATTACATATAGTTATATATAATTACATAATATTATATATAATTACATATAATTATATATGATATATTATCTATAATTCTGTAAACATACATGCTTATGAATATTATGAATATTATGACTATTATGACTATTATAACTATTTTGAATATTAATATGAATATTATGAATATTAGTATTGTTATGAATACTAATATGAATATTATGAATATTAATATGAATATTATGAATATTAATATGAATATTATTATGAATATTAATATGAATATTATTATGAATATTATGAATATTATTATGAATATTATGAATATTATTATGAATATTATGAATATTATTATGAATATGAATCTGAATATTATTATGAATATGAATCTGAATATTATTATGAATATGAATCTGAATATTATTATGAATATTAATATGAATATTAATATGAATATTACTATGAGTATCATGAATATTAATATGAATATTATGAATATGATTATGAATTTTATGAATATTGTGATTTTTATGAATATGATGAATATTATGAATATTATGAATATGATGATTGTTAAGAATATTATGAATATTATGAGAATTATGAATATTATGAATATTAGGAATATTAGGAATATTGTTATGAATATATTACCATACATATGTATGGAAACACACGTCACAAAATCATTGATTTGAAATGATCTGAAAAAGGAAAAACATGGAAAACTTCACAGAGAGTCGAGAACATTTGAAGCCAAAGAGCACTTTTCTGGCAAGTTCAAAAAGGAATTTCAAACAAAAGCATATGGGGAATTCGCACCCCCCACCGACCCGGAGAATGATCCCTGTCAGGGAAAGCCATGGATGACTACGGTCCTCTAACATCCGGCTGTGTCTAGGCCCATACTAGATTGCCCAGGAAAGATAGCAGTGGAAAACGAAGAGATCGTTGGGGTTGCCTCTGTTTCTGTTGAGTATAAAGATGCATTGGTACCCAAATCATTGGATGCTTCGTTTGGCTCCAAAAATGCCAATTATATACCCTCTGGTAAACTAACATAACTATGGAAAATCACCATTTTCAATGGGAAAATCCACTATAAATGGTCATTTTCAATAGCTATGTTAATTTACCAGAGGGTATTCCCTATTACGGCGGCATGGTTTCTGAAATCTCGCTGCTGGTATTCCAAAAGATGGCTTTGGATATGGCCAGCTTACAGCCTATAGGGCCTATATTTCTTCCCTTGCTATTGGTTGCATCTCTAGATCTTTAACATCCCTACAGCCATGGGCCCAGCCATGGGCCAATGGCTCAGTCATTCCCCATGTCCCAGGTGCCGCACCGTTTTGAAGAGCTCCTTATTCTCTTCCGCCAACTGCTGCGCCTCACACGGGGCATCGACCCAAACTTGAAAACATCTGGGAGATGATGGGTACAATTTTTACTATTTATAGTCACGGACACCCAGTTAGCAGGAACCAGCCAAAGCAAAGTAGTAAGCAGGAGGGTATTTTAGGGATTCATATAAGGTCCCGTTCGGAGCCCCGAGCTGCTTACTGCCCTGGTCAAATTATAGGGAGGGTTCCTGCTTACTGCGTTGTCCCTATTACTTTTCGTGGGGAAGAGGCTCGGTACAAGGCATTTTTTTTTCCCCCGCATGATCTTGACACTAAGTCTACTGTACCTGTCTTGACACTAAGTCTACTGTACAAACACTTCAGGACAACGGAGCTGTAGTAAGCAGATTCTGAAATTGTCTTTGGTGTATATGTTCATATACCTGCTTACTACAGGTGTTTGTACTTAGGCCTTACTTAGGTCATTTCTTATTTGCCTGATTTTGGCCTCTGGCAGATGCAGTAAGCAGATCAGTCTCTGCTTACAAGGCGTCCCCGACTATAGATCTATTTAGATTAGTTAGTTTTATAAAAAGCATGTTTTATTCAAGTGAAAGCTGACAATAAAACACCCATCTACAGTAGAATCCTATCATCAAAGAGTCACATGGCAGTTTGGGTCCCCACAGCGGTATCCTTCTGCAATGCCACTCGCCAGCTGGAAATATCTGCGGAAAATTTTCTGGGGATGTAGATAATTTTTGTTCGACAGTTCTGACCAGGACAATCCTGGAAGCTCCAGTGACCCAAAAAATTCATACTGGAGTTTCCCAACTATTCTCTTCGATTTCCATTCCGTAAGTAGAGCCAAAGTAGCGAACCGGCGAACCTGTTGACTTGGTCCAAAATTTTAGATTCCCAGTTTTGAGGAACAAAAACGTCTCGGGTAGGGTACCCTAGGACTTGCCCTGGCGGGTTAGCTACAGCTTTCAAATATCGACATCGGCAAGTCACCAACTTGGCATCTCTGCCAACCTAAATCCCAAGGAGCAGAACATGTTTATGATATTCTATGATCTATTATGATCTGCTGGTTTCCAGTCAAAATGTGAACATCCATCTTCCTGATTCATCCTGATTCTATCCCCCCGGTGCCCATCGCCTTTTGATGTCCCTCTACCAGCTCCACCTGCAGTGCTTAGCTGCTTAGCTTGCCCCGATGTTGTGGGCAAAACATCCAGCTACTCGATCTTGGAACAAAACATCCAAAACCCTTGGTTTTTCAGGTGAAACATGGTGAAACATGGTGAAACATGGTGGAACATGTTGAAACATCCCCAAAAATCCCAAGTTTTGGAGCTCACCAATTGAACCTGCCAAGTCAAGGGTCCCACCTCCAGCGCTGAGTTCTTGCGCTGTAGGGCGGCAGCTTGATTTTTCTGCTCCTGAATGGGTCGCTGAGAAAATTGTGCTGAAGAGCCAGCTGACCCTGCAAAACATAGACGTGTCATCAGTGTAAAATTGAGGTAGGATCACAAAAAAGTAAAAGAATGTGGGAAAACAAAAATGTGCTTTGATCCATAATCATGGTTATCTAAGCATGTTTATACAGCATTAAATCATGCGTATTTCACGGCCAAAACATGGGCATCGAAGCTACAAGATCACCCCAAAATCACGGAGAATTCACCCATAATTTATGTGTCCAAAAAATTGCAAATATACATATTAACACCATTTACCCTCTGGTAAACTAACATAACTATTGAAAATCACCATTTTTAATGGGTAAATCCACTATAAATGGTCATTTTCAATAGCTATGTTAGTTTACCAGAGGGTAACACCCAAAAAAAACTAGGTATGTTCATCCCAACTCCCATAAAATTTACCCAGCATGAAGATCTCTCCAAACTCGCCTCATAGCTTAAGCGAAGGCCTCTCAGCTCTTGTTCCAAGGTTTGGACCTCCCGTAGAGAATGGTTGCAAGTGGGGGATATTTTTTAATTCAAAACACTACTGGGTTGGGGGTGTTCATCACCTGCATCTAAAAAATGATGGGAGATTCCGAATCGAACTAGTACAGGAAAGCGCATCTAGTGACTAGTGCTTGAGCCTCCTGAAAAATATGTTTGGCAATTAGGATCGTCAGATGTAGAGTTGGAAAAAATAACATGGTCGAAATCACCCATCACAATATCTTTTGTGAAATGCAATGGCAAGCATCTCTGCACTGAGTCGAACATTCTATAATATATATATATATACATATGTATATATATATATACTGTATATGTGTGTGTGATGTAAGATGATGTAAGTCATTGTAAGTCTCAATCACTCAAACTGAGTGGGGAGAGCAATCAACTTCAAACCAGAAAGGAGAGCTGCATTGCCCAAAGTGCTTTCGCCTTGCTGTTGTAAGCATTCTGAATCATCCGAAAGCCCAGCGCCAATTGATCCTGACATGTGGTCGTACTGGTCAGTACCTTGGCTATTTTTTAGAGCCCTGATGGGTGAGAATGAACTACATATTGTGGCAACCCAGGGAAGTCTGCAATGTTTACATTGCACACGACCGAATTGTCGCGTACATGCCCCATGTCGCAAAAAAGAATGTCTAAAACAAACCCGAATCCTCTCTATGTTAATACATGTGAAGTGGTTCCGCTGCTTTTTAATTGGGTTGCTTTCATCATCATGGATCACATTAGTTCCTATGAGAATCTCCATGAATCCTTGTAAATCCTCCGGAACTCCAAAAAGAACTTCATGAACTCTATCATTTCTGGTCTCGTTCTCCAACTTCCACATCTAACTCTCCGTGTCCTCATGCTGCTCTGGCAGGGAGGACCTGAGGTCAGCAGACAATTCACTAAAAGGGGAAGTTGATAAACCATGATAAGGCAAGAAGCTATATAAAACAATACATATCACTTTGGCTGCTGGTGAAGCATGGTGAAAATCCCAGATCTGGTGATGGGGAAAAAACCTGTCCCAACGACATGAAAGAGTTTTGGAAAGTTGAGCAGCAAAAACAGGGGAAGTTTACCAACACAACCAACAGACAGGAAAAATACATATAGCAAAAGGAAAAAACACCGGAAACACCAAAAATGCTATTCTGGCGGCGGCGGGTATGTGTACCCCATTTCTCTATCTTTGTAGTCAACTCCAAATTGTCGGCCATATTTCTTTCCACCCAAAGATTCGACCACCCAAGTGAGCAACAACTTGATTTTAATGAAAAGCTGAGGCTGATCATGCAGAACCTGGTGATGGTGCTAGCCACCAGGATTCTTTCTGTGTCATTGAAAGACTTGAGGGAATCAACCAGAACATTCCAGAACAAAATTCTGCTCACTAGCGAGCCTCAAACATGGGTCAACATGGGTCAACCATACTAAACAGGACCAACCGGCTTCTCCTTCCAGGTCCCCCAAACATTCCAAAGGCCGCGGGGTCCGGGAGGTTGCTGCCTCCCTCAGCGCGGGTCAGATAAATTTGAAGGGTTTAACATGGTTTAACCATGTTTAACCAACAAAGATCTGGATCTAAGATGATCTAAGATGATCTAAGTAGCAAAAGATGATGGGTTTTGTGATCCTGAAAGCTCCAAATTAAATCAAATTATTAGCTTTGAGGGTCACCCAAAACTGACCCGTGTATGTGGAATGATCTGAAAATAATACTCAGTATGAATAATATGCAACCACCGCCTGTATTCCCAACATGGCATATATCCCACCAACTCAGCTATTGTCTCATTGGGCCACGATTTGGATTTAGCTGAAAGATGATAGAGCGTCAAGTTCATCACGAAACCTGACAAATAGTTCCAAATAGACTAAATCAAGATGAACATATCAAATAGATACAAATAGAAATCATGTGGCTATTATTTATATTCAAAAATTATTGAAAATCCCTATGGTGAACAACTCTTCTACATAGGGCCCTTAGGGACATGTGCCAATTTTGTACCCTCAATGCCTCCATCTCTCACAGCGAGATGCGCCTGGGCGAACTGGTGAAGTGAACTAGCAAACATGGGAGAAAATTCACCGACGGAAATGGTTTTATGATGTTTTATGATACAGAATATATACAGCTACAAGATGCTACAAGAAATTAGGGTACCTTCGTGCCAAATATGTTCACATGAGTACCCATGACTGGAGATTTGCCTAGTCAATTGGGATTATCAGCTGGACAATCTCTACTATTGATCCATCCATTTCGTGCTTAACGGTAACATGAGGATGTTTAAAGCAAGCTACTTCTTGAAGAAGGCGACGAAGAAGGAGATAAACATCTATCATTTCATGTAATAATATGTAATAATCATCTTACTGAATCTTACTGATTCTACTCTTGCAATTTCGAGGCACTGGAAGATCTTTGAGTCATCTCAAGCCCTCAAAGCCCATGCTGCCACACGGGTTTTACGCGCCTCTCTGCTCCCTTTGGACCGCGATCCCGGTCTGTGAGCCAGGAAGAGTTTCGAGGGATGGCCAGCAGTTGCTCCATTTTCCATGGTCACTAGTGATAGATGGTGATAGATGGTAATCAACCCGTGGGTATCGCATCTGGATACCCAACAGTTGGGGGATATGGATGGATATGGGGCTTACAAAATCACCCAGGTTCACCCCAGCATGCGAATAACCATGGAATTTTAGGGATCAGATCTTCCCTTCTCTGGCCCACTGCCAAGAGAAGTGGTAGCATCGTTGCGTGGGGTCATGGGTGATGTCAACCCCATCGTCGACTCGGAACGCTATAGCCCGATGCAAACACCCTCCGGCCATTTGACATGGCCTTGGCATCTTAAGTCATAAGGGTTAGACACGCCATACGCTTGGTAGTACATAGATGTTTATGCACGCTATACTTTCTTGTGCTGGAACCTGTCATTCATTTCCCTGAGGGCCTAGAAATTGCTCTGCCAGGACCAATTTTGAACTACAGTAGTTGGGGCAATTCGATGTAAATGGCAAAATTTGATAACATGTGATAACCCATGAATCCTTCCAGACAGCCCTGAAATTTTACCATCAAACCTGGAAAAAGCCAAGGGAGCTCCCAAAGATCATTTTGTGTTCATTTTTGTAAGTACCGCCGATTGCCAAACCCACGCAGGATTTTCTGCGCGGTCAGCCTACAGAGGCCTATAGACAAATGACTTACTCTCCCATCTTCTCGCAACAGCTGAGAGGTCTGGTGAGAGCCTGGAAGCCTCACTTTGGGACTAGATGTGAAACTCAACTTGGCTGTGCCGCAAGCAACAGGAAAACAATATCTTATATACAAAGGAAACAAGATGGAAAAAAGATGCTTTATATATATATATATATATACAGGAAGGATGCTACAGTAGACTATAATGGTCACAGCCCAGCATGTGAGTACGGCTCAAAACCAAATGCACTGTGATGCACCCAACATCATTGGGTTGCTTGACGAGTAAAAATATACAGATATATACAGTAATTATATCAAAGTCTCCAGTTTTGACCCATACAGTATCCGGTTCAAACAACAACCGTCGCCGTGCAAAGCTCACTTCTTGAGAGCTGCATGTGTCGCGTCATCTGCCTCCCAGAAAGACACTCAATGATGCAAACATACTTGCAAGAAGACGCCGAGAAAAGCTGGGGATTACATGAACATCATGATCATGATGATGATGATGATGATGATGATGATGATGATGATGATTGTTAAGACAATTCTTGGGTTCGCAAACAGCACCTTTGGGAGCTCACAAACACGTCGCCGACAAGTCCCAGCGGCTATTGGTGCACCTGGACCGGTATTTGGCACTGTCTTGCGCGCGGATTGTGCGCGATCCTTCTTCAGACCTGTCGGCCAATGATGCAAAACAATATTTTCACAAGTTGTGCAGCGTTCACCGAACATTCCGCCATATCTTGGCACGGGCAAGAGCTTTGATAATTTTGATATGGTTTGAAATGTTTTGAGACGTTCTGAGCCAATGCCATTTACTGCTGAGCTTTTTTCATGTCATCTTTTCCATGACCATTGATTGAACCGACATTATATAAGAGGTTGGGGAACCCACTTGATGACCTGATCCTTGATCACAAAAACCCAGCTCCATTTGGCTGCTGCGTGAAAAGCCCAAGCATTGATTCATCATTGAGGATGAACAAATCCCAATCGTTGAAACCACCAAGCACTTTTATTGGATATTATACTATACATATCTCTATACATATAATTAATCATATATACAATATATTACATATATATATATAGGTTATGTTAAGTTATATAAATACCCATATTCTCCCGTCTTTTCGTTGCTTCAACCGTGTTCAACTCCCAAATTTGCAGTTTCCCCGCACCTGACAAGTCCATCTCCACCTGCCCCTGAGCGCAGAGCGCATTGAGATGTTCAATGGGCAGTGTGTCAAAACCCTGGAAAACCCCTGTAGTTCACATCAAAATAGCTGGGATTTATGGATGTTCATCCCATTAGAATTGATAATAATAGGTTTTGACCCATCACTCATATCACTGGCAAAGTGAAAATCTCTGTGTTGGTTGAATGATTCAGTGAGTTCGTGCCGAAAGAAGAAGCGCATGTGTTGTGGCATCTACATGTACAGAGTTTACTGTATGATTTCCCTGACACAAATTCTACAACAATATTATCCAGAATACGGATATGATATAAAGATATATAAAGTATACAAGCAGTAGACAGTGTTCACATCACTATCAACATTACTGTTGACCAGCCTGTGTGACCAACGAACAATAACAATATGTTAAACAATCATTGAACATAGGAGCAAGAGGCTCAAGAGTTGGTGACTAACCCAAATATCAAACAAAATTACACACTTTGAAAGCCGTAATAAAACCCAGACCTGATTTTCAGACTGGAGCTGGCTTCAGCGCATATCCGAAGGATAAACACACGCTATTATTGGACATTCATCATCAGCTGCAGCAGTAGAAAACCAGCAGCAAAAGGAGCACGAACACATTACGCAATCTTAGGAGGCATGCGTCAGTACAGTCCACCTGGAATAAGATGTTTTCGAACGCTACGAGATGCTACTACAAGTAGCAGGACAAATCATTCAATCGCACTGCTGAATCGTTGCCGTATACCCGCCGATTGCGCACACCAATAGGACATCCCCACATTGTTTTAGTCAGTAAGAAAAGTATCGATGCCGTCTACATTCATCTATATATATATAATCTACAAATCGTACAATTCTACAGCCAGGTGCCTGTGAAGACCGGCGATCCCGCCTCAGATGTAGTGTGATTGGCCACAGGAGAGAGTTCTGTCAGTGAAACAGCTCTAACATAGTCTAAAATAAATCGAGGGATGACCAAGAAAACATTGCCTCAGGAATTCAGCAATTTTGACCATGCAGAACGCATCAGAGAACATGCAAAAATTGCCAAAGAAATTGGGTTCGGCAGGTATCGATGTAACTTCCATCGTTTTAGAGCCGATGTACAAATTGCCAAATAAAATACAAATAGGATCCCAGCAAGCCGGCCTGCTGGGAAAGAGTACGAGTCGTTCCACTAGCTTCCACTGGCAGTTGCCATTCCAAAATTCAAAATATAGATGATTTACCTATTAAAGATATTTAAAGATGGTGATTTTCCATAGCTATGTTAGTTTACCAGAGGGTATAGATGAATGATGATGAATGCCAGTTCATGTCTATCCAAGTCTCCTCGAAAGTTTCTGGCACTGAATCTCCCTTAAAATCACCAGTTCATTGCGTACGAGCTACCCCATGAATCATCATGAATCCAAGGTAGTAACATATTATATATATATATATAATGTATACATGCCCCCCCTCCTTCGCGGAATTTCTAGCGAAAATATCCCTACATGTTCTTTGTATCATAACTCCTGATACAGGATAATACAGTATCATACAGATCTATCTAACTTTCACGAATATTTCGCAAATTAGACCATATGTTCACGAACCTGAAGAAAAACTGTCGCGAGGATGGAAACCGTTCATCGCAATCAGAACTCATTCAGAACTCCTTTCAAGGACCTCTGGATCAATACCCATATCCAATGATGACATCCCTTTGACTCATCCCCTATCTACCCATGGAGGTAAACTGGGAGCCCCAACTCGGCTCCCGGCGCTTTGGCCAGGTCGCTTCCGGGGCCACCCTTGATGAAGAGGACCATGGGAACCATGGAACCGGTCAAAACATGGTGCAAAAAAAACCGAGAATTGGATGATGGAACGAAAATCTATAGTAAATCTGGATGTTTGCTGGTAAAATCCATGTTCTCCTGTAGAGCGTCCCTTGAAGCAATCCGTTTCAAAAATGTGGATATGAGAGGGATGAAGAAAGCATACATGAGATTTCGCCAGCGCATAAAGTCAGCGACAAATTTGTGGACTTGTTCAACCGACAGAAGCAAGTGACCTGCAATGTGCAGAATCGCAAAATCATGAAAATAGTAATTACCAGTAAATATATGTAAATATGTAATTAAGCAAATGAGCAACAATACAACAGGAATCTGATCAACAGCAAAGGACGGAACAAACGAAAAGGGGCTGATCAAATCTGATCAATAAGCAAGCTACAGTAGTGGGATTGCGTGTAAATTGTACAGCAAACCGACAAGAAGCTGTGCAAAACCCAATTCATGGTCGTTTGTGACGCTAAGTGGGGAAGATGGGAAGATCTGGATCTTGAAAGATGCTACCCTTGTCAGGTTTCATCGGGATGTGCAGTGGATGTAGCATATTTCTTGCTGAAAACAGATGTCCCTAATCTTTTCTGGGACCTTATGTGTCGTTTTCAAGAAACTACCCTCTGGTAAACTAACATAGCTATGGAAAATCACCATTTTTAATGGGACAATCCACTATAAATGGGCCATTTTCCATGGCTATGTTAAATTACCAGAGGGTATCTTTGTTTTTGCACATTTTTAAGCGAAATTTCCTGGTTCCCACAGCATCGCAAGCGCATTCTATTGGTGAACGAACCCATGGGTTCCCTGTCTGTGAAAATCGATGTGGCACGTCTGCAGCCCACAAGCCCAGTACCCGTCGCATAAAACGAGGACGTCGATTTTTTCAAATGACCATCCCTCGCACAGTCCATCCAAATAGACCAAAGTGATCTGGTTTTCCAAGAAACAGAAACATTTGCAGATTTACCAAAAGCACACTTTCCAGGATTCAAGAACATGGTATGCATGGGAGGGCATGGATCAAATATGGCCCAGAAACATTGGATGGTTAGTAGGAAAAAGTCATCAACCAATGTATGGCCCAAAAAGGGTCTTACGAATTGACCACGGATTTCTGGATGCGATTTGCAAGCTGAGGTGCTGGTACTTGCACGGTCGCAACAGGCGGTGATATGAAGGTCCTAGTCGTGCATGGCAGGTGGGTGTCTAAAGTCGTCTAAACACTCCCACCAGCATCTCATGGCAATGGTCAGCGGGGTAAAGACGGTGTGAATGTAAATATGATTAATTTATATACATATTTATTATTTATACATATGTATACATGTATGCAGTGACATGTTTATTATATGTATACAGTATACATATACTGTATACATATAATAAACATATTATACAATATCATACATATTGCTTATATATCAGGTGGGTAGAATCCGATTCGTCTCATGGAGCTGGGCGTCATCTTGGTGCCCGACACTTGTACATTTGAAGGTGGAGGATCATTGAAAACATAGACCTGGAACAGGATACAGGGGTCAACAGTGGTGAGACGGTGCAAATGTTCATCAAAACATATCAAAACATATCAAAAGGTTCTTGATGATTATGTAGGCAACCAAGCTTAAGCTTTCTAATCACCCACGGATCTGATATCTAGTCAAACATAGTAGTAATAGTTGAATACAACTGCTGGTAGTGAAAATATCAAATATTGGTGGTTGATTAAATCTAAAAAACACCAGTGGCTGGTGACGGGACTTGGAGTTTGATCCAACTGGCTGTCTAGAAAAACACTGCGTTTTTTTCCGTATCGCAATGGCAATCACCAAACAGAGCTACTGGATTCGTGGGCACAGTGTCAATGTCTTCATATGTCTTCCGAAATATCTGTGTCGGTGCTAAGGCTAAGGCTAGCAAGTTCAAAAGAATGGAAGGGTCTCAGTACTTATTGTTTATTAGCAGCAGCTTATGAGCAAAACACAATGGACAATTTGTTGCTGCAGCTTAATATTTCCTCACGCCACATTCATTCAGGTTGAAATTCAGTTGCGTTGTTTTGCGAAGATGTCCTTATCTATGTTTGTTTTGGTCTAAATGTGTATGGCCGGGCATGGCTCAAACATTGGGACCAAAGGGACCACTGTTTAATCTTTGTTCCTGCACCAGCTCATGGGTCCCAGCACCCAAAATACCCCGTTGTGGTAAGGACGATTCCCATCCCTCGCAGCTGAGCTCCCCGTGCTGCTGCAGTCTTGCCACCATCCATAAACCTTGGGAAGGGCCAAGTTGGTTGGTGCTTGATCTTGATCCACCCAGTCAGTACATGTCAGTACCAAGAATATGCAGGCCACGTTTGATCATGGTTAATCTGGATCATCGTGTGAAAACGGGGGAAATATGTGAAACCCCCGCGCAGAAAATGCGCAACTGAGAACCGTCAAAATGCCAATGACTAACCACTGAGCTAAGACTCAGGAAATGTCAAAAGGATTCAAAAGGAAAATTCTCAATTTCGAACTGGTAGATTAAATTCCTATCAAATTGGGTGATAGAGTTTACACCTTTTTGGGGGGATCGCATGGCCATGACCACGGAGAAAAAAATGGCTGGGCCCCCGCTGGGCCCCCGGGCGCCACCTGATCTAGTCGCTCCCGTTCTTCATGCGTCACCTGCCGTAACGAACAGGATCTAAGCCGCCAAAAAACCTTGACTTTATCAACGCAAATGGGAATTGAAGATAATTGAAGTGACAATTCAAATGGAGTTTGCCTCAGCCAAAGTTAGCATTTAGCCGTTGACATCAAACATTTAGGATAGTTTCCAGATGTTTCCAGTAGAATATTTGGAAATATTTGGAGTTGGAATATATGTTGGAATCCCATGTTTTAATATGTGTTCATTAATGTGTTCCATGTTAACTCCATGCTTGGCGCCTCCCGGCCATCCACCGCGCGCGCGGTCGGAACACAGTGTAGCAGCTGCAGCCGGTACTGCGGCTTCCGCGCTACCTGAATGGATTTGGACGGAAAGCGCATGAAAGCGCCACCCAAAAATCGGATATGATCTATTGATATGTGGTATAATATATAATTATACATGTATCTGAATCTAAATTGTATATAATGTATTATAATGTGGATGTATGGAGTGGATATGCAATGTGGATACACACTGTGGATATACAGTGTGGAGATAGAATTAATGTACATAGTGTGCACACATAATAATGCGAATGTAGTATGGATATCATCTGGATACTGGATATAAACTTCAAAGGGATGTGGATTGTTTTGCCAACATCAGGGATGATTTCCAGGATCACCGCCCACATTTTTTGGCATAGATATGCATATAATCTATTAATACATGTTATTTCAGATTTTTTGCAAGGGTCTTGCAGAAGCTCTGACCCCTGATCCAAAATCTCCAGGCCGAGTGGCTGGATTTTGAGCCATGTGCACCACCAGCAAGTGCCGCAAGGGGCGCAGTTTCTCCTGAGACTCGACCCTGATGGAGATTCATAGCAATCAATGGTAGTGAACACAAATTGGGTGGTTCAACCAACAAACAAGATCAAACTAAAATAGGTAGATCCACAAGACATATGGATATAGGTACCAAGCTTGTAGAAGCATCGCCCTTTTTCACCACGCCCCGATTTGACCAAACAACCTGAGCTAGTTTGAGGTTTATTATGGCTTATTGACCAAAAAATGGACAGATACAATAGACCAAATGAACACTTGCTGCTGGTTTTTCACACACCTGAAAATGTGTTCTTCATTTGGGTTTGTCATTCCAGTCGCAGAGGACGAAAAAAAAGCTATATATAATGTAATGTATAACAGTATAACATTGAAAACATCGTACATCCACCAATCATGTGTAGATGTGCTTTATGTAAACCTTGCATATTTCATGGGATTGCTTAACAGCTTAGAGGAGATGACCATGATTTGTTCTTCTAAAAGTCTTCAAAATCAACAGATCAACAGAGGATCATTGCCAGTGCGACAACTGCTGGGCGCCCCTGGCGAGTTCCGAAAGCTCCACAATGCGGTTCAATGACAGGTAGAGCCTCGGCTGGCGGCCAGGTTAAAAACCTTGAGACCGAAACATCGAAAAACTTTGAGGCGAAATGGGGCGAAGATTGCAAAAGAAGGGGGAGGGGTGGAAAATATGGTTTAATATGGTTTAATTTTATAGGAAAGTCCTGACAAGGATATCAAGGCGGATCCAATTTGCTAGCTTGGAGTACTGGAAGGCCGATAAGGGGTGTTAACAACCCAAACAGGGAAGCAGCCAACAAGCATGGTGATGACAAAAGTGGGACTAGAACCATTATGATCATTATGTAATTATGTACGAGTATGTCACATGTGGGAGTTTCCAAACTGCGGAACAAACCCAAATCCACCGGCAGCAGGCTTCCCAACGCACGAAGCCGCGGCAAAGGGCCAATGTTGGATAGACCTTGCATTGAGTTGAACTGAGGGCCTGTACTGTAACCCATGGTCATCTGAGCGTATGTCAGATTGTTGCATTTCTAGTGGTTGCAAAGTTTATGTAGACGGATTTTTCCCCATAGGTAATTCTCGTTCAAGGCCTTTTGCAGACGTTTGCAATGTTCGAGCATCAACTGGTCTGTTGAATCTGGACAAATTGCCCACGCTTTCTGAAACCTGATTTCAGATCATGGTTGATGCTTTCCAATGATTCCCCCTATGTTCACCCATCATTTATGGTGAGGCCGGCCATGAGGTCACTATACCTTCTCCAGAGGTGCAAACTCTTCAGTCCATTGTCCTCCACACGCAGCTCTCGCAACGCCTGCCCAGTGATATCGTTGGTTCAATAAAAAAATACTGGTAGTGCGCATATTTGGCAGTACAAATCCATGGTTTCCTGCAGATGTTCCCTTGGGTCAAGGGGAGATTGCCCGGTGCAACTGTAGTCATAGTCCTTTTGTGGACGCCACCAACCACTAGTGGTTAGAACTGAGGCATGGCAACAACTCGCGGCGCACCCTGAGCCCTTCAAAGGACTTCTCATCAAACCTGGGCAGCAGATGAGATATCTGGCATCCCTCACATCATATCCTGATCTCAGATATATCCCAGCATGTTGGGATTGAGGAAGGTGTACCCTATGATGAAATCCTACATCTCATAATGATGTAACACAACAGTTTTCCATTTCTCTGGGGTGTTTGATTCATCCAAGTTCCGAACAGTTTCCCCTTGATGGGATACCGGGGATATCCTACGAATGGGATATGTTCTCCCCATATTGATCAGAAAATCCCAATGAAAATCCTGTTTTTGTTTCATAACTGCAGGAAACCATCAAAGGAAATCCCAGCAGGCGCTATGAATCACCGCGCCAAGAAACTGCTTCACCCGATTCTTGTCCAGCACCAGCTCCCTCAACTGCTCCATCTTGTTCAAGCCCTGGGACTGCTGGGACTGGGACGCCAGTTTTCTATCCATGATGCAAGAGGGGTGGAGAGGGAAAACATCATGAATCCTATCAGAATATAATAGAAATTAATAGAATATCTCCACTCATGGAACATCCCCACTTACGGGATGTAGTATATGTATAATGTTATATATTATAATATTGTGTATGTAATATACATGATGAGAGCGAATATGAGCCAACAAAGCATGTCTAGGGTTCATCTCCCTTTTGCTAAAGTTGATAATTCAACGACCCATCACAAAATCGCCAACTGCCCCGGGATGGCAACGGAGCCTCCAACTTACTGATCTCGTTGCCAGGGAGGTGCAAAATTCTCAGGCTCTGCAGGGGCAACCTGGTGACTATCTCCAAGTGGCTGGCATTTTCCACTTTTAGGGGTCACCGGAAAATCATGGAAAATCTCTCCGATCGCCTTGTTTTGAGGTCGAACATCTACTGTACAACGGCTTCACTCGCAGTTCAATGTACAAGGATTGCTTCAGACGCAGACATTGAAGTGTTGGACACCAACAACTAGCTGCTACACAGATTCCAAGGAAACATCGGAAACAAAAACGGTTCTTTTGGGTTTGTCTCAAAACAGGAAACGCCTCTGATGCCATGATTACTGTAACCATTCTCCCAGTCCAACATGTCATGGATTGGGGGTAAATTCACCATCTTCACCTAAACCATCATATACAAAATGTGGCAAAGGAACAATGCCTGGTATTGCCTGGTAGATCCCGGTAGTGGGCCGGTGCAGGTTGTATCCCTGCCAGTCACTTGGCAGCCCGAGGTCCCAGCTCTGAGAAGACTCCTCAGCTGACTGGGTGGATGTCTTGCACAAGCAGCAAGATAATCAACAAGGGTAATGAAAATGTCTAAATAGAAATAAAAATTTACAACAACTTTAACGGAATGGAAGACATTAATTTATATGTATTACAATATATATATATATGTATTATATATATATATAATGTATATACTACCCTTAAACTGAACATGGAAGCTCAAAGCTGAAAAACTGTTCAATGCTGGTTCTGTCGAAAGTAGCTGCTTATCATCTTGAATCTTAGATGTAGTTTTGTTGCGGTATTGCCCGCAAGGAAAGGAAGATGCATGGAAAATGCTATTAAGGCATGACTGGGTTTGGTGGGGCAACAATTCCTCTGAAAGGTGGGCACATCACATTGGCACATCACATTTCTCGCAGCTGAGGAACATCTAAACACTGAATCACTTCAATCCCTAAGTCCTAAGATAGCCTAAGTTTGGTCTTCAGGATGTTCAAGGAATATTAATGACTAACCTGGTAGCTGTTAGATGATCATCTCTGCAGCAGCTCTAGGACAGGCGCTGCTCAACCAAGCAGCTCATATCTGCAATGCAGCTGTAGCCAAGCTCTAAGACCTGCAACGCCAAAATTCATGGGGGCCAAATTCAACTTGTAAATCACCAACCGACGAATTCGTGAAGTATGACCAGTTTTGGGACATATGAAGCCACTGTGGAGGTTTTGCCACCAAGTCCCGTCGGAAGTTCCCAGCTGTACCTGCAAATTGGGAAAGGTCCCCAAGCCGCCAGTAAACTCGGCCTGGGCTGCTGGCGTTCTCCGGCTACATCTTGTAGTGACCAACAGGGGTCATGAATTGGGCTAAATCTGGGCGGATCTGGTTCAACGACCATGAAAATCATGAAAGTCATGAAAGCGAGAAGCTGAATCCCAAGAAATTCTGCAAAGTTGCAATTTGATCAATTTGCCACGCCTAGGTCGGCAACAAAACTGCCACTCTCCTGGAGCCTGAGTTGGCAACGCCGCCAAGGACGCCACTCTCCAGGTCCAGTTTGGTCTTGTTAAGACCTAGGTCATCTGCCGAATGTCACTTCGCCCCCACACCGCAGCAAATGCAACAAATGCAAAGGAAGTAAGCGTGGGGAAAAGCCACAACAGGTGCCCCGAACGCAAGACCAGGAGCTTCACCAGCGGCCCAAGGTTCCTTCCGCATGGCGGGTCACTTGATAATTTTGATAATGTTTGATCATCGGGCACATATATGGAACGAAATCTGATGTCATACGCAAGAAACAAGCTCCGATTTGTTGGTGTTGATTCCACTTTCTGTTCGTTCTTGTTGGATCTATCGATAGCATCCGATTTCTACGTTTGTTTGCACTGCTCAAAATGTCATCCGGTGCCTGATGTCCGTGATCGGATTGCCATCCAGGACCAACTCCTTGGTTCAGAGCTGCGAAGTACCAGGACGTAGACCCAGCCATTGGCCCAAACAAGGGATAGTTCAATGGCCATCCCAGATTGCAACTGGCAAAGTGAAAGGAAGTTGTAACCAGCAAAATTGGAGGAAATTGGTGTGCAAAACTGGGCTTAACGAAAACTGTTTGAGTACCATGGTCAACAGTTCTTACCCAACCATCAATTGTTTCCAATGTGCCTCCCAATGTTGGTAAATTGATTCCTGTGAAAAGTTGACCTTATCCGAATCAATTCCTGTCCCATGAATGCCAAGGTACCCTCAAAGATGGGAAGAGGTCGTCATTGATCAGCTGGCCCTCAGGCGATCTCATGCAGCTCTGCCCAATGAGTTGGTTGTGGTTAAACGCCAGAACCGCAGTGACCATAGATTTGATCGTTTGAAGCATTATTATTGTAAACCTTTTTGGGATATGGCTACAGCAACTGTCTCAAGATCGATAAAATGAGAAAATGAGCAAACACGGATCTACATGGAGAGCTTAAATGTGATCTGAACGAACTTTGTCAGCTACAGTTTTCACAGGCTGTGTGAGCTCCCCGAAATTTTGTTTGTGACTTTCTGCTGATGGCGGTAGGACACGTGTTTAGCATAGTGCACGTCGTGGACCCCAAATGGCTATGTCAACAAATGGGCACCACAGGACCTTCATGGGGCCAAATGTGGGGAACATCCTGGCCTATAGTGGTGGCAACACTATAATAGATATAGATATAGATATAGATACAGATACGATACATTATAGATAAGATCTAACAGATATAGATATAGATATGGATATAGATATATATATATATATAGATAATAGATATAGATATAGATACAGACATTACAGATAAGATATAGATATATAGATATATAGATATGTAGATATGTAGATATATAGATATATAGATATATAGATATATAGATATATAGATATATAATATATAGATATATAGATATATAGATATATAGATACATATATAGATACATATATATATAGATACATAGAGATATAGAGATGTAGAGATATAGAGATAATTATAGACATATAGATATATAGATATATAGATATATAGATATATAGGTACATAGATACATAGATACATAGAGATATATAGAGATATAGATATATATATATATAGACATATAGATATATAGATATATAGATATATAGATATATAGATATATAGATATATAGATACATAGATACATAGATATATAGATATATAGATATATTCTATCTGCCAGTGGACATAGTTTCTGTCCTGGGAATTCAAACAATGATCAGGGGAACAATCACGTCATTCAATCGTACCTCATAACATGTATATATATATATATACACTGTATATAATTTAGTGTATAATACACATATATACACAATATATATATATATATCAGTATATAATTCATTAATACACATATACTAGTATATATACATGCGCTTCCTTCAATCTGTCATGCATATTTAAAATCGCAGTCCGCCATCACCATATCGGGGCCCAAGTGGCGATTTCGCGGATCCCCTGGTTGCTAAGATCCACCGTGCGGAAGGTATAACCTCGTCAGACCAGCCGGGCATCACGAATTTTGGAAATGCGGATTTTATGTGACCATTTCAGTGTGGATCAACATTTTTTGATCACATTTGCAATCTGCTACTGCCAAGAATTTGGATGTTTCACTGCTGAAATCACCCAAATCAGCGGCCCATCTCGCCAATTGCTTTTTCTGACTCACCCGTGATACGTCTCACGGCCAGCTGGGCACCGCAACAGGAGGGCGAAGGGCCCAGCTTGTCTTCCAGCAACTCCATGGTGACCTAACAAGTGGAGACTGGAGAAATGGACTTGATGTGTTCATCAAGTGGATTTAACATGATTTAGCCCAAAAACTACCCCAAAATGAGTCCAACTGAGTGTATGATTGAGCAAATGGGGATTGGTAGTAAACCATGAGACACCATGCCATTTTTGGCTGGAGGATACCTAGGATGACTGATAACCTTTGCTATCCACTCTTAGAAGTGGGCTGGGGTAGAATCCAATGAATACCTACAGGATAGAACGTATCCAGTTTAAATCACTACTCTCCAACTATGTAGAAAACTAGTTCAACCGGTGGTTGACTGATACTATGGGAAACCCCAAAAACAATCAAGGACATGTTCATTCCAGAGTCGTGTAGTATTAATTTGCATTATGAATGGAAATAGACAATACGTAGTCAATCGGTTTACAGTATATCTTAATGCAACTTGATTTAATAACGGGTTGTGATATTTTTATATATTGTTCAGATACTTTGGCATAAAATTCGCAACGCACTTTTCCCGCCAAAAAAAAATCAACACCAGGTGTCCCCCCACCCAAAAGTCCCAGGATCTCCTTTACATCAGATCATCAGCCATCGAGGAAACCATTGGTTTCACCAATGCCCCCATGGCTACCATGGTGATCCATCGCCACGCCTTGCCACTGAACTTCTCATCTGCCTGTTGTTGTTCGGCCTTGGACAAGGGGATCCCATCCAGCACCTGGCGCGGAAATTCGATGGTTGTACAAATCCCAGCTGCTGTGGGTGGCGACCTGGTATGGGGTAGAACACTGGTTTCGAAAGATAAAAACCAACCACAAAATCAGAAAGCCCTAGCAACTCTATGGATGTTCAGGAAGTGGTGAGGAACTTGATTTCACAACCCTTGGAAGCATGACCGTGATGGTCATGCTGAGCGGGGGTCCAGGACGGTCCCCTGCATAGAACCCAAGGTCCTCCCATGAGTTTTCCTCTTTTGGGGGGGGTGAATAAATACAGGCAGTCCGTCTTATTATATATGTATATAATATACATATATATATATATCATTCATGTCTGTCATGTATATTTCGATATATTTCCCCATGGATTTTAGAAAAAATAGAAAAACAATTGGCATTTGGGGTACCCACGTTTTTGATAAAGTAATGTCGGAAACCACCAATTGTTTGATACACAGACTTGTCAGATGCGATGAGCCAGGTTCGAGATTCTCTGATGTTGGTACAAAATTAGCCAAATTCTGGGCGAAGCGGAATAACCTTACAGTAATTGACAATAATAGTAATGATTATAAACAACAGTAACAATGATAAGTAGAAATATATAGTAGTAACATGTGGTAACAACAATAACAACAAAAGTCATTCCAGTAAGGGTTCACCTTCGAGAACAAAGTGAACTGATCTTGGATGGGTTCCCAAGCGCTTCCCGTCTGTCTTCATCGTGCCTTCAATTTTCGCAGGTGGAACATGGCGTACTGCCGGTAGTCACTGGCCTCAAGAGGACACCCGGCAGTTCAAACAACAAATGGTTTTTGGCCAGAAGGCAATTGATTTCTTAAAGCCAATTTTCTTTTTTCGAAACTTCCGCACCGGCACGGGCCAGGCACTACTACCTGGAATATATCAATATATCTGGTATATATCAATAAATATATATATATATACGTTCGATAAATAAATAACTAAACACATAAATAAATAAAAACAATAAATGATTAAATGAATAAATGAATATATGAATATACATATATATATATATATATACATATGGGGTATTTTATATATCTCTATCTATCTATATATACGTGTGATATGTACATGATCTCTTTAACTGCAGCAAAATTATAGCCTTATAATGCCTTATAGCATCTTATAGCTCTATATTGCTATGTGATATGTTCGTAATTCATTTTATATATTTATATATATACAAAACAAATCAAAACAATAATTAAACAGCCCGGCTTTTTGATGGCCCCCCCGCCTTGCAAAGGTCGTTGCCCGCCAGGTCCAGGACCAAGAGCTTCGGCAGTTGCTTCAGCAGCAACCTTGGTAGGGAGTCATATTTCGTTGGAAAAACTCATGTTCTGATTCTTGGAATTTGGATTTCGATGACCAGCAAAACAATTCAAAACATGTCCCGCCAAGGAACAAAGATCTCAGCTCCTGAGGCCATGCTATCCGGAAGGGGAAATATCAGAGGAAATTCCTCTGATTGGGAGCCTGATTGGTTTTAAGAAAAAACAATAAAAGCATGGTTCATACTGAGATCACAATGGTTCATTCATTCACATCATGTGTCCCGGTTTCTTTGCAACTTTTCCCACAGATCAATCCAGTGACCTCCCCGACTGTGGGTGATTTCGCTATACCATACCAACAAAAGGTCTTGGCCTCCATACAAAAGAATCTATATAATCATATCAAATCACTGACTTGGTGGGAGCTTCATCTAGAGTCTAGAGTCTAGCTTCAAGCCGTCAAAAACATGGCCTGCTGGACCCAACGAAACCCTGTCCTCGATGACATTGTTGCTCAAGTAGAGTTCCATCAAACAACTCCTTGGTTTCCACCAGTCTCAAACGCGGTTCACATGTGCTTCACATGGGGTTCACGTGGGGTTCTATGTTGGTGTTTGGAAGGAGGCAAATACAGTAATCTATTTCATAATCCTGTAATAAGCAGAAATGAGCCATTCTAGGGATGAATCCTTTTCTACCTGGCACTAGCCATCCATCACGCTGAGGATGTTATTTGCCTCATCCCTCTGCCCCCTTCGGTGCCGGGCAATTGGGCAAAGGTGTCTAGGGAGTCCACAAAGTTGTCCTGGAGTCTCAAGAATTATTGGTCCAATATGCATTAAGCATGGTAAACAGGATGAATCAGGATGAATAATCAGGATGAATCAGGAACCAAAATGGCCAAATGGATGTGCAAAAACCGGGAAAAAACCATTGCTGCAGCTCCTCCAGGGAGACTTGGCTCAATTTGCTGAGCTTCTGGAGTTCCAACCTGCACAGCCAAGGGGTGGACCCCCGGGACCCCTGAAATCTGGTGTGTCTGACATGGAACCAGTGGACCAGTGGTGAAACATGGTGGAACCATGCAAAAATGAACAAAAATGAACAGTTTTGATGGAATATAATGCCATACAAGTTCCATCTTCTGTTTTCAATGTCTTAGATTTTCTGAGCAATACAGAAAAGAATCAATTCTTTAAACGAAGATAGAACCGCCAACAATTGGATACGATCGGTAGCAAATTGCAAAACCAAGCTTAAGGCTGGCTCCAAAGAGTCGAATTGGGGATTACATATGCTTACTTTAGGAATACTCTTTACCGCACATCTGTTTACATAATTTCACATATTCAGTAGATCAACAAAATTCAAGAAATATGATGTGTCATGATTTGTGTCTTGGAATCACGTTCGAATCCAAGCTATGAGCAGTTTTTATCCTTCCAGGCTGAGCAACAGCAGCAACAGCTTGGGCTTCCAGACGCGTCGGTGAGGTGATTTCCACCTGCTTCCAGCTTTTGTAACTCCTGCGTTCAGAAGTTAAAGGCCACCAAGGGCCACCAGGTCGCGGCAAGAGGTAGTAAGCAATAACGTAAGCAATAACTATAATTACTGTATTTGAAGGATATTACATAGATATACATAGATCATATGATGATACTCTCATATTCATCTTACAATATCTTATATGCACCCATATGTAAGTATGATATATCGAAATAAAATGATATCATTGTAATTGTAGGGCCTGTCGCTGTGTGTTGCCCGGAAGGTTCAAATGGCGTTTAAACATGTTTAAATATTATCCTTCAACATGCTCAAACACCTGCGCAGGGCCAGTGTTTTGAGATTTCCCAGACGACGCACCCTAAACCCTAAAACCCTAAACCATCCTAAACCCTAAAACCCCAAACCCTAAAACCCCAAACCCTAAAACCCTAAACCCTAAACCCTAAAACCTAGGCTCTGAAAACTTTGAATCCTAAACTGGAAAACACTACGTATACGCAGTATCTTCTGCAATCTCTAATCTCTCCTATCATATATTCGACAGCACGACATTCTCAATGTTAATGTCTGGGCAACACACGGCGCCTGTGGGTAATTGTACAGTATACATAGCGAATGCACAAAGACTCTGTATTGCTGTGTTGTCATTATTCAACATGTTTCAACCGATACAGAACGAGGGATCTTGTCGACTACCCCTGTGGTCCCGGGGTCACTCTTCCACATCTTCGGGATCCTGCCTAAACTGCCGTGAATTCCTTGGAAAACTGATGGTTTCATGTTTCAACCCATCTGAAATAAATTGAGTCATTGGAGATCATGATTCATCATGATTTATCATCCCATTTCTGTTTCTGTAAAACACGTTTGTAACACGTTTGAAACCACCAAGCAGAAGTTTGTCTCCAGGCCAGATCCGGGGGTTTTTCCAGGCCTGGCATCTGGCGATGCCTTTGAGGGATGTCAAATTGCCTGAAAGGGCACCGGCCACGGGATGCCTCAGGTCCAATAGTTACATCATGTGAAACATCATGTTTTTTATCCCCATCCGGTTGTGTTGGTTGATGGAAAAGCCACTGCAGAAACATTAAAAGCCCTAGATGTTCACTGATTTACACTCTGATTCCAATTGAGTCTTTACCATATTCTTTGTCAATTTCACCAAGTCATGGTTTATGTTCTTTTCCAAAGTTAAATATTGAATGCCATTGAATACCTAAATATCAGTATTTTATCAATTTTGCTTGGTACTTTTGGTGTCATTTTCACAACTGCCCCCAAAACGGCATCTCCAGCCAGGCGACATCGTTCCAAGTGCAGGGACTCCAACTTCTGCAGAGGTGGAAGCCTGGCGTCGTTTCGGGAGTTGGCCCATGGGATCCTGAGATTGGTTGTGCAAAAACTCCTGGTACCTGCTATATCCTGCTATGTAACATAGGGGATCATAGGGGAAAATGATGGAAAATGACTTATTTTGTTCAGATTCTTGACTTCAAACAAGAGTTTGAAAGAAATGGACGAAGTGTTGGGAAGTAAGCCATGTTTCCATGTTTCTTCTCTGGGATAGTTCGTCTTTGACCCGCATACTTTCCACCCAGGCACCAGTCCAAGTTGGGGATCTCGTTATCGCTGAGGCATAGGAATTGGCATTCGGGGAGCTCGGCCAAAAAGCCTCGGTGCAATATTAATCTGCTTATGGATGGTAAAATTGTATAACATATCATAAAATTATGTGAATGTCCTGGACTAGAAACTTTGGATTTTTGCTCAAGTTCACACCTTACTGGACCTAACAAAAAACCTGGGAGTGAGTTCTGAACCTGTTTAGTTGTGCTTCTCGAACGTCGAACATGTAATATGTGCACTTAACATTCACTTAACCAGTACCAAGAAGTGGCAGGAACCATCCACATGGGAAAAACAACTTGTGAAATCTTATGATGTGGTTGGCATGAATCGAATCCCAAAACACAAAATGGTCGTACATTACCAAGCTTGGCAGAAATTACCGATTAGCAGTCCCTCGCCTCAACCGTAGTGAAGGGTCGTGTATGTCGTGAGAAAACAAAGAAATGACCAATCAATGACCAATTTTTTATACGTCTCATCCAGATCCGCTCAAGTCAACTTAAAAATGCTGGGTCTCCGACGCAAATCCGTGAGACCCACCCTGGGCCGAGTTTGGAGCGGGTGAAGTTGAAACACCATGAAACACCCCTACTGCATCACCTTCATCACATAGGGCATGGCTAATGATCAGGCATCCGTTGCAATGAAAAACCTGGCACGAGTATCACCCAAACAACCAAACAACTCCGATGATTTTCCAACTGTTCCAAGTATTTTCCAAGTTAACTATTATGCACTTCATAAGTTCTTGTGAACAGGAGTATCACCTGCACCTGGGGCATCTGATTGAGGCCGCTTCCATAACTTCCAGAATCTCAAAATTGTAAAGGGCTTCTGTCATAGGTGTGTTAACCCACGTTGACCCCAACAGTACGACCTGACCTGCCAAGACATTGCGGGAACTGTGCCAATTGTATCCAACTGTGCTTTCCAATGAATGGAAAGGTGATAGATGTCTATCTCTTCCAACCAACAAACACTTTGTGAATCTTTGTGAAGTAGTAAGGCAGGATGACAGCAAAAAAGCGTCACTCTTCCAAGATATCCGCCCGATAGCAGTTGACACCCTGAAATGTCACCTTCCTAATCTTCCTAGTAGGTCTTGGTACCGGTTTCCACTGGGACAGCGCGCCCTTGCAGATCCACAGCCAACACCTGGTGTCACATGGCTGAGATTCCTCCCAGATTTGGAAGCACTAACTACCATTCATCCACATCCACTGTCATCCACTCACTACCCATTCATATTTAGATATTTAGATATTTAGACATATTTAGCCAACCCCGTAGTGGTTCATGTTGATTCCTGGGATAACCGGATAACCTCCACTCCTCTGTTTGAAGGGCACTTTTCAGGAGCATTCTCCGATTGCACTAAAAGGCGCTGGCTGTTTGATGCAGAAGAATTGTGGACCCCCCAAAGTTGGTCGTCATCCATTTCGAGTCCCACATAGTCCCACTATTCTTACCGTGTCTCAACGGAAGGCTGTGCCTTGGAGCGCCAATTTGCGCGGCTGATGAAGGGCCTTGGATCCCAGTGCCCAGTGGATCCCAGTGGATGGTCGTTTGCAATGTACTGCATGTGATTCAGACCATGAACTGTTGTATACATTGTATACATTGTATACTGTTGTTTTGAGACATAGCGGATTCTAGTGGACAAAGGTGGACAAAGGTCTGGATATCTGGCAATGCCTGCCATCTTTCAGGATTTCCAGGGATTCCAGGGATCAACAGCTGCAACCCCAACATGTTGCAACAGTGTGGGTGCCCAGGACCTCCCAAAGACGTCTTGACTTTGTAATTTGGATACATATTCTATCTTAGTCTGGACGTTAAATGGCGGAGTCTTCTATGCCTAGGGCACCAGGCGCCCTGTCTGGGTTTGCAGTGCACATAGCCCTTGGCGCAGAGGTAGACCGGGGTCATAGCGAGGGAAAAACCAACAAAAATGCGGATGTAATCAACAAAGAGACTGGTGTACAAGGTGTACAATAGCCAACAGTGTAACAGAGAGTTTCAAAAAAAAGGAGTAAAGTGGTGGATACATACAGTAACCGCTACTTTCATATCTGAATCTACTGCAAGCATGCGGTATACGCTGTCTGGATCAAGCCCACCCGCTTCGTGTACAGGACCTAGATGGGCCTGTGTGTTTAAAGTGAGTGCAAACATTCCCGGAATCGAAAAACTTTCTGCTTCCTGTCCAGCGGCATGAGCGTCGAGATCCGGTCCTTCTCGGGGTCGTAGCCTGGGGGAGCCATTACATACACGAATTACGAAAGGTACCCAACGGATATTGATCAAAATTCCGGCTCTGCGAGCCATAGATACAGTATCAATGTGTATCAATCTTGTTCAGTTGTCTACACAACGTTTACCCATACCCGTTTTGAAAGAAGTGAGAAAAGCAAGAACCGGGCCCCAACAAAAGACTTAGGCTTAGGATGTCCTACTTCGAGAAACTGCCAAATTGAATCATATTTGCAGATCTGCCAAAATCACGTCCTAGTTCGTTGTCCCCAGACTCTGTTGGCTCCCCACATGTGTTGCTTGGTTCTATCACCTCGCTCCTATCATGCCTCAGCTCGGGGCCGGTTTCGCCCGGCAGCCTGACACGATGCGATTGAACAGCAAACATGAGGGAACCAAGATAGCAATTCGAAGAGACAAGCGTGAGGATGTGATAAGCAAGAAAATATGTGGAGATAACTGAACAAGATTATAACTTATAACCCACAAATGTGTGTATGTATGCAATAAATGACCACTGTCCCTCAAAGCTGACGATGTAACCAATACATAATACATAAAGACCCTGAACATCATCCTCGAGATGAGACATCATGTCATGGGTAGACCGACCGTCATAGAGAATCACATATGGAATGTAAACAATAGATGCATTGATGTGACGGAATTAGCAGTTGTAATCCCTGCAATGCATCCAACTTGCGGCTCATCATGATTGTCTATTTACTATCATTTACTTCCCGGTTAAAGTTAAAAAGAAAAAACAAGTCGATCTCTGGTGTCGCCGGTGTCTCGAATGGCTTAGTCCCCAACATGAGATCTGTTTATATCTGATTATATCTGATTATATCTGATTATATCTGATTATATCTGTTTCATTTGCACAAAATTGTGGTATCCTTGGTACACCATTGCTTTGCCATACCCATTCAGGGTGGTGTTCCCTGCCGCCTTTGGGAGATACCTCAGTGCAGTGGAGGAAAATTGAACAACTAACAACAGTACATCCTAGATGACCAGCCTATACAATACACAGCAATACTGGCAGCAAGAATTTGGGATTCTCTAAAAAATCCACTAATCTTTGAGGCTAACTCAATAGGTCCTTTGGGTCCTTGATGGTCCTTGTTTACTCGGCCTCCAGACCTTTTGGAGGTGCAAAGGCGTGCTTTCGAAGCAAATCCTGCAAGTGGCTTACTGCAGGTGCTCGGGATATAATATGATTATACAATGGGATATACAGGACAAGTACCCTATAAATCCCTCTGATACAATTGAGAATATGAGATGAGGCTTTGCCAATACTCGATAGACTCGATTTGCATATAGCTTGTGACACCAACAAAATCGCAATATGCAGCAGTTCCGGTCAATAATCCGCTAAAGAGACTATTTGACTAGCTTGACATCCTGCTTAACATCCTGCGAGTGCATTTTTGTGATGCAACAAGAGAATTTTGCAACAAGAATATGACCAATGTGACATTCAACCAATCCCAAAAAGACTAATTAGGGGTTTTCTTCACGATACCGGGGATGGATTCACGATACCAACTGGTTCCAGCATCCAGGTGATTTTCGGTGAAACTCACAAAAAAAACAGGCGCATTGGTTCTACAGTGACTGTCGCCAGGAATTGCTATGTCCTGGGTTTGTGAAAAGGAAACCCCACACAACCTATAAACCTCATCTCCAATCATCAACCAACAGAGGGGAACTTAGCACTGTTAATTTGGATATGCCTCAAAGCTTAAAACACAAGACCCATGTTTGTGTCCAAATTTTACTGCACCCGGTTTGTGAGCAAAACCCATTTGATACCCCCGGTTCACGTCGTGAAAGTCGAAGGAGCCATGAACCGAGATGGGCCTCATTGAACTCTAGGGGCTTGACGTTGCGGTAAGCCTCAGAGGAATCCGCGTTTTCAAAGTTTGAGTACATTAATGGATTGTCTCTGTGTGTGTGTGTCCGACAAAACTTGGCTTGACTGGACAAAATGGTGATATGTATCAACTTTCATATACAGTATACAGTATACATGTATCGATGATGAGGCACCATAGTGAATCCTGCCTGATTTTAAAAGAGAAAGAAGTTTCAACAGTGATGATCCCTGAAGTTGAAGAGTTGGTGGCTAAGTATGTCCCACTTATCCCAGTTCTACCAGGTTCTACTCAATTTGCGAATCATCTACGTTCATGTCTATTGGTGCATTGAGTATACAAGTTGATTCTTTATATTCTATGTTGTTTAATGTTGTTTAATGTTGTTTAATGTTAAACAACTAATGTTGTTTGATGTTTTATGTGCTGGCCAGTAGGCTCGCTGATCACATGACTCACATGACTCACCGCAAGTCGCTGGCGCTTCCCACCTGCACTTCATCTGGCGTCACTTCCTTGCCATCCAAGATCCTGGATCCGCTAAGATGGATATGATGGATTCGGGTGATTCACAAGATGATGTGACTCCAGATGAGATACCCGGCCTGGTTATGTCAAAATAGCTATTGAAAATGGCCATTGAAATAGTGAGTTTTCCCAATAACAGTGGTGATTTTCCATAGTTATGTTAGTTTACCAGAGGGTAAGACGAGATGAAATGAGATGAGATGAGAGATGAGAAACGATGGGAAGAGATTTGAATGAGGTGAGATAAAGTGAGACGAGACAAGATGCGATGGGACATAAATCGAATATAAGATCTGTTGAGATGATAAGAGACGAGCTAATATGAAATACTGCCATACCGAAAAGTCGTGTAGAGATTATGCGAAATCGAGCCCCCAGCAGGGTGGATCCATAGTTTTGCTTCATCGCTAAACATCTTAAACATCTTGCAAAAAAACTCTTACCCAGCTACATCAACTCTACCCCAATTTGGGGTGATGAAAACTTCCCATGGCGCCATGGCACCTCAGTGAGTGCATCTTCCGCACCGCCCAGGAGCGGCTGTCCACCAGGAGGTTGCCGCGAATCTCCTAGGAGCGCTGGTCTCATGTGGGGATGGTGAGATTTATATGGGGTCCTATATTAGTATATAACATATAGGTATATATAGATATTTATATAGATACAGATAGAGATATAGATAAAGATATCTATATATATATATATAGAGAGAGAGAGATAGATGGATGGATGGATAGATGGATAGATCGATACTGTAGATAGATACTGTAGATAGATACTGTAGATAGATACTGTAGATAGATACTGTAGATAGATACTGTAGATAGATACTGTAGATAGATACTGTAGATAGATAGATAGATGGAAGGATGGATGGATAGATAGATAGATAGATAGCCAACAAAAATGGACGTTATATTTCATAAACATTCAGAAACGACCGTAAATTATGAACTGTTTGTGGTTGATCCAACCAGCCCCCGGTGGTTTCGGTGGTTCTGGGTCTGCCGGGCCAAGGTTTCGAGGTACGGCAGCTCACGTCCGAGGATGAGGAAGTTCTCATGCTCTGAGAGCCTCGGGCTGCGGTGTCGCGCAGAAAGGTTGGGTCAGTGGTGAAGCAAAGCCAAAAAATAAGGGTTCTATAGGATTATCATGGATTAGATGGTTGGATATGGTCTTATTATGTCTGATTATTATAAGATGAGGTTATGGTTTGATTAACTAGAACGATTTTCCAACTATGGGGATGTTTGATGGTTAAGTTATATCCATATTGTGGACGGGGATGAACAAGCAACGAAACTGGAGAGATTTTCCTGGCAAAGCTGGCCGGATATGAGCAACAAAGAAAGATGGAACTATAACCAGGATGGCGACACCCCCAACAACGTTGATCTCATGGGGATATACCTTGGGCATGTAGTAGCTCGAGAAGTGTAAGTGCATAGTAGCCATGAATTATTCGGATGGTCACTGTAGCAAGAAAAACTCTGAAGATGGATGATAATCGAAGTATTTTTGCATGTTCACACTGTGGTGATGTTGATTTCGACCAACACCTGTAGAGTTTGACAACTGGGCATTTCACGTAACAACAAGTACCAATGCTTGGGAAGTTCACCCCCAGGGCCCCAACTAATTCAATTGGGCAAGCGCCTAAGAAAGCAACCAGTTTACCCTCTGGTAATTTAACGTAGCTATTGAAAATGACCATTAATAGTGGATTTCCCCATTAAAAATGGTGATTTTCAATAGCTATGTTAAATTACCAGAGGGTATATACTAACTAAGTTGTTTATCAGCTATGCAATCAACAAGCGAAACTGATTTCTCCTCCTAGGGAGGAAAAACACCTTCCGGCAAGGTCCCTGCCAGCGAGTATTACTGTAATAGCTGTTTCGAACTTGGTCCACTTTCAGAAAAACTATATCCAAGATCATTGTTTGACTTACTAGTTGAAAACCTGATTTCAACACAGGTGCAAAGAGTCTACAAAGCATAATCTGACATACCAAACTATTTACTTCCACGGCGGCGACTTGGTAGCATCATGTTGTGATTGCCCCGGCCCCAGCGGACTTGCTGGCCATTCTATTTCTGTCTATACAAAGGTGCTTCCAACCAAGACTGATGCACATCCGCTAAAGCAACGTGGCAACACCAAATGGATGCTGCATGTCCCAAAATTTGGGACTTTCTAAGCCGTTTGCCCTAGCCTTCAAAAGCACATCATCCAAATGTGTAAGCATTGTATACATAAAAATGTACTAATATATTACACACAAATATCTAGATGTCATTTTTTTCACTGGCCGTTTCACTTGCCAAATTGCTCGAGCTGCTAGGACCTGAGGCCATGGCTGATTCCAACTGAGATCCAACTCTCTCAACATCTTAGCGCGACGCAGCTCACGAGGGTGGGATGCCTTCACCTGCTACCCCTCATGTACACACGTGCAAATGATTTGTATATATTATACATGTTAAACATATTACGAGTATGTATACACACAACAATATGTATACATATACACACAGTAAACGATATATCATATAT